AAAGACGATATGGTTAAACAACCAGCGTACATCGATAGATAGTTCAGAAGTTTCCAGAAAACGACTTACATCGAGACCGAAAAACACCGTTACCTCTTACTGCGAAAAATCTTTCGATGTCGGAGGTGGAAAGTGAAATTCGACCATTTCAAGAGTTAATAGGATGTCTACAGTGGTTAGCCACATGTACTCGACTGACATATCATATGCAGCCTCATACCTTGCTAGGTACCTTACCAAACCGACGAAGAAAGTATGGGAGGAAGGGATAATGGTAATTACCTACCTTCGGTCCACTCGTTTACATGGTATTCGTCTCGGTGGCGAGGCTAGCGATCTAGCAGGATGGGTTGATGCCGATTGGGCAGGTTGTAAAGACACACGACGATCAACTACTGGTTGGATATTTATGATGAACGACTCACCGATAACATGGAGTTCAAAAAGACAAGCTACGGTATCGTCGTCGACAGTGGAAGCAGAGTACATCGCGATGGCTGAAGCAGCGAAGGAAGCTCAGTGGTTGAGAGGATTATTGAGGGAGATAGGCTACGATCAGCTAAATCCTACTATATTAAATTGCGATAATCAAGGATCGATATCACTAGCGAGAAAACCTGGTACTCACCAGAGGACAAAACATATTGATATTCGACATCATGCCCTTCGAGATCTAGTCAGTAATAAAGTTATTGAACTAGAATACGTCAGCACTGTCTATCAGCGAGCAGATGTACTCACGAAAGCTTTAGGTGGACCAGTACATTCGGTGAATATGTCAGCGATACGGGTAGAACCACCGAAGAAGAAAAACATTGGTTCAGTATACGTGACATTAGATGATGATGAAATCGTCGATTACGATTATTCAGATTTCGAGGACCTAGGAGATCTATCAGGTGGTACAGAGAACGAAGTGGTACCAAGGAACGAAGTGGTACCAGATACAGAGTTGGTATCAGACAGAGAAGTGTGGGTGGAAGGAACTTCAGAGAAACCCACCGAAGGTACCACCGAAGGAAAAGTTCTCGTGAGCCAAAATGTAAAATTTTCGGGTGTACCTATGAATGTGAGTAATTCTAAGATAGGTCAGAAACCACCGGTAGAACCTAGAATCATTAGAGAAATGAAAGAGAAGAGTAGGATGAGAAGAGATAAGACGATACATAGGAGGGATACTACTCAACCTCCATCGTCAAGTCCACGAACACCGGGAACTTTGGCTGGTAGCCAGCAACCTTATATCCACCGAGGATATTCTCAAGTTTATCGTGGAGAGAGTCCACAGCATCAACAATCTCTTGTACCCTCTCGTGGGTTACCCCACCTTCCAAAAGAGCGTTTCCTATCAAAAGGAAATGTTTGTCTAGGTTCGACTTCAATATCCCCAGTTCAAATTTCACCTTCTGGGAAAGATCTCAAACTCAATAAAGTTCATGGTATGACTGACAGACTTACAGTCGGGAGGATTGCTGGGGAGCAACCTAAGAGCAGGACGATCAGACGGTCCAGGGACCGAGGGAGAAGCAATGGTCGAAAGAACGGAGGCAGGAACTTGGGCCATGATAACGATGCGGTTGCTACTAATGATAATAGATATCGTCAGCCAGGGACACGAAGGAATTTCATCGATTCTCGGGAGTCTACTAGCAAACCTGAAGTTTTAAGAAGTAGACAGGACAGAGGGAAGTTCAGACAGTCAGAAACGAGTGATAAAAGTGGAGAAAGACGAAAGGTGGACATACCGATAATTGGAGATAAAAGTGATGAAGTAAAAGGAATGATAGAGAAGAGTCAGTCGTCAGTAGTGAGTGGTAACCACGTGTCAGAGCGGAGCCCCGCAGGGGGCCCCACCGAAATTCATTTCACGATTTCACCTACCACTACTACCACACACATAACACTCAATATTTCGTCATTACTACCTTCTACATCATCACAAACCCCGCCGTCGCCATCGATAAATCGTCCGGGACTACTGCAGAGTCGTGCATTGTCCCGTGGGGGAGTGTTAGCCGATAGAATCGGGCCAGGACGGCCGAACCGCCGTTAGATAATTACCCCTTCCGTCGAATATTTCTCCGTTCAACTTATCCTCTGAACTTTATTCGATCGTCTCTGGTTTTATGCGTGTGAGTGGAATGTGATAAGTATAGAGACATGTAGAATTGATGCATGCTCTTTTTCCCCTCTGTATTATCATCTAATATTAGCAAACACTCTGCAATCGATGTAGCCAAAGAATGATATTGAAGAATCAGCAAAGTTGGTACTTTGCTGATTGTACTATATACTGTCTACGGATATCCTCGCCCTTGTCCTCTTCCTGCTGCAAGCGTCTACGTACGTACATACTCGGACAGGTAAAAAACCGCTTTGAGCAAACCCAGTGGAAAAATCTCAAAAGGGGAAAACCCGTCCCTACCTACTGCAGCACTGCCTCCAACTCCCGCTTTCCTCTGTCCTAATCCGTCGAACTCGATAGAGTCCTCTCGATTCGTTGTTACCCCGTAACAACCTTGTGATGTAGTTTATATCTAGTGATGTGTCATGAATCAACAACTCTGCTCTTGTGCACACAAGGCAGAAGGTCCAAGTATCAGTTTCTTCATGTTTAGTTCTGCTCTTATGCCTCCAAGGCAAGAGACCTGAACCTTTAGTTAGTTAAGTTATCCTCAGTCAGTCTGCCTGGTATGGCATTAGACCCAAGACTTCAGTTTAGTTAGATTTAAGGCGAACATATTGTTTACGTCGTCATGCGTGCTTCTGCGTGCGGTCAACAGCGTATTGTACGCATCACGTCACAAAGACCACGCAGCTTTCTGATCCATGGTTGAATATACACATGAGATCGAGAATCACGACTCTTTCCTACGCAGGACAATGCACATCCCAGAATGGACTCAGAAATAGATATAAACCCCATATAGTTCTTACATAGTTTCTTTTCTTCAGCAATGTATCTTTTCAATTCTCTTAACCTCATTTGATAAGTCACTCAGTTGGTTCTAACCCAACATCTCAGTCTCCTCAGTACCTAAGGCAGTCATCAAGCTCTACGAGCCCGAGACTAAAACCCCTCAGTATCCAAGGCAGTACTTTGCTACAGCAGTCTACCCGCAGGCGTGACATGATGTGGTTTATAGTTTAGTGATGTAGTGGATCGAAGAGACTATAAGTCAATGAGATCAAGTGGCAAAAGATTTGCTAAGTGACGAGAAAATACATTTGACAAGACATCTATGAAAAAGGGCTGTTTCTATATACTAAAAAGGGAGCGGAGTGATACCGAAATCTATGGAGTAAAGATGGGAAGTAATATGGGGTGGAATACCAAAGGAAGACAGAGATAGATGAGGGACACAGAGATGAAGGAAAAGTATTGCAAGACGAGGAAATAGCGATTCGGTAGGAAAGGAGAATGGACGATGCCGTAGCGGAATTAGTGAAGCGGAGAGGGGAAAGGGTAGGTGAAGTACGACTTCTGCATACGACTCTTGAGAAACCTGTCTATAGGTACCCGTGATCCTGACAGTGATTTCGGAGAATCTCTTCGTCTCAAGTCATCACCATCTCCCGGCGGCCGACTCTATCATCTTTAATCCGCCGCTTTTCTACGTTGTTTATGTAGTGTCTTCTCTAGATAGTGTGTTGCCCGACCAATTACTGAAGGGTACGACTTGTGACGTGACATCTGACTTTTCCCCTTCCGATCATCACCTTTTACCAGCTGAAACAGAATGTTAGATACCCGCTTCAACAGCTTCATTACACCTGTTCCCCCTCCTGCCACTTATTTTCCCTCATAGCTTCAACCCCAAGACCCCACTAGGTCATCGCTCACCTCTGAACGTGATAGCTGGACTCAATTTGATCATCTTCATCCTTTTTCCCTTCTTTGACTCCCTCATACAGTCTGTTCCCTCACTAGAAATCACTCACTTTGCTAATTTCAAGATTACGTACATCATCTACAAGTCATGAACATGTCAAAACAGGACGACGATATGTACTTGCCGGAGTACGAGGGAGATATTAGTTTCTTCCCTGATACTGACTTAGAGACGGATTCGGCCAATATTGACGCTCCGATAGAAGAGATTCTCAAGACTAGTACTGATGAGTTACAAGATCCACCAGATTGGACGCAATTCGAATGGCCACAACCTGACGAATCATCTCCTTGGGCCGAATCATCCGATTCCATACCCTTTTTCTCTGCATCGAACGCACAAGTACAACAAGTACCACCACAAAAATCGCGCAACAGTCGAGACCATCCGACACGAATGACACGACGAGTGAAAGAGAAGAAAGCATTATCCTTTGACGATTTCTCCAGGGTGATGTATGATTACCTCTCTCAGAAACAAATGCAAGAAGATGATGATTTGTCTTATTGCACTCAAGAGCACACACAAGCAAAGGAGAACTATCACCGAGTGATTGAACCTACAAGAGAAGGAGCGGGGAATGATTCAATAGAAGTTGCAGGTTCTCCAAAAGTGAAAGATGACGAAAATTCAATAGAAGTGATCGAGAGCGTTGAGGAGGACAGTGACGCCACTATTGTGGTTTCCACTTCCGATAATGAAGAACCTCCAATAATAGAGGATTGGCAGGTTGGAAGCTCGACGAGGACAGGCCCGTCTGGTAGACGTACTACATATTCGGAATATACGCACAAGAAGAAAGCAAGTACACAAAAACGCCGAACTTGGAGGTCGTAACTCATGCTATGAGTCGTGTAATGGGCGATCAATCGACAACAGAATAGAAAGACAATGAAGGGGTGAAAGACTTTCAGAGATGCAGATGATTCATGATCATGAATGAATGACATACATAGTGTAGATTAACATGTTCCAAGTTTCACGGTGTCCTCCCGCTTTCTGTCTAGTGAGGAATATATCGTCGATGAGTCCACTTCGACGAGATACCAAGTCGGATATCGTTCTGAACTCTCTTCAACTGGTGCAGGTCGAGCATGGACCGCTTTCAACTTTGAATTTTGAGCCAGTGTCGACAAAGTCATTGAGTCTCTGCACGCGAAGAAGTTGGATGTGGGGATTGGACAGATTGACGGTCTGTCAGGATGTCGAGAAAGGAGAAGGAATCTAGTAAAATTGTCTATTGACATTCAGCTATGCACCATCAAGAAGTAAACATGTGCTGACATACCGTTTCCAGCTTGAGTGCCTTCATACAACAGCTCCAATTGCGGATAAAGCGTCAAAACAGCTTTGGAACATAATGCCGCACCGTCGCCTGGAGGATCTTCGGGACTGAGTTGGAGAAGAGATAAGGCTGCAGAAGCCGTAGAACGCCAAGGATGAAGAGTCGCGAATGGAAGGTGGGTGTGCAAGAAAATAGTAGATTGTGTCAAGGCCTGACAGTCAGCACTCTTGTCTATCGCCGAAGCGATAACCTCCTGATTTAACCGTCGTAGTCTAGCTCTCCCTCGTCGAGCAGAAGAGACAGGGGAGGAGTCATTACAGAAAGAATCCAGCTTTACGTCCCACATCATACATTTCGAATCGAACTTGTGAGACAGGGTAGCAGAAAGGTACGAAATGCCAACTCACTTGTTCATGTGACCGAACCCATTTGATATCATCCATATTCACTCCACGTCTAACCACCAAACAGTGTGCAATCTCTAGATCTGTACTACCTATAATTCGAGGTCTTGAAGGTCCAGCTTCCCCACCATTCATGCCGCCAAGCTCGACTTCTCCGGTCTTCCTCCCAGAAGAAAGAGGAGAGAGTAGACAATCGACAGTTTCTGTCACTGAACCCGCTAAGGTGTTCTGGACGGGCAGAACGAGGTAGTCAGAAGGGTGATGATATACATCTGAGCATCAGCTGTTGTATCATCGTGTGGCCTGACGTCAGTTGACAAGAGCACCTCGAACAACGTCGTCAGTTTTGCGGTATACGAAGGGTCAGATATGCTTTTCGGGAAGGAATGATATATGTATGCTTGAGAAATACAGGCTCACCTGATATAGTAGGACATGGAATGAGTTCCAAATCCACGTCCTCGGACAAAGCCGGTAGGAAGACCTGAGCAGCTTGATGACCATAGGTTCCTTCTGGACCTAGATACGCCAGAGATATCTTTGATGTACTCGGATCCATGATAGCCATTCTACCTCCTTCGCGATCTTACTTTCCGATGATTATTCGTAGCTGCGGGCCGCCAGACATCCAGGTTCCTACCATGGTAGGTTGCGTTTGAACAGGATGGGAAATCCGGACGCACCGGAGGTCGCCGCCGGATAACGCCACGCCACAACTCATTCTTACGAAACTCCGGATATTCCCGGCGGAGTGAAATGGCCTCCTCGCTCACCCTCCTCTTTTCCTTCATCTCGTCGATAACCACCCACAACGTCAGTATCTCAATTGAACCCCCTTCAGTCAATTCACTTTCCTCACCAGATGACTACACGTCTTCATAGTGTCATAGCCAAAGAGGGAAGAGAATCACCGCGTCGACGGATGATTGAGGGGCCTTGAGGACAGTTTAGAACACCGCTGATATTTAGACAAACAACATGGGTAAAGTCCACGGTTCTCTCGCTCGTGCGGGTAAGGTCAGGTCTCAGGTGAGCTTGGAGTTCCGGTTCATGCCACTTCATATTCCTCCAACCTCATATCACAGACGACGAAGGGCGCTGTCAAAAGGAAAAAGGATCATACTTTCGTCTATTGCATCATCGGGTAGTATTGTGTTGCCACTCCTGTAGAGCATGTAATAGAGTAACCAGTCACTGACAAGTAGTGTCCTAAGGTCGAGAAACAAGAAAAGAGGAAGAAGCGGTGCGGTCGTGCTCACAAGAGGGAGCAATACGTTCGTCGATTCCTCGTCGTCAGTGTCGCGCCAGGTGGCAAGCGTAAAGTGTGAGTGACTTCGTTTTCACATTACCTATATCCATCGTTCATCACTTCTAATTCATATTCTATACTCTCTTGCCTATTATCTGGGTGTCCGACAAGACTCGTTTCTCCTTTTCACATCTGCTCTCCTCTATCCGGATGAACCAAATTATGCATAGTTCAATCAGATTAAATCGTGATCGAATACTATCATCGTCTTTCGCTCCTATCTGAAATCTCATTCCCTCCTGTGAAATCTCGTACAACGACCCGTTTGGTCCGCGCTGACGGGCAGGAACCCCCAACCCGCGGGTAAATCCGGTTGAGGAGGGTTGTACCAGACATTTGCATGGCGTGCACGTGAGGCTTCATTCATTGACCTGCTGATTGCCATCATGTGCTTTGCAATCGTCAGAATATCATTGCACTGACCGTTATAAAACCATTCAAGTCAGCTTCGAGCTCAAGACACACGGCTTACTGAGACACTCAGATGGAATGAAAGATGACACGAGAGATGAATTTGACACAACTCGGCAGCGTCCGCAATACATCATCACATACGTAGAATGTCTCTCGCTGTCTTGCCCACTAACAGAGGTCTAGATTCTATATTCCCTTCGCGTCTTCCTTTTCTAGCGTCACTGCTTGACGTCACTCCGTCCCCACGCACTACATCTACAACTCGATGTTCATCGCGAATCACGAATGGTGGGTGAGAATCGAAATTTGACATGTTTGGGGATGTGCGAGCGAGAGGTGTGGTCGTCGTCAAGAAAGCAGGCGTCGTGGACGAATGTAGCGAAGCAGGAAGGGGTTGCTCCCCGGGCGAGGGGAGGAAAGAGGGTATTTTGCTCATGACGGAAGGTTGAACGGGTCGTAAAGTGTCTGGAGAGCTGAACGCCAGTAACAAATTTGCTGCCTCTTCCTCTTCGTGTCCCATTTTGGATTCCCCTATCACCACTTGACTCCCCTTCATGCCAATCTCAAGTCCTACATCACCATCCGACGCTTCCCTCTCAATCACTCTCGTACCATTCATGTCCTTTCCACTGACAAATCCCACGCTCGCCTGATCAGCCCACGCAAATGTCTTCGCACGTCTTCGGTCATCCATCGAATTATCCTTTGCGGTCGAAACGTCTGGTAGACTTTCTGGGGACCCTGAGGAAGGTGCTGAAACCAGCGCATCCAAGTTCAGGGCACCTCCAAACAGACTGATATTCTGTAAAGGTGCAAGAAAGGGGGATGGCTCCATACCTTGGTTCACACTGGGGTGCGTGAGAAATGGTGAGGTTGGGGAAGGTGTGGGAAATGGTAGGTAGATCGGGTGAGATCGCATAGAGATGGAAGTAGGAGATGGATCAGGTCGGGTGGGTAGTCTCGAATTTGAAAGCGATTCCTTCTGAACAGCTGAAGGATCCGGAATGGGGTTCGGTGGACGGAATGTGTCGTCTGTAGGGTGAGAAGTGCGGTCTCTCGGGATGATATCTGACGTCTTATTTCGGGAGAGTGATGGATGAGCATGCTGATACGCAGGGAAGGGCGGTTGTGGGGTTGATTGTTGTGATTGCTCCAAGTTCTCGCCGGAGTGAAGGGATGAATGTTCTGAGGAAGGAGTTTGATCAGGTGAGGGAGGTGAATCAATTCCCTTCTCCGAATCCTGTTCTCCACTCTCTCCTTCCCAACCCATGTTCATGTTGGAATTGTGTAATCCTGATTGTTGCTCCGGATGTTCCTCCACCATTTGAACACCCCGTTGTAGCCATTCCACCGAAGTTTCGAGACCTGAAGATACTGAAGAAGTCGATACACCCCTTTCCAACTCTTCCACTCTCGCTTTGAGTTCTCTCATATGGACCACCGTTCTTTCCAAAACTTCTAACTTGAACTCTCCTCCCCCTTTCGTCTCTCCTAGTCCCGGAACCATCCCTCTTAATTCTTGTAAAGCGAAATTGATTTTTTCCCTCCTACGTCGTTCGATCAAAGAATGATTAGCTTTACGCAATTGCTCCCTAGATAACTGTTTACCTCCACCGCCAACTTTTTGTCCACCTCTTGAATTTTCCCCTCTCTGAACTTCTTTCATGATTCCTCCACTTTTCGACGATTCTCCGATCTTATTTCCTCGATCCTGAGAAGGGTTTCCAGGTTGACTTTTACCCGAAGCTCCAGGGTTTGTACGTTTTCTTCTGGTTGGAATGTATTCTTCATCGTCACCCGATACATCTGATAGACTCTGACTATCGTCTTTGGCAGGTATTCGTGATGGTCCAGAATGTGGAGAAGGGAGAGTGGGAAGATGAAGATCAATAGTTGCTTTTCGTTTAGTAGGAATTGCAGGAGGAGGCATTTGTCCCAGTTGATCGCGTGACAATTGATATGTGGAATGAGGTATGTTTAGTGTGTTCGCTTGGAACGGATGGAATGATCCTTTTCGCTTCTTGTTTTCTTGTAGTACTCGTCTTTCTTCAAGTTGATTAGATATATTAGAAAGTGATGGAATTATTTTCGGATGTAACAGAGGATGAAGCATTCCAAAGGTTGTTCTCTATCCTTCAGCTTGAGACGGTTGATCCGGGGAAAAAGAAATAAGAACGCACGTTTCGTTCCTCGGTACCTTTGACGCACGAGGTAGATCACACGAGTCTCAAACTTCAATACTTTCCCTCCAATTTCTTGTCCTCTGTAGCATAGACCACTTATCAAGTGAGAAGAGAGAAGCGGGAAAGGTAAGGAGGGAAGAAGAAAGGAGGGTAGGAAGTTGATCCGCCGCAAGATGGAGTCGTTTACGACCGAGTAACTTGCTTTCACTTCGTTCGTCTTGTATGAGCTCGCACTAGAGACTTCCTCAGAGCTATGTGAGATTTATTAGTCAGGAGAGATGAGGAGAAGAGAGTAGGGTAAAGGACAAAGAGAGGACGAACGTTGCTCGTGTGACTGAGTTTGTTAAATCCAAGAGAGAAAGTACGAAAGTAAGGAAGGAAACGCACGTTCGTCAGATCCGCCACGATCGCCACTCGATCATTCGTGGCAGTGTGGCAAATTCACTTTCCGCCACTTTCAGACCGTGCGGATGGCACGGACCCCTTGTTGGTTGGTGAGACGAGAGAGGATGCATAAAAGAGAGAGAGATGTCCCGAGTTTGATCTCGCGGAGTTTCTCGGTAATCTACATACGACTCGTGGTGGCGGTACGATCAACACTCCCTCTGCCGTCATCACCGAGTCTCTGCTCACTACCTAAGACGGCTTCCCCACTGTCCTAACCTTTAAACTCCCTTTATTACCTCTCGTTCCTTCTCTTTTATCCTCTATCCTTAGATCTTCCATATTCTTCAAATGACGTTTACCCGGTAAAGCTTTAGTGAGAATATCTGCTTGTTGATCATTTGTTGGGACGTATACAAGTTGAATTTGACCGTTTGATACTTGTTCTCGAATGAAATGATGTCGATACTCAATGTGTTTCGTTCGAGTATGAACACCTGGGTTATTAGCCAGCGCTAAAGCTCCCTTGTTGTCACAATTCAGAGTAACTGTTCCCTTCAAATTAACCAATTCCTTCACAAGCCCAGATAACCATCTTGCTTCCTTCGCTGCTTCAGCCATAGCCACATACTCTGCTTCTAATGTTGACGTAGTGACTGAACCTTGTCGTTTTGACATCCAACTAATCACTGAATCACAGAGCTTGAAGATATATCCTGTAGTAGACCGTCTTGTCACTTTGCACCCTGCAAAGTCCGCGTCTACCCAACCTTCTAATCCTTTCCCTACTTCTCCACCAAGAACTAAACCATATTCTCGTGTCTTGAGAAGATAAGCAACTATTCGTAAAGCAAGTTGCCAATGTGTTTCTAGGGGAGCAGCACTGAACCGTGCTAGAAAGTTTGTAGCAAAGCTGATGTCCGGCCGAGTACATGCCGATGTCCACATCAAGCTTCCAATGGCGGCTTGGAAAGGGGAAAGAGGTGCGAGTTCATCAGTTTCACTGACTGCTGGTTCATCGTGATGTTGAGTGGGGAGAGGAGCTGTCATTGGACGATGCTGTGAATGACCCGGAAATCGAGAAGCGACTTTATCAATGTACGCTGGTTGAGAAAGATGGATTCTTCTTTTTGAACGATCTCGTGTAACCTTGAGACCAAGAATCTGCTTCATTTCTCCCATTTCCGTCATTACCCATTTCCTCTTCAGCTTCTCCATGACCGCATCAATCTCCTTATTTGTCTGCGCAGTTATGACCAGGTCATCAACGTACGCCAGGAGAATCACCAGTCCACCATATTTTCCTGCTGGTCGGACATACATTCCCCAGTCTCCCTCAGTCCTTCTGAAACCCTGTTCTTCTAACGCTTTCCCAAGTTCCAACCACCATACCCTGGCTGATTGTTTCAACCCATACAAGGACTTCTTCAATTGCAGTACTGTCCCACTGCGTTGTCGTACCATGGCTTCAGGATGTTCCATGTAAATCTCCTCGTCAAGTACACCATTGAGATAAGCTCCCTCAACATCGGCTTGTCGTAGTTCCAAATCAAATGTAGCAGCAATTGTGAGAAGTAGTCGAAGACTTGTCATCCTACTCACTGGAGCATACATTTGTTCATAATCAATTCCAGGTTGTTGAGAAAAACCTTTTGCTACGACTCTTGCCTTGTGTTTGACGATTTGACCATCAGCGTCTCTCTTGATGTTGAAGACCCATCTTGACGCTATAGTGTTCCGACCTGGTGGGAGAAAAGCTTCTTCCCATGTTCCTTTTGACTCAATATTGTCAAGTTCCCGGAGCATAGCTTTCTTCCATTCGTCTTTATCCCTGCTAGTAAGAGCTTCTCTAGCAGTCTGAGGTCCATCAGACGGTGACGAATTTGCTTCTTCCATACCCATCTCTGACGCCATAGCAGATGCTCTTGTTGTATTGCTATACCATTTCTCCACAAGGTTTGCTTGATATGGTACTTCACCAGCAATTCGAGCACTACGTCGAGTAGGAAGTACAGGTGGGGGCGGAGGTGGTGCAGGAGTTAGAGGAGCGGGAAGATCAAGTGTTGGAAGAGAATTTGCCGTGGGAATCTTTGGTTCTTGAGTAACTTGAACGTCGTTCCCAGTCTCCCTCTGTCCTTCCACACCGTCATCATTCCTCTGCTCTATTACTCCACCATTCTCCCTCACACTCACTGAATCTGGTTCATCTTCCAGAGGTTCAGTCACAACCTGTGCAGGTTGTACAGGAGGTATCATTCCTGAGGAAGGAAGTGTTGCCGGTAAAGTCGTAATAGGACGTGGAGGAGGATTGGATACTGGGGCCGTGGGAGGAGTAATGGGTGTAATCGTCTTCTCTGGAGTTAAGGGGTGACCTGAAGCACTCTTAACGTCCCTGCTGAAAAGCATCTTTCCATCACTCTCCATCCTCACATACCATCCACTCTTTGCTGGATCCATTCCTACGACTCTTCCCAATTCTCCCTTGTCAATATCTAACCTTGACTTTCCTCTTACCTCTCCAGGGATCTGAACAAACACCAGTTCCCCAAACATCAAAGCGTTCTTCAGATTTGGGTCTCTACCCGTGTACTTCATCCACGCATTGATACCATCTTCACCTCTGGTTGTCTTCATGAAAAGATAACAGGCGTATTTCACCGCCCAATCCCAGTAGTTGTTGTTCAAATTGGCTGACGCCAACATAGCTCCAGTCATCTCTTTGAGAGTTCTATTGAACCTTTCCACAACTCCATTCAGCTCAGGAGTGTACCTAGGAGTAACTTGATGGATAATTCCCGTCTCGTGGTACCAAGCACCCGCTGGTCCACTGGCAAATTCCAATCCACCATCACTTCTAATAAACCGTACCTTCCCTCCCGTCTGTCTTTCCAACTTATTGACAAAGCCTTTCAGGTGAACCAATACGTTCTGCTTGTTAGGCAGAGGTATCACAGATGCTATTCTTGAATAGTCATCTATCATCGCCAAGTAATGACGATTTCCTCCAATGGATGGGTCAAAAGGACCGGCCAGATCAACATGAACCGTCTCTGCATCTGCCTTCCCCCTGGGACTTTCTTTCCCCTTGGGTAACCTTGTTGCCCTGCGAGCTTGACAAGCGTCACATTCCTCCAGCCTGAACGTATCTTGTTCCAGCTGCTCCCTCGAATAACGTAGCAGTCCATCACCTGCTAGCTTCAGGAGTTTCTCACGACCAATATGTCCTAGTCGTTTATGTTCCTCTTCCAAAAGACTTGTTCTAGCTTCGATTTCATTTACTTGAGGTATTTCAAAGCCTTCTGGTTGAGATGGATTGTGGTGAACAATCCCCATCTGGACGAACAGGAAATTTCCCCTTCTCTCGCCCTTGATGATCAAGCCGTTCGTTGACAAAACCATGTCATGGAGGTCGACTTTCCACCCCTTATCTATCAGGGTATACGCTGAAAGATAGTTTCTTGTTGCTGAGGGTTGATAGAATACGTCTTGAAGTTTGATTCCTCTTCCATTGTTGAGACGTAAGACAATATCACCGGTATAGGAAGCGACCATTTTACCACCGTTAGGAACTGAGAAGTGAGCAGGTGAGGTAAGTTTCTTGAGATTAGTGAACAGATGAATGTAAGGGGAGACATGGTGGGTGCATCCGCTATCGACAAGGAATTCAGGAATGGAAGAAGGTGTCGACGAATTGTCTTTGCCGATAGCTCCTATTTCAAAGTCTTCCAATCTTGCTTCCCCAGCGTGTCTTTCCCACTTCCCTTTACCCTTCACCTTTCCCTCGTCTTCATCCTCCTTCTTTGGACAATCTTTCTTCATATGTCCACCTTGCCCACAGTTCCAACACTTAGGTCCTTCCTTATCACCTTTAACCCCACTATCTTTACCACCCACACGTCCCTTCTTTCCCTTAAACCCAGGTTTTCCCTTCCCCTTTGCACCATGCTCCAGGGAAACCTTCTGCATCGCTGCATTCACCTCTCCAACTATGTCGCCTTCACCCCTTGCGTCCCTTCGAGCAATCTCCCCTTGGTACATCTTCCTAACACCATCCCATGATTGCAGGTAGCCAGGTTGTTGTTGGAAGATACGAAGAGCAATGTCAAAGTCGGTTGCGCGGGTGAGAGAATCAAGGAATAGTTGAACACGAGTGTTGTCTGAGAGCTCGCAGCCAGCGTGCTTGGCTTCAAAGAATAAGGAGTTGAATGTGGTGAGATGTTTAACGAGGTTGTCAACAGAGGAATTGGATGGGAGGAATAAGGTACGAAGCTTTCTTTCTATGGCTGAACGATGTTGAGGAGTACTTATCTTCATGTCGTTCTCCAGCCAATCCCACATCTCCTTTGCCGTAGATAACTCTTGAATCTCCATCAAAAGTCCCCTATCCACTCTGGCTTGGATGACGCCCTGGGCCTTAAGCTCCCTCTTTCTCCATTCCTCCCACCTCTTCATCTCGTCTGTCCCCAATATCCTGGGACTATCCATCTCATCCTCCCTGGGCGGCATAGACCCCGCCCTCATGTACCTTGCAACCGAGAAAGCACGATATGGTTCATGGTCGGTACCTTCGATGATGCCAATGCAGCCGACAATGGTGAGGTGAAGTCGGGCTTGGGTACTCCACGCATAGTAGCCGTGGGCACTGGAAAGAATGGGAATGGTATCAAGTGTGGTTCCCGTGTATTCGCTCATTTTGATGTACGTGAGCTTTGTCTTCTAGATCAAAAATAGACTCTCAAGAAAGACTTATCGTGCGCTAGGCGAGTACTACGATGTAGTAGCCGCCACCAGGTTGGACTGGATTTCCTTCTACCGGCAAGCCCGTAGGTATGCGTCTCAAAGACGTCTCCGTTGCAGTAAACTGACAACTGTCCTTCGCCTCCTACTATCCAACCAAGCACTTTCCCGTCTCTCCTTATCTATTCTCCTTCCGTCTAGATCCTACCGTACCAGTACTAACCCAGTACTGTACTCTCTCTTATCAATCGCAATTGATCGTTGTCGATAAACCGTGTTGTCGATAAACCGTGTTGTCGATAAACCGTGTTGTCGATAAACCGTGTTGTCAATAAACCGTGGGTACCGATAACCCCTAATACGCGTGATCCCCCCTCGGCCCACCACCTATCACTGCTTCACCGGAAGCGTTCAGTGGACCGGTTGATGCAATGTCGCTCACCAGTTCCACAGTGATAGATGATTGACTCCTATACAGCAACAGTGATAGAGTCCGACTGTTAATCTGTTGGTTGGTGAGACGAGAGAGGATGCATAAAAGAGAGAGAGATGTCCCGAGTTTGATCTCGCGGAGTTTCTCGGTAATCTACATACGACTCGTGGTGGCGGTACGATCAACACCCCTGGTCGTTCCAAGTCGTACAAGTACGTGGCAGATGTCGAATTAATACGCTGCCTTTATAGAATAATGCATATGATATCGTTAAAGTCTTCATTCAATCCTCTCATTCCCGTATCTCACCGCAGTGTGTCCCTATCTTGGAACTAGTTGTCCAAACCCTTCTCAGCCAAAGAAGAGATATTCTTGTTGATCTCATGGCTCAAAGTGAGTTGCCTACGTCCCAAATAAGCTGACCACTCAGCGCTTTTCACGGCATCTCTGTACGCAAACAACTGTGAATCACACAGACCATCCGACAAGTCGTTGTTCACTTTAGAAGCTTCATTTACAAGGGTTTCGAAAGGTTGGAGTAAAGTACGTTCACGCGTACATCCGTTACAAGAATCGTGGCCTTGATGGGATTGATAATTTGAAAAGAGGATGTAATCAGCTATAGACTTTTCCCATCGAGACATGGAGTCATTAGGATGTCCATTGGTTCTTGTAAGAGCTTGGATGAATATTGACCAAGCAGTAAATTGCTCTGCAATCAACGATTTTATCATGACAAACTGGCCTGTTGATCACAAGAACGGGCAGTCAGATTCGTGATGGGATGGATTGTGAAGTGGTGCAGGTCAATGATTTAGTAGGAGTATGATTCTCCATTCGTGCGTAGTGTGTGAAATAGACTTACCATCCTTACGGTCTGCTATCTCCCACAGAAGAGAGTTCTTCTTAGTTTCATCCTTTATGTCCTGTTCCTCCAATAGGCTTGGATTTGACATGTTTACTTCTCTAGTCATTGATTCTTCCCTATTTTGGTGAGGCTTCAAAGAGATCTCTCCTTCTGGAATTCTCTGATCAAGTGCAATACATGCCCCTGGCACTTGGTCAGTGAAAGCGTCCAAAACCGAAGCCATGATCTCCTTGTAGGTTTTGGGGTCCTTGACAGAGGGAGATTCCTTCTGAGTGTCATGATTCCCATCTTCACTGGCATGACTGCCAGTCAACTCCCCGTCGATCGGGATGCTGGGATAGACTAACGACATGAGACTGTTGGACGTATCGAGATCAAATGACATTGTAAAGATACCGGAGGTGGTTAAGATATGTAGCAGGGAAAATTGGTCAATTGAATGATCAGTGAGCAGATATTGAGAGTGTTCGGACGGAAGAAATGCAGTGGTGGGTTGTAGTGAAAGAAGTCGATGGTACTCATAGCCTTAGACGTCGCAATATAAGCACACCAAAAACGGCCTTCCTTCAATGTTAGCCGATAGAATCGGGCCAGGACGGCCGAACCGCCGTTAGAATTACCCCTTCCGTCGAATATTTCTCCGTTCAACTTATCCTCTGAACTTTATTCGATCGTCTCTGGTTTTATGCGTGTGAGTGGAATGTGATAAGTATAGAGACATGTAGAATTGATGCATGCTCTTTTTCCCCTCTGTATTACCATCTAATTATTAGCGAAACATTCAATGAGAATTAGGTGTTCTCATGTCCGATACAGAGTTCTAGAAGTCCGCTCATCTTACTTGCGTGTCATATCGACAACTTCTCAATTTACGTCTATGAGTGAGAAGGCGACTAATTAACATTGTTCCATATCAAAGAGTGTGTCACGTGAAACGTGTATGAAATACCGTAGCATTTCAAGATATACAGTAGGTCTTTCTCTTCCCATGGATGAAACATTCAGTACATCTCCTTGAGCTCACAATTTGGTACATGTTTCAAATAGGTGTTACATACAAAATGGTGTGTAAAGAATAGTGGAGGTGGACTGAAGACTCGTTGTTGATGGGCTAAAAGGATCACAACTCGCTTTCTGCTTGCTCCACACTTTAGGAACTAACAACTTTGGAGAGTCAAGCAAAACAACGATCAACTCTCTTAGTTCAAACAGATGTTGGACACAGCACTTACAGTTCACTTGCAATCAAGATCAGTTTTATTCTGATACTTGATGCAAGATCAATCTGCAACTGAATGCATCATATCATCTGCTTTCTTCCCAAAGAGTTATGAGTGTGTATATTTTCAATGTCCAAAACCATTGATCCGATGACTAAACGCTGAACGCTGGTCCTCCAGATCTACAGTCGGGTGTAAAAAGTCATGTCCTTCATGCAATCCGTGCCATGCCACACTGCCTCATTAGACATACTTTGACCCGTGTTTCATCAGCCGCCCCTGCAGCTATGGCCTTGAAACTTTGTAAAAACATTCTCCAGCATCTAAACTATGGTTGGGTACCCAATATCCCCCTCAAAAAGAGCTACAATTGCGGAAGCGGCGCTCTATGACACTCCTACCAATGTGGCACTCCGCTTCGGATACTCCCCTCGAACTGTCACTCGTTTACGAAAGCAACAAGCTGAACAGGGTCACAACCGTACCAAACATCGTCCTGGGCGTCCCAAGAAGCTTACTGAACGCGAAGAAACCCAGATTCGTCATGCTTTCCTAAGATATCGCCACAAAACCCTCCGCCACATCCTCTCCCTCCTTAAAGAAACCGGCATTGATATCTGTCTTTCTACCCTGCGCTCTACCATGAACAAATTTGGTCTCCGATGTCGTGTTGCTCGTTCCAAACCACTTTTAACTCCTCTCCATCGACGCCTACGTAGGGAATGGGCTCTCAAGAACAAAAACCTCGACTGGACAAAGGGTTTATACACTGATGAAGCAAAAGTTTGGATAGGGGGTGGGACAATCCAATGGGTGACAAGAATGGATCATGAAGCATTCAGTACCTCGTGTGTCAAGCCTAGAGTAAAGAAGGGACATGGTGTGATGCTTTGGGCAGGTATTTGGCATGGAGGAAGGACGGAATTGATCAGAGTTGACACATCTAAGAGCAAATCGAAGAGGAAAGGAATGAATGGAAACATCTATCTTGAACAGATCGTGAAAAAACCTCTACTTGCTGCTTGGAGGAAGCTAGTTCGACAATGGCGTGGTTATGGGACTCCCTTCATTCTACAGGACAATGTAAAGCTCCACTGGACCCCGGAAAATCGAGCAGCATTCAAGAAGTATGGATTCCACTTCATTTCCCACCCTCCTTGTTCACCTGATCTCAATCCCATTGAAAATTGCTGGGCAGTGCTCAAAAAGGAGCTAGCTATGCTTCCTGACCGTCCCACAAATGTAGATGACCTCTTTGAGGTTGCTAGCCGATTGTGGAAGGAAATACCCCAGGAAAACATTGATGCCACAAGCATGAGTATGGAGAGGAGAAGGAAGAGTGTATATAAGATGAAGGGGTGGAGTACTAAGTACTAGTCGGATGCATATGAAACTTGGTGAGTCTCTTTACAATACACATATGCATGTTCTGACCAAGTTTCAGGTTTTTAGCTGTTTGGATGAAGGAGTAATGAGGTTAAAGAGATGGAAGGGGTTATGTAGCACGGCTGAAAATGGTCGCGCGGAGGACATGACTTTTTACACCCAACTGTACCACTGCCGTGGCTCTTTCTACCAGGTCTGCCAACACTCGGAAAGATGCATTATTCTTCTCTTGGCATCGCAACTGATTGGTTTTACAGGCTTCATATCTCAGGCTTGCGAGTGGGCTCATAAGAAGATTGCTACGGTGACATGTGGCACAGGAAAGAAAGTTGGCTCCTTGATGTTTAATGTGATAATTTCCCGCGCAAATATAGCTATCCATTGCATTCACCCACTCGTTCATGGACTGACTGTGCTCTTTGTTTATCTGGAGACATTGAGGCTTGAGGTTCTCCCATGTACTGATGTGATCTGTGGTCAGTAAAATAAGGTTGATGAATCATACTTTCTCGTCAGAGGTTTGAAGGTGTTGAGGAAGAACAACCATATCCTGTAGACACAACAATATGAATACCTGCCAACATGAAAGCGGCAATGGCACGAGCTCGTTCTTGCTTCTATGTTAACTGCCAGGAAGCTCAAAACTCACCTGACCTAAATCTTTCCATCCGCCATCTCAAAGCAATCACCTCCCCAGGAGTAGGTTGGTATTGGGTTGCCAATGTTGAGCCATCACTGATCAGTTCACGAGATGACATAACTGATTCTGGTTGAGAAAGGTACGTTCCATGTTGTAGGTTTGCTTCTGTTACTTCTCGGGCGAACGAGTAGGCCGTCGGTGCATTCTTCGGAATGGTACAGATCACCCCATGTGGAGCCCTCCGAAGAATCCGAATGATTGTCAGGGTTCAAAACCAGTTCTGTGAGTTCAAGAGTATCGGAGTGACGAGGGATAATTGAGGGAAGAACCAGGCTATTGGGGTTATGGCTATCGCTCTCAAACTTGGATGTCATGGTCAACAGTGATTTTGATCAGTGGTATCTCTACTTGTCAAGATCGGTTAGATGGATGAACTGAGGTAGCGGTGGGTTTGTAGTTATGGAGAGTGGGTGAACTGACAGAGATATGTGTAAGAGATTAGCAGAACATATAGAGAAAGAGACTGTCTACGTCTCACCAAGAGTGGTCATACATGCCTCAGCAGATCAAGTCCACTTGCTTGCCCAACCGGAAGGCAACACAGGGGATGAGATCAAACGTCTTTTCATGAGAGTCTATTTGTTTCAAACTTGATGATACTCAGCTGAGATTTAGTCCGTGTGATCCGCCTCATCTGAGTGAAGAAATTGTAGTATGAGTTTCATCAATGTGAATGTTTCACTCCTCCTCATTGATAACAAGTTGGAACATGTAACCCTTATTGTCCCATGGCAGATCTTCAAGCAATGTTCAGACCTGTGTTTCGAAGTGGCTGCAAATATCTGTTCAGGCAGGCTGTGAGATCCAGAGGACCTTCAACAAGTTTCAGTAGACCCCCCAATCAGGAAGCTAGGGATGCGTTTTTGTATGCTGCAGTACTGTTCAAGAGCGGGGACGTAGGTTAGAATCGCTGACCACTCCACCTTCAGAGGATCTATCAATGCTCCTCTCAAAGCAAGGACATAAAAGGACGCTGGGGAGATCAACCAAGAGTAAATCATATTCATAAGCTCTCTCACACATCTCACCCCAGCTGTACTTCTGTGTACTCCAAGCGCAGGCTGAAGGGTGTTGCACCTTTCCACACTAGCTAATGATGTGGAATGAGATGGCTGAGCTGAGCCTTGTCCGCTTCTGTTGTGAAGGATTGAGTGTTCTTTCGATGTCTCGGATGACCTCGTGAACCACGTAGGTCACTAACTGGGCTCTCTATCGTGACTTGACCTGAAGGGTGGAAGCGAACTGAGGGAACATTCAACGACCTCGAGAGGTCATCCCAGTCGGGGATAATCAGGGGTGTCGACCTCTCAGTTGAGTACTCGGTGCCGGAAGCACTTGTGACAGAATTGACCTGAATTTCCTGAAGGTTATTGGAGTATGTGGAAGGTGTGTCTTCTGTGTCAGCCAGATATCCCTGACCACTGCAAGGTCTATCCACCAAGATGACATCATGCCCCGCTTCTAAGTGTTCAAGCTCCCTGATTGAGAGGTGATAGGGTGACTGACAAGCGTTGAGAGTCGCACAAGGGGGAATTCTGTCGCACTTCAGGCGAGAAGGGTCAGAAGTATGACTATAGTCAGAGTAGTTGGCGTGATAGTCATTTGGAAGGCTGTGGGAGTATAAAGCAAAAGTAGAGGCTGCCAAGGTTTGAAGTTCCGAGACGGTTTCTGCATGATCACTGTGCCACAAGGAAGCTACTTGAGGAGGCCTTGGGGTGCTAGCTACACAGTGAGTTGTGCTGAAAACCCCACTGGGTATACAGGATGGACATTCAGTATGTCATTGATGATGGAATTAATTGGGGTAGTCGTTGAGAATTCACGAATCATTGTAGTTTGCGGCACAAAATTTGTACTAATAGCAGATAACACGTTGTTTCCGGAACTAAATGCTGTTACGCAGCCTTTATACATTCTAGTTCTAGTTAAAACTGGTTTATTAAATCCATTATAGGATACACTAGGGCTAGAAGAAGTAGTTAAACCTGATTTATTAGGCCCATTATAGGAAACATTAGAATTAGAAGAAGTAGTTTTATTACTAGTACGGAATGTTAGAGCAGGTGAACAATTTATGAATACGTTTATAGCATTAGTACTTACAACTAATGCAAAAGATAAGAAAACTATCATACCACTAATTACAATACCTAAGGTTAAATAAGCTATAATATATCTTAAAGATATTGCTATTAAACTGTGGGTTAAGGCTAAGAAAACAAAACCAATAATAATTATTAAGACATGGTCTATATTAACATTGGTTTCATTTAATTTAGATGTGGAATCATCAGATAATTTTACTAATGGTGAAATGCAACAAGAGAAGGGTTGACTTTTCAAGAGGATTCATTGTGTTTGTGGCGCTACTTTGGCACTTAGAGAATGAGGATGTTAGAGACACGGCCGGAGACGTGCACCTCCGGAGCTGCATGGTTGAAAACCCCCCTCTTGGACCCGGCCAGAGAACCATGCAGCTCCAGAGGGGTCCGGACACAGCCAGAGCATTTTTACTCTTATGATCCCCAAGCTCTCCACATATATAAATCACAGTACAGATATCCTGTGGTACCATCTTCTGGACTCCTGGAGTCATGGTGGTCCGGCCCCACAACTTGAAATCTACAACACTGCAACAATTACCTATGATACATCACCATTGGAATTCCCCCTGGTTCAAGATATTGGCTGACCTTCTTGCCAAATACAGCATGTGATGATGAACAGCACTTTGATGGTTACCTCTTACACTTGTCTTAGTAGAGCATCGGCCCTTTGGAGTTACCAACACTGTCTTGTACGGTGTGAAGGATCTGTCATTGATGTTTCTCTGAATGGGAATGGCTAAAGGGAGTGTTCAGCTCCGGAGTGGTACATCTCTGGCTGGGAACGATCAGGTCCGTGCAGCTCCGGAGGTGCACGTCTTTGGCCGTGTCTCTAACAAGGATACAGTACGAGTAGTGTCTGATGTTGAGGATGATGTATTGCTTGTGGTGTATCTTATGTTTGGATATTGGCAGGTGTTGAGCTTCACAAGTGACAAGAGTGGTGAACGAAGACAGTGAGTGACGGTCAGCGATTAAGCCGTTGTGTACTTATATCGGGAGTGTAGGCGGAGTAGGAATCTCTTCTCTTGCGGCCCGATCATTTATAGCATCTATGCACTTGTTGATTGTTGTGAAACAGTTATCCGTAATAGTATCCATGATACAAATGTCCCACCAATTAGCTGTGGAGTCTGTGTTCTCCTGCGTCTGGAGAGAATGAGTGTGAGAACATGACAATGGGAGAAATAGATCAGATCACGTAAGAGGTTGACTGTCACGGCCGTCGAGCAATTACTTCCTAATAGACCGACGGTCGACGAACCTCGGCTAACTTCACGCTTCTGAGTCGATGTCTCACCCAACCGGGAGGGCGCAAACGTCGAAAAGGAGTGTAACTACGGCGTACTTCGGCGTAGTTACTCTAACTAAGGCTTTGTTCTACTGATGGCGATGTATCTCGATTTATAACTATCTCTATCTGTCTTTCACTACTGACAACAATCAAGGATCGCTGAAGAAGTTCAGCGATCTCTAAACTATCTATACTACTCCTCTCTTCTCATAGAACGTCCCTCAACTCCTGCACTGCCTCACGCTCAGTCCTCTTCGTTCAACCTTGCCGTACCTCGCCCTATCCCCGATATCCTACTCCGCTCACTTCGACTAACTTCGCCTAACTTCCCCTGTTCTACTCTCCCTCGGTTCCCTTCCCCTAACTTCGCCGTAGTTCTCCGCTAGGCGGGGTTATCGTGACAAATACCCTCTTGGTTCTCGTAACTTCGCCGTAGTTGGTCTCAGTGGTTCGAGTGGAGGTTGGTGGTGGTGAAAGGAAGGACGGTGATGGTGAAAGGAGGGTCGGTGATGGTGGTTGTCAGGGATGTTACGACGTAGTTCGTGACATTGACTCAGACTTGTTTTGACCGTGTGAAGATTTGGGCGTCCTCCGGATTTTGTACTTGTTACATGAAGGACTAGACCGCATACTGTATGATCGTTCTTCGAGAAAGTCAGTGTCTCTGTATGTTTTCAGCACTACTCACTTACTGATGTGAGTGTTTGACATGATTGTTGAGGCACGTCATGTCACCCATGCCATTGAATGGACGGACAAACTGTGGCAGAGTGTGCTTGACAAGTGTGACCTTTGCTTTCCCAGCTGACAAACCTTTCATGAACAGGATAAGCAATACTCATAAGACTTCAAGTTTGAAAACCTTTTCCTAATTTGTTGCATACAGTCCGAATTCCCCTCACTTAGTATGGTTTATACCTATCATCCAAGTACCACGCGCATAACATCATTCTCCAACATGACCACCCGGCCCAATGGTGCTTCCAGTCGGTCCAAGCAAAGGATTGATTCAATGGACTTTTGCTAATTGAGTGACAAGTGTATACTTGCCATACAGCTGTGTATTCAAGCTCTCTGGAAACTTCAAACGATCCACTTGACTCTCACCCACCAAGGTCTCCAAAGCCTCAGAGAGGACTCCTTTATGCTGGCAGGGAGTACAGGTCAAAGAGTGTGTGCGGCCATGTTTTGCATACATGTCTTCAGAGTGTAAGTATCTGAGAAATCCATTGGAAGACGTGATCATCCTGTTCAGTACAGAGTGCTCCAAAAAAGCTATTCCAGATGGACAATTGATCTGATGTAAGCATCACTCCGAGATTGGTTTCGGTCACCTGACATAAGAGCAGCACGGATCTTCCATCCGTCACGGTCAGACCCATGCCGTTTCGAAAGGTCACGGTCTTCTGTCCGTCACCTGACATAGAGTATCTCACTGTTTTACAGGGTGCGGGGGGTGAGCATACAAAAAGCATACGTCACAACGTCCATTTTCGTGGGCATAGCATAATGACGACGTTTCCCATGATGCTTGTTTGGGCATCGAACGCGTCATCGAAGCAACACGGGAGAAAGGGGGACGCCTTGGAGGGGAAGGGGAAATGACGGATTGGCCTCCGTGTGATTGTGTGATGCGTGTGACCAGACGTGACCAGAGGGGAAGGAAGATAGGGGCAGTGTATCTCCATTGTGCTAGCTCATTCACAGCAAACAGTGGCAAAGCTGTGCACTCAGTGAGCTTATATCTAGACAGGTAGGGAAGCTCTTTCAGAGACTCTCACATACACAACCTAATAGCACAATCATGGAAATTGACACGGCAGTTGATCGACTGACTGACAGCATGTATGCACTGTCTATGGACAAATGTAAGTACCATTGAGAACTCTGAGTAGTGCTGATCTTTGAGTTTCAGTGATAATGGACGACCTGAGAGAGAATGTAAACCAGGCAATGACCCAACCTGAGCTCTTTGCTCCTAGTATTCCTCAAGCTTTCACCGACACCTTGGTACTTATGAGCAGCTTTCTGACATGTACACCAGTACTTGCACCAACAAGTGACCTGAGGGAGAATAGAAGATTGGCTCTTGCTTATGCCTTATGTTCTGTTCACCTTCTGCAGAGCGTCATGGGTTGGCACTGGGCCCAAGTCAGCCAGGGTGAAGGACCTGTTCCACAATTGGAGTGGCTCATTGTACACACAGGGTATCTCAGCACTAAGTTTCTGCGTAAGGGAGGTTTGATGGAGAAGACAGATTATGGTGAATATTATGCACGTGCACAGAGGCTTTGATGAAGGAAGTATTCAATAGCCAAGCCTTGTTTGAGGTAAATGACCCGGATAACGAACGTCTACTTAAGCGCTATACCACTCTCAATAGCTGTCGGACATCGGTACTCCGGTATCATAGAGCTGATGATCTCAAAATGGATATGGCAAATGCTACTGGAGGGGGAGAGGAGCCTCACACAAGGAAGAGGAAGGTCTCTGATGAAGTCCATGGAGGTAGAAGTCCTTCCTTAGCCTTGGGGGTCAATGGTTTATAACCTGACTAATGGGGAGGCTTGCATCAAGCTGTTCTCTGTGTGACTAAGAGACAATGCATTAGTTGAAGGTATATTTGAATACAATTACTTCACACTCAGTGTTAGGCATAGTGCCAAACTGTTATGACACTGCACAGAAGCAGGTCATGCATCATGATTGAGATTAGTATCACAGATATTAATGGGCAGATGTGGCATTAGGCTGGCAACTAATAATATCGCTTTACAGATGTGTCATGGATTATAAGACAGGCTTAGTAGATGATGTCATGGTGACATCATGCTTTGAAATTGTTCACCCTAGATCTCAGTGACATCATACTCAGGCGTGAATCTCACCTAATAAAAGTGTAGACTTCACCGAGCAGAAACATAAGGATTTGAAGATGTTGTTGGAAATCTCATTGGGAAATCATTCGTGCTGATGTCTATGTAAGCCTGCCATATTTTGTAGTTTCCCCATCAATGGATCTGTCACAAAGGACGTGACAAGTTAGTTTGGGTAGTGTTAGGATGGGTTGGGTATTTAACCAGCGAACGACGGTCATGATTAACCACCGGTTGATAGGCCTTTTAGCACAGAGGTTCAGGCCACTGTCTCTGAAGGGCACTGTTATATTGTCCCAATGCTGGTTAGTTGGTCTTGTGACAGATTAACCGGCGGTTACGGGTAGGGTCCTGGGTTTGACTCCCGGACAGAGCTGGGGTAACCCAGACCTACTTGGAAAACCTCTTGAGAGTTGGAGTAAGTTTTCTGCCTATCATGCCCATCCCTGTTGGGGCCCCAGATGAGGCTGACAGGGAAGGCATAATGTCACAAAGGACGTGACAAGTTAGTTTGGATAGTGTTAGGATGGGTTGGGTATTTAACCAGCGACCGACGGTTATGTCATGAATCAACAACTCTGCTCTTGTGCACACAAGGTAGAAAGTCCAGGTATCAGTTTCTTCATGTTTAGTTCTGCTCTTATGCCTTCAAGGCAAGAGACCTGAACCTTTGATTAGTTAAGTTATCCTCAGTTAGTCTGCCTGGTATGGCATTAGACCCAAGACTTCAGTTTAGTTAGATTCAGGGTGAACGTATGGTTTACGTCGTCATGCGTGCTTCTGCGTGTGGTCAACAGCGTATCGTACACATCACGTCGCAAAGACCACGCAGCTTTCTGATTCATGGTTGAATATACACATGAGATCGAGGATCACGACTCTTTCCTACGCAGGATGACGCACATCCCAGAATGGACTCAGAAATAGATATAAACCCCGTATAGTTCTTACATAGTTTCTTTTCTTCAGCAATGTATCTTCTTCTTCTTCTTCATCTTCTTCATCTTGAAGTTGAACTTCAACTTTGAAAGTCACCTAGTTGGTTCTAACCCAACATCACAGTCTCCTCAGTATCTAAGGCAGTCATCAACCTCTACGAGCCAGAGACTAAAACCCCTCAGTATCTAAGGCAGTACTTTGCTACCGCAGTCTACCCGCAGGCGTGATAGGTTACAATTAACCACAGGTTAATAGGCCTTTTAGCACAGTGGTTTAGACCACTGTCTCTGAAGGGCACTGTTATATCATCCCAATGCTGGTTAGTTGGTCTCATGACAGGATCTCTTGTTAGGTGACGGACGGAAGCCTTGACGCTCCGAAGTGTCATGGGGCTTAGCGTGACGGATCGAAGATCCGTGCAACTTCGAAGTGTCATGGGTAAACATCATGATACTTCAAAGCGTCACACTTTCCTGTCCATGACCTTGAGGAGAAATCATCTCCATTGATCCCCATCAACTTCTATGATACCAAACTGTGTCCAGGATATGAGGAGAGCTGCTAGAAGAGCTTCATCCACTTGGGCTCAAAAATAAGCATGCATGCATTCCTCTATAGCGCCATAAAGCTTCACTTTTGTCCATCTCACACTGGGAGTAATGTCAGGATCTGACCCAGTTTGAAGGTCAAGAGGGGCAGTACTTGAGCAGTGTAATGTGATAGAATGGGTACTCGTGGAGTCAGAAAAAATGTGTTGGAGGAGGGAAGTTTCTTCCATGTGTCATGTCTTCCATCTGTCACAGGTACCCCCGTGCTGCTTCAAAGCGTCACGTCTTCCGTCCGTCACCTAACATCTCTTTTCCTCTTGTTCTAATATTCCTGACTTTACCGTTAGAACAGGAAATTTGTCACTCAGTTGGTTTTAACCCAACACTCTCAGTCCCCTCAGTATCTAAGGTAATGTCACGGTCCTGTCCTTGACAGACCTCAATGGATCAAAGACAGGTGGACTGCAACTGTTTAGTTAGCTTGGACAACGACGGTTAGTATGTTGTCTGTAGACTTGTGATGTGGTTGGACGACTAACGTGACTTGCAAAGGATCTGGGCAGGTTGAGATGACAATATGGGTGTGTGTGATGGTGTGGACAAGGGTAATAATGATGAGGGATGTGTCAGATGTAAGTAGTATTTCAAGAAGAGGTCTTTTGGGAGTGGCAAATAATATTTTGATCCTTGAGAAGAAGAAACTGCAAAATAGAAATGTCCTCCTTATATCCTTTTCCAAGGGACTTCTGAGTCGCAAACTATTCATATGTTCTCAGGTTATTTCGTATGAATTCATGTGAATTTGTGGTCATCTTGTATGATTCATGTGAATTTGTGTGAACTCATGTGAATTCGTGTGAAATCGTACCAAATCATATGAAATTGTATGAAATTGTATGAAATCATATCTATTATAATAACAGATTTACCCTTGAGATAAACCACGTGGAGACAAACCACGTGGCGCGCGCGCATAGGGGAACGGTGGTGGTAGGAGCGGGAGGGGAATCGTGGGGGAAGCGGGACTGAGGAATGCAGATTCAGTAGGGGAACGGTGGTGGTGGGAGCGGGAGGGGAACCGTGGTGGTGGAGGAGCGGGAAGGGAACCGTGGGGGAAGCGGGACTGAGGAATGCAGATTCAGATTCGAACCGAGTTTTCGATTGCTCAAAATCCCCTAAATAGGGGGTCCGGCCAGCCAAATTCGACTTTTTTTTCGTTTTTTCACGTTTTTTCGCGCTCAGGGGGTTCCGTCACATGTAACCTACTCCACTGACTTCTCTGCCACCTATAGGGGAGAAGAATTCGGACGTCCCCGGTCCACGTGCACCTTTACACATTATCGTTTTCGCGACCATTCACAGGGCTCTCCGAGGCAACTCGCATCCCCGTTCACACCGTGCACCTTTACACATTATCGTTTTCGCGACCATTCACGGGGCTCTCCAAGGCAACTCGCATCCCCGTTCACACCGTGCACCTTTACACCGTTTCCGCGACCATTCACGGGGCTCTCCGCGGCGACTCGCAAACCCGTTCACACCGTGCACCTCTACACCATTTTTGTGACCATTCAAGGAACTCTCCGAGGCAGCTTGCAACAACCCAGTACTGTTCTCTCAGGAGACTTAACGACTCTGCTCCCATTGATTTGTGCACCTGTTTCATCCTAAATGTAAGCCTACTGCCACTGAGTGATCCATGCCCAATGCTGATTACTCAGAAAATAAAAATGAATAGACATATAAACAATCAAAATGAAGGTCTCTCGCGTCGTCAGCTTGCTCAACGTATGCGCAGGGACCGTGAACGTGAAAGAAGAGAGGCAGAGGAAGTAAGACATCCTGTCTACTATAATAACAGATGATGAGAGGTTAATTTGGGGGGATAAACCACGTGGCTGGCGGCGACGCCCGCAGGCCGGAAGCGAGACGATAAACAAGGGCGGGGAGAGAGAGAGAGAGAGAGGAAAGGATTTATCAGGTTGTTGCAACCACTACATTCACTATCTACAAGCTACAGAGAGACAGAGGAAAGAAGAGGCCACGGGTTCATGGATTTAGCTTGAGAGGCAGGAGACAGGCCTGGCAATTTGTTACGACCTGGGAGCTAGGCAGTGACTAAGACCTAACTTCAGAGGACAACAACGATGAAGGACAAAGTGATAGCGTAGAGTGGATTGGACGATGATGATGAAGAGCACCTCAGTGCTGAGGAAGGGTTGTATCGGAAGTCACTTAGACGAAGTGCACGAGTGTAGCGAGCGCAAAGAGGATTGTGAAAAATGAGAAGTTTAGAAGTGTAACTTTTGAGAATTCATCGACAAGGAAGAGGGCTCGCGGAAGGGGTATTTATACCCTTGCGCCTCCACCTTGCCTTCACTTTATAAATGACTAGTGTTCAGGCTTAGCCTGACCTACGGTATATAATTCTAACCAATGTGTCCAATATGACCAATGTGTCCAAGTTGACCAATGTGTCCAAGTTCACCGATGTGTCCAAGTTCACCGATGTGTCCAAGTTCACCAATGTGTCCAGCTATGATGTCATTACTGACACAGATGACCAGTGTTTAGGCTTAGCCTAAACAGTGGTAAAACACTGATAACCTAAGTTCCTATTTGCCACCCTAATGCCACATCATGTTCTAAAGTCCCTGATACTAATCCTAATAATGCCACGTCATTGTGTATGACCTGCCTCTGTGCAGTGTCATAACACAATTTGACAGGTTGGCAAACACTAGAAGGGTGACGACAACGGTGAGAAGAGGGAGATGGCCACAATTGAGGTTCACAAATGACGGATTCCCGAGCCAGAAGTGTGTGTGGATAGATGCAAGAGGTTTACGGGTGCACGGAGTTGACTCGAGAGGCGGGAGACGGGCCTGTCAATTTGACAGGTTGGCACGCTAGTGATATTATATGAAATCATATGAAATCATATGAAATCATATGAAATCCTATGAAAAGCTTGAAAATCCCTAAATCACGGGTCACGGCTTTACCGAGTCGTGACAGGTAAGGCAAGCCAGAGACTAACCCCTTCAGTACTCAAGGCAGTCCTTTGCTACCGCAGTGTCACGAATCATGCCATCACGTGTTCCTTGTTGCGCAAACCAAGTCCAACCTCCACTTCCGTGTTTTGATATTTCACCTCTGCTCTCATGCCTATCAGGCATAAACTCCAAGTATCATTCTAGTATGTTGATGCTTAGTTCTAATGCCTGCTAAGGCATAATCTCTCAGTCTCTTGTTCTCGCAGCACTTCTATGTTCTGCATAGTTCCTCATTGACCACCTCCAACAAAGTCGAGTGACTTCCGGCGCATCCCATAGGGTGTCATAGTAGGATGCAGGTAAACACAGATATGGCATTGTAGGATATCAGTGGTTATTGGTGGGATGCAAGGCAATGCATGCAGGACAGTGCAGGACGGTTCAGAGCGCTCGTATGCCGCAGGTCTGCACGAGCCTCTTGGAAAAGGCTGATTTGTCTTTATAAACCCTATCTTGTACTTTGTAGTCTTCTTTAGTTCTTGATCAAAAGTCATTTCCATTGCCACCCTTTTGGAGTCCAATCCAATCCATTCCAGTCCAGTCCACTCCAGTCCACTCCAGTCCACTCCAGTCCACTCCAGTCCACTCCAGTCCACTCCAGTCCACTCCAGTCCACTCCAGTCCATTCCAGTTCCCTCTAGTCTTGTCAGACAAGCCAGAGACATTCCTTGGGTCACAGTCCCATTCCTTGTTGGACTCAGTCTTGTTATCTTAAGTATATTCCTTGTCACTCCTAGTCCTTGTCCCCTTGTCCTTTGTCCTCTGTCTCAGGGTGGGCAGTATCCTTGACATGCAGTCTACCCGCAGGTGTGACAAGATGTGACAACTGTTCAGGTAAGCCCAAACACTTAGCATCTTTGTCAGCACTGACATCATAGTTGGTGTCATAACCCTCAAATATCTGTAAATACCACGTGCATATCATCCACTCAAGTCCAGTCAACTTTACTCAAATTGTCTCAACTTGTTCTATTGTACGACATGTGGATCACCATTCAACCTTAATCACCCTCCCATCACTGAGTCAACCTGACTCGACATTGTATACATCAATCACATCATCTATTGTCATCTATCATCATCTGTCATCATCTGTCGTCATCTGTCGTCATCCCAAGCTCCGGCCGACATGTACCAGGTTCCGTGTCCTCGGTTCCGCTCAGACCGGACGAACTGATAAGCAAGGGTACCTCGGGAGCAATATTAGCAGGCTGGCCGGTCGGCATCTATTTCTGTATATGAACCCGTCCCAATCAACAAACAACTGAATCATCAATGATTGATAATTAGCCATCAATTCCTTAATTACTAATAAGTGCCTTAATTAGCCATCAATTACGGGTACCTCAATTAGTGATCAATCACGGGTACCTTAATTAGCAATCAATTGTGGGTACCTTAATTAGTGATCACGCCACTGACGTCATAGGAGAGTACGTACGTCCGTCAACGGTAGTACGACTCCCTCGGTTACCAAATAACTGGTTCGCCGGATCAATCACAGGATCAATCACAGGATCAATCACAGGATCAATCACAGGATCAATCACAGGATCAATCACAGGGTCAACCACCGGGTCAACCATGGAATCAACCAGTCAACCGGTGGTCAGGATAGCCTTGTGAAACACGTGTTCGGACATGGAAAACACGCTACTGATCAATACACACCCGCTACTGATGGAGAAGTGTACGCCACTGATGAAGAGTACACACTAGCGATGAGGAGTACGCACTAATGGTCAGAGGTTTCATCTCTTTCAGCAGTGCGGACAACTCAACTGAGAGAACCAGAAGGAGAACCATTCAACTAAGCATATTTAGCCTATATTCGAACCTCTTGAACCTCTATCGAACCCGCAGGACCGAACCAGGTATTTTTGGCTCAAAATCTGCATAATGTGGGCGCTTAAGAAACACCATCAGAGCTCAGGCCTCAAGATCACTTCTCGCGCTCCTTTATTCATCTGACTTTTCAATGGGTTTTCAGCCTTTGATGAGGATATCTCTTCTGGGGCTTCTAGTATGAGTCAGAGGCTTCTGAAAATTTGTTTAAAACACTGCTTCTGATACAGGGTTTCCTCAGGATTTCCTCAGGGTTTCCCCGCTCGACATAGAAGAGGAGAGGAAAGAGTTTTAGGCTCAGTTTGGTGGATTTTGTCTATAAATAGTGGTTCTAGCTCTCTGTTTGTTTCTCTGTCTCTCTGATCAATTGTCATCTTTGATTTCAACTCTCTACTCTAACTTGCTGTTGCCTTTAAGACTGTTTGAGACATGCCATTGCGGCTTCATCATCATCAGTCGTATATTCATGACAGGTATCATTTTTCTTGAAGCAAAAGCTATCACCTGTCTGTGACTCTAGATTGCTACTGTGCTTGACCAGTTGTGAATCTTGTCCCTCGAATCACACCTATAACCAAAGGAACCCCTGACAGTAGATACATTGTCCAAAGAGTATAGCTATCTTCGTATTATGTATCTGTCAGGTAAGGTCGCTCACCCGGAACTTGGTCACACCCGGTGTCATGAACCCAGAGTGGCTCTGCCACACTGCCACAGTTGAACACATGCAAGATGCATGATGTGGGTTTTGTTATTACTCAGGCACAACCTCCACTTGCCTCCACCTTCCCAAAGTAGTAATTGTAGTGAATGCTTAATCAGCATTGCAAATCACCACATGCCTCCACATGCCTGAAGTAGTAAATATAGTGCATGCTTATTCGGCATTGCAAATCCCCAACCAAGGATTGCAAATAAGGACTCAAGGATTGCAAATAGGACTTAGGGATTGCAAATACTAGTTTATCAGTTTAGTCAGATTGCAAATTATAGTTTAGCAGTTTAGTCAGTTTGAAGGGTATAAAAGGAGCACATCTCCCCCCTCTTTCTTCAGCAATGTATCTTCAACTTGAAGTTGAACTTCATCTTTGAAAGTCACCTAGTTGGTTCTAACCCAACACCTCAGTACCCTCAGTACCTAAGGCAGTCATTAAGCTCTACAAGCCAGAGACTAAAACCCTTCAGTACCCAAGGCAGTACTTTGCAACCGCAGTCTACCCGCAGGCGTGACACCCGGTCATTGATCATTTCTTCCGCAGATCGTATACACATCACAAGAACGCATGTCATGCATTCAATATGCTACCTACACACGTAAAATGATGTGACGGACAGTACTTGGCCCCTGGCTACCCTCCAATACCTCTAACATGCCTCCTGCTTGTTCTATCACCGATGTAATTGTTTCCGGCGCATCCCCTTCCATGCGATCCTCCCTTCCTTCCGGTCCCCCTTTGTTCTTCTGTGTCCCCTTTTTCCTCTGTTCTGCTGCCGCCTCAATCTCCCGGAGCCTCTCAAGTACCGTCACACCTGTGAAATTATGTGTCCCAAGGTTCCCTACAGTAGCAACTGATTTCTGACGCTTTGGAGGCTTGAGGAGAGCACACAGCTCCTTGTTCTCCATTTCTACTATCGTACGTTCCGACCGTTCACTTTCAAGTTCGGTAGTTACATCTATGAGTTGTTTCTTTATTGGTGTGGCATTGATAGCTGGTGTATTCTGTAGGAGCTCATCATTCTCGGAGGTGATTGATGCAGAGGATTGGGAGTGAAGAAGCGGACGGGTGGGTGTCTCGGTGGGAGTAGAGAGTAATCAATACACAACATTGGGGTTGAAAGGGTGTAAACCGGACTTCCTCCAACCAGTAGCAATATGCTCCTTCGTCATCGCTAGCTCTCTGGCTGTTACTACGTCCGCTGCCCACTTCTCCTTGTCAATTGATGTTGCATTGTATCGAGTTGCAATGTCCGAGAACTTCATCAAGTGACGTTTGAGAGGACTAAAAACACCGGTATCGAGTGGTTGTGTCCAATGGGAGGAGTGTGGAGGAAGGACCATGACATCAATTGAATGTTCGATACAAAAGCCAATGAAGTCGGCCTTGACATGACTTCCGTGACCATCTAAGATAAGCAGTTGACGTTGAGAGGTATCGGCTGGAGCTGTCATTGGTTCAAATTGTGATTTCCGCCAGTAACAGGCAAGTGCATTACTTGACCACCCTTTCAAGCTTGTTGTCCATTGCCAACCCTCAATATCTCGATCTTGTGGACGCATTCGGAGGTTGAATTCCGCTTTTCCTTTGAAGATAATGATGGGGGGAAGAGCTTGACCTACAGCTGATACACACTTGATTGCGGTAACCCATTCCTGCCGACCCTTCTGCGCTTTCACCACCTTTGCCTTCACACTTTTGTCTCCTTCTGCTACTGTCATTACTTGAGAAGACAAGGTAGTACCAATGTTATATCCTGTCTCGTCCATGTTATAGATGTTTTCTGGCAGATAGTGGTATTGATTGCGGAGTGCTGACATCTCGGTAAACCATCTCTTGATGAGTGTGTAATGCATACGCCTAAAGGGTGACGTGCACTACGCTCTTGTGCTAAAAGATCCATTGCTCAGCTCATAGTATGAGCTGAGACCCTTTATAAACTGCTTGTGCTGCGACCGAGATTCAAGATTTATGACAGAGTGTCATCTCACATCCATCAATTCGAGCTATATCCAGGGTGCGAGACCATGTGGTTTTGACTTCAGGATGTTGGTTCTTGAATTTTTGAAGCCAATTGACTCCAAGAGGTATGATGATGTTATTGGGATTGGGACTGGGATTGTGAGAGAGCAGGAGTCGGTTTTGACGAAGATTCTTTGCGATCTCGCTAATGTGAGCAGGGGATGGGGGGTGACCGCTCTGAGAAGATCTACGGATATAGTTGACGATGCAGTGTTCTTCTTCAGGTGTCAGAGCTTGAAGACGGCAATGTGATTCCTCACGGGAGGAAGGGGAGTGGGACAATCGGTAAGACAGGGTAGATTGGCTTACACCAAAATACCGTGTGATTTCTCGTTGACTTTGGCGTTTGCCAGGTCATAACACCTCAACACAACAAGTCATGTGACCCCACACCCCTCATTGTGGAATTGTGCTAGTCATGTGACTCCACACACCTCATTGTGGAATTGTGCAAGTCATGTGACTCCACACGCCACATTGTGGATTGTGGGAATCAGTGTGAAAACGTGTAATTCTGAAAGGTATATAAAGGTGGCGGAATGGGTATCTACTTTAACGACAAAACTATCTCAAAACACCTCACTTTTCCTCATTACCTCTCCGCTCTCCCCAAAGTCATCTTTGACCATAGACATTGCAAGATCATCCTACGGGTGTGTTACGACCTGGCTAACCAGCACCAGGCCATACACTGGCCATGCATGTGACATCTTATGCCACTGCGCTAAAAGGCACAATATCGCAATCAGCCCTATGATTGCGATCCGGTCATAACCTGATGTCACGACTGAGGTTGCAGGTCGTGACAGGGTGGCACTCGATCTATCATCAAGCCTGACTTTGGGTCTTCACTCCGAAGTCCCACCTTCCTTTGTATATAGTTCCAACTACTAGACACTCTTATACTTGATCTATATTTATTACCTCCTTCCTACTCGATACATCTTCTGTCGACCTTTGCACCAGCACTACGGTCTGCTCCCGCCAGTCGTAGACCAAGCTTGCTGTAAACTTCTGCTGTCCACCCTGTCTCCACATCCCGACAACCTCTCGCTGGGGACAAGTCTTAACAAAGGGGGTAGATGTTTCTGGGATTGATACTTCTCAATAGCGGCCTCTAGTGGATCTGCTGTGCTCTGCATAATGATGAACAGACAAGAGGCAAAGAGAGATAAACAACACGTTTGATATATCACATGTAGGACGCGACACGTGATCAATGACCGGGTGTGACCAAGTTCCGGGTGAGCGACCTTACGCCGCCAGCGGCGTCTTCCGCATACCAGAGTTGTCACCACGTGACACTCTGTGGACCCGTGGAATCCCTCCCCTCATCTCTCTCAGACCCACTTTTTCAGTGTGGACCTGTGATCCCGTGAACCTCTAGCGTCTTTCTTTGACCCCCTCCCCGTTTATTGTCTTGCTTTGACCCTGCAGGTCTCGCCGCACCCCACGTGGTTTGCCTTGGCCGCTTGTCTTTGCGTTGCCAAATCGTAATCTGTTATTATGGTAGATTCACTTTAGTTTTGAAGGGTATGAGAGGAGCACATCTCCCCCCTCTTTCTTCAGCAATGTATCTTCATCTTGAAGTTGTACTTCATCTTTGAAAGCCACCTAGTTGGTTCTAATTCAACACCTCAGTACCCTCAGTGCCCAAGGCAGTCATCAAGCTCTACCAGCCAGAGACTAAAACCCTTCAGTACCCAAGGCAGTACTTTGCTACCACAGGTGTGACACCTAAATGAGGGAGTGCATGGCAAAGATGTCAGACTGCACTTCAAATTCATTCATGATTCCATTTCTCATAATGTTCTGCAACAGTATTTCCATAGCTGGTGTCATCAATTGCTCATAACTGACATACAGACAAGGCAGAGGCTCTGTGTGGGCCATTCCTTAGTGCCATCACTGTATGATTCCTGATCCCCCATTGTGTTCCAAGTTCCAATTGTAATAGGTTGGCAGCAGATGGTTCCAACTGTCCAGATAGTGGTCGCCATGAGTGGAGGTCAGACCCTCCTGTGCAGTGCGCACATCTGTGCATAGTTTGTATGCACACTCACAATTTCCATGCTGCTGAAGGTTGTCAACTACGCTTGAGCCCTTTTGGCTGAGGATGCTAAGCTCCCTTGCCAGGTGGGCCAGGTCTTCCACTTTTCTGCTTAGACCTGAAATGGTGGGAGCATTGGCTTGTTTAAAGGCCAGAGTGCACAGTGTGAGCTGTGCGGCAAAGACGGCTAAACCTAAAGCAACCTCATGGTCTGGCTTTGTAGTCTCCTCCTCATCCTGGCAATTAGCCTCACTTTCTTTGTCTTGATCCCCCATCTGCGTGCTCCACACATGTAGTCCGCTCTGATCAGACTTATAAGATAACTCTTGTGTTGAGTCCAAGCACGCTTTCACAGCTTGACAGGCAGCCCCCAGTAGTGAGGGGTTTTCACAGGAATGAGCGTGCGCTGTGTCACTTCCACTGGAGAAGTCAAGGCAAAGGTCAGAAAGCCTCTTGTTGACTGAAAGTTAGTCAGTAAGTCATTGATGAAGTTGGATGCACACACAGTTAGATACTTTTGAGGAACGAGACATTTGGCTGCACAAAGCTTCATGCCAATCTGCACCCACCATGACTGATGTTCTGTATCTGAATGTGTATTGGGTTAATTGATTTCAGTCGGGTCGTTCCGGTATGTTGAGCGATCTCTGAGGTGGACTTTTTGAACACTTTATAAATCTTCTGGCTGCACAGCATCTCTCAGAAAGTACTGTCACTTTCTTGAAGTGTCAATATGATTGGACCTGCACTGGTTACCCCACTGTCATCGGCGTCGACGTCATAGCAAAGAAGGCAGCTCCACACGATGGTCCGCGCGGCCCTCCTATTCTCCGCGGAAATTTCTCAAATTCACACGCTGAAGCAGTGAGGCGATACGTTTTCAAACAAGCGTCATGGGAAGAACAATCATCTCTTCTAATTGTGACGCGACGTGACGTCACAAGTATCTTCCGCATGTCGGTCGACTCTTGTCCCAACGAAGGAAAGGTGGTCAATGGGCAATGTGTGAGGGAGTGATTGACATGTCCAAGTTTGAGAGGAGTCCCACCCTCTACCTTCCTGGCATGGCAGTTTTAAGCGTGAGATAATGTCGGAGCGATAGCGAGTACGGTTACTCTGTGTCGACCATGTCAATACTGATAATTTCGACTGATATCTACAAACAGTCGCAGATAAGTACGGAGCAGGGCTACAGAGTCCACCGACTGACTGACTTCTACCTAGCAGCTAGTCTGGAATCTAAGAAGAGGTTACTGAAAGAATGACTAGACCATAGCTCAACCGATCTTCTCCTTCTCTGAGCGGATGCAGATCCGACCGCATCTCATCAACTATCCAAAGTAGCACACATGTACTCCACCCTTGATTCTGAGATAGCTAATTGATACGTGACAAACCGAAGCCGTGACGCTTCCAACCGTCACGGGGGTCCGCGTGACCCACTGAATGCTGACCTCCTGAAGAATCGTGCTGTTAAGGAACCAACCGGAGACATTCCACTCCGGAGTCGCACGGTTCAAAACACCCCTCTTGGACCCAGCTGGAGAGCCATGCCACTCTGGAGGTGTCCAGACCCAGCCAGAGTTATCAATGCTAGTCTTGCCAAAATACTATTCTCCTCAATAAGTATACTTAGTTGAACATTGCTCCCATCAATGACACATTGTAGCACGCTTGTCACGCCTGCGGGTAGACTGCGGTAGCAAAGTACTGCCTTGTGTCACGACCCTGTCGTGACCCATATGATAGAAGAAGAAGTTGTATACCTCAGGATATCCAAATGGTGTGATACAAATGGTAAAGGACAAATGAGAGATACAAATGGGATAGGCAAATGGTATAGTCAAATGGTATAAGCAGATGGTATAGGCAAATGGTATAGTCAGATGGTATACGCAAATGGGATATCCAAATGGTATACACAGATGGTAGACGTAGGATGGAAAAGGACAAACTGGATATACCATCTGTTCGAGGAAAATGTCTATATAAACACCCTTGTAGGATCCTCTTTCTCAAGGATCACTATATTTTCTTGCCACATCTCAAAGATCTTGACTTAACCTTGCAACTCGACTTCAACCTCGACATACCTTCCCTCACTATTGACACCCCTCTCCTCATCATCTCAACTTGCCAGATCCTTCCAAGTCACTCAGCTGTCCGACCAGCTTCACAAGTCTACAAGCTACACTTCGTTCGTCGTAGCTCAAGCTTGTAAACTACTTCAGTCCACCTGTTCCTTGTGTCTTAGAGATCTGCTAGGGACAGGTCGTGACACCTTGGGTACTGAAGGGTTTGAGTCTCTGGCTTGTAGAGCTTGATGACTGCCTTAGGTACTGAGGGTACTGAGGTGTTGGGTTAGAACCAACTAGGTGACTTTCAAAGATGAAGTACAACTTCAAGATGAAGATACATTGCTGAAGAAAGAGGGGGGAGATGTGCTCCTTTTATATCCTTCAAAACTAAAGTAGGTGTACTAAATAAAAAGTGTGTGAGGGATTTTCTAGCCAATCACATAAATGCCTCAAAGTGAGTGCACCGCGGGAAACTAATTCCAGCCAATCACATAAATGCCTCACTGCTAAACTGCTGAACCTTCCAGGCTTCAGCCAATCACGTAAATGCCTCACTGCTGAACTGCTAAAGACCATGACTCATATTTTCCTTCAATCCTTATCACAGTTCCTAGCATGAGTCATATTCCCTTATCACTATTCTGAGCATGAGTCAGAATGCCTTATCACTATTCATGACACCGCTCCAAAATTAGTCTGCAACAGACTCAGTTCCGTCACCTGTTGTCTGCTCAGCACTAACTTAGAAGTGATGAGAAGACAACAGGTTCAATTAATTCAGCTGCTATGTATGCCAGGAGTTTTGGTTACGTGAGTTTCTAGTCTCCAACGGTCTGAACCTACAACTCCTGCAACAGTTGCTCCACAATTGTATGAACATCAAAGACATTGGCCCAAGAGGCATGGTGTATTGATGATGAGGAACAGGTTCAGTTGAGTCAGAGTTGAAAACGATATAATGGGGAAACATCACTCACATGTAAGGGTGTTCAGCTCATATGTATCTAGTCTGCTGCATCCGTCTGCGACCTCCTCATTTCCCCGGTAATGAGACTCTCTGGCTGGGTCCGTCAGGGGGTCAGACCACTCCGGAGTGGAACATCACCCATTGGGTCTGATCAGGTCCGTGCAGCTCCGGAGCTGTCCGTCTCTGGCTGTGTCCCTAACAGTGCCACTTCAAAGAGTCATGGTTTCTTGACCATGATCCACCAAAGAATCATTTTGTCAGGATCACCGGTACCTATAGACAGGTTCCTCAAGAGTCGCACTCAGAAGTCGTACTCCGACTACCCGTGTCACGACTCGGACAAGTCGCGCCACCATGACTCATCAAAACTCATTGAGTTACCCTGAATTCAATGAGACTTGGTGAGTTACCCTGAAAACTCATTGAGACTCATTGATACTCATTGATACTCATTGAGACTCATTGATACTCATTGATACTCATTGAGACTCATTGATACTCATTGATACTCATTGATACTCATTGAGACTCATTGAGACTCATCGATACTCATTGAGAACTCATTGAGACGCAATGAGATAATGAAATAATAGGGGAAAATGAGAGACGAGACAAGAATGAGTCAATGAGTCGACTTGAGACGCAATGAGATAATGAGGTTATAGGGGAAAATGAGAGACGAGACAAGAATGAGTCAATGAGTCGACTCATTGAAAAGCTCATTCTGAATCCCTCTGAAAGGTATAAAAGGAGCACGTATCTACTTTGTAGTTTTCTTTTTCTCAAGGATCAAAATATTATTTGCCACTTCACAAAGATCTCTCTTCTTGACATATACTCATCTTTAACACGCCTTCCATCAACAAAACTGTCACGAACTACGTCGTAACATCCCTGACAACCGCCATCACCGACCCTCCTTTCCTCATCACCGACCTTCCTTTCATCATCACCAACCTCCACTCGAACCACTGAGACGGACTACGGCGAAGTTACGAGAACCAAGAGGGTATTATTTGTCACGACAACCCCGCATAGCGGAGAACTACGGCGAAGTTAGGGGAAGGGAGCCGAGGGGTAGCAGAGCAGGGGAAGTTAGGCGAAGTTAGTCGAAGTGAGTAGAGTAGGATCTCGGGGATATGGCGAGGTACGGCGAGGTTGAACGAAGAGGACTGAGCGTGAGGCAGTGCAGGAGTTGAGGGACGTTCTATGAGAAGTGAGGAGTAGTATAGATAGGTTACAGGTCGCTGAACTTCTTCAGCGATCCTTGATTGTTGTCAGTAGCGAGTGATATATTCAGTAGCTACAACCACCGAGTTAAGGAGAGCTACCACCGAGCAGTTCGACGTACTACGGCGAGGTTAGCCGCAGTTATTCGACGATCACCTTATCACTTACCACTCGACCTATTACTACGGCATAGTTAGCCGTAGTTCCCCTACGAGTACCCTGTCCTAGTGAGACATCGACGCCCCACTACGACGTAGTTAGCCGAGGTTTGTCGACCGTCGGTCAGAAGAGGAGAAGAAACGACGATTGTGACAGTATCAAGGATCGCTCTTACCGACGACCCGTACAAACCTCGGAGCAGTTCAAGATTGTATGCAACCGGAAAGAAGAGTTACAAGAAGTATGAGTAGACCAGGAGAAACGGTAGGAGAGACGGAGAGGAGGATGTTGGAGGAATTAAGACAAGACTTGGGGCCATTGCCTGGTGCAATTGATACCCCCGAAGGATCAACCCAAGGAGATGATTTTTATCCACCCCTACCTCTTGAACCACCCCCCCTGCCAACCGGATTATCAGAACCACCGACTGTAGGGACAGGTTCAGAAGGGTCGGGACAAACACCGCGACCAAGGGAGAAGAACACGGAAGGTGGACTAAGTTCGGCGGGGAGCGAAGGAGTAGGGAGAGCGGAGGAAGAGGCCACCACTCAGAAAATGATGCTGGCGATGATGAACATGATGATGGAGATGAACAGGGACATGATAGCGGAGAGGAGACGTCGGGAGGAACAGGAGAAGAAGAAGGAACAGGAGACGGTTGGAGGAATAGTTGAAGGGATCTCTGAAGGGGTACGATTCGCCATGGGGAGACAAGCTTCGGCTACCCCAGGCGTGGCTGAGATAGGAGGAGGGATAAAACTTCCCCTCCCAGACCTTTGGAGAGGCGAGAGGTCAAAGCTCACCGCCTTCATCTCAGAATGTGAAGTTCACTTCGAAATCAACGCCCGCAAGTTCCCCACTGACCGAGTAAAAATCTTTTTCATGATCTCCCACCTACGCGATACCCCTCTTCTCGCCGTCCAACCGGATTTGCCTAAAGACGACCCCCCCGAACACCTTCTAGTCTATAAGAAGTTCATCCAATATCTCAAGACCAACTTCGGAGACCCTGATGAGGAGGGAACCGCCGCTAGGGGAATAAACGAGCTTCGACAGAATGGGTCGGCTTCGGCGTACTTCGCCGCCTTTCAGCGATATGTAGCGGTGTTAGGATGGGGCGATGATGGGAACCTTGTGGACCGGGCAAAGAATGGTCTGAAAAGTCACTTGCTGGATGAGATCGCTCGGCACGGAAAGGTCTTCAAGACTGTCCGCGAGTTGATTGAGTTCGTGGTCCCCATGGACAATCGCTTGCATCAGCGAAGGGTGGAGAAGGAGAATGAGAAGAAGAGGAAGGAAACAAAGGACCAGGGGGAGAAGAAAGAGGAAGTAAATCGGGGAGGGGAACGGAGGAGCGAGGAGAAATGGCAATCTACGCCGAAGTTCGAGGGCACGCAATCGAAGGGCACGAACGGGGGAAGGGCAATACCAACGGATGTAGACGAACTAAATCGTCGTTGGCCGAGACCCAGTGCTGATGAGGTTTTAAAGCGTCGGGAGGAAGGGAAGTGTACTGGGTGTGGAGAGAGAGGGCATTACAACCGGGATTGTCCTGTAATAGCGGCGAAGGTAAAAGCCGGGATCATCCCCTTGAGGTCTTTTGGACAAAATGCTGGAGGAGAAGGGAGATTTAGCACGGGAGGAAACGCCGTCCCTCTTGGGGACAGGAAGAAGATCAATGCAGTTGGAGGGGAAGAAGCATGTGTTGGAGAGCGGGGGATGGACGAGGAGGAAAAAGATGGGGACCCGTCGCGATAGGCGAGACTCGGCGGGTCCGCACTCATGTTCTCTCGGCCACTGTCCCTACCCCCAGTAAAAGGAAAGAGCTGATGAGACCAGGTAAATGTGTATATAAATCCGTAAACACCACTCCGAAATGTATAAACGACTGTCATACCCTAATCCCTTCCACCTGTAACAACCAACCCAAATCTAACGTGTATGTCGAAGGAATCAAACTAACGGCCCTGTGGGACACTGGGGCAACCTGTTCATATATAAGTCCCAAGGCGGTCAGGAAGATTAGGAAGGAGAGGAGGAAATACCCCGTGAGTGTACCAGTTCATATGTTCGATGGCTCGGTTAGTGTGGCTGGTCCCATTACGGAGTTTGTCGAAGTGAGTCTGGGTGTCGAGAAGTTAGGCGAAGTTCGCCCAATTAAGCTGGATGTTACCGCCCTTTGTGACGCGGATGTTGTGATAGGGTGGGAATGGATGAGAGAAGAGAGAGTAATCCTGAATGGGGGAGCGAATATGATATCCTTCCCTGCCAATGAGGAAAGCACGGTATCCATTCCCCCACCCTTACCGAGTGAAAGAGAGGAGTTATCCTCTCCCCTTCCACAGACGAGAAATGTTGCGAGCCTGGCAGCCATAGGGCTCAGGACTCGAACCGACGAGACAGACCTCCGCGGCGAAGATGAGCTTGAAGAGCTGAGCCCGGAGGAACAAGACGAGTTGTTCCAGGTAGTTCCGGAACAATACCACCAGTACATTGACGTTTTTAATCCGAAGAAGGGAGGAGAGACCCTTCCCCCTTCAAGGTCCTACGATTTGAAGTTTGAGCTTAAGGAGGGGGCGAACCTTAAGGTCGCCTCCCTCTATGCTCAAGGAGAAGATCAGAGACGCGCGCTGAGAGACATACTAGATCGCGAAATCGCCGCTGGCCGGATTCGGGCAAGTAACTCGCCATACGGCTCACCAATGTTTATGATACCGAAGAAAGCCGAAGGACAATGGCGAATGGTCATCGACTATCGAAAACTGAACGAAGCGACCATACCAGATGCCTACCCTCTCCCTCTAATAGGTCAAATTACCGAAGAACTTGGAAAAGCAAGGTATTTCAGCAAACTAGATCTAATTGGAGCATACCAATTGTTAAGGGTGACAGAGGGACATGAACACCTAACGGCGTTCAGGACACAGTATGGTATGTTTGAATCTCTGGTTGTTCGTGATGGGCTGCGAAACGCCCCCGCGGTCTTCCAACACTTCCTAAATGAGGTGTTTAGAGAGCTACTAGGGAATGGAGTCGTGGTCTACATTGACGATATCCTCATTTATGGGAATACGTTGGAGGAATTACGAGGAACTACGGCGAAGGTCTTTGAGGTACTGCGGAAGGCGAGCCTGTACGTGAAAGCTAGTAAGTGCGAGTTCGAAAGAGATTCGGTGGTGTTTCTGGGTTTCGTGGTATCCTCTAAAGGTGTATCGGTGAACCCAGAATACATTGATGCCATCACTTCCTTCCCACGTCCTAAGAATTTACGAGAGTCAAGGGGATTCATTGGAGTTGTAAGCTATTACAGGCGCTTTGTCCCCAACTTCTCGAAGATTGCTAGACCTATCAATGACTTGACAAGGAAGGAGGTACCATTTGTATGGGGAGTCGAACAGGAGTCAGCCTTCAAAGAGTTGAAGGCTAGGATGTGTACTGCGCCGGTGTTAGCCCATTTTGACCCTACATTGAAGACGATATTACAGACAGATGTGTCGTTCTTCGGCTGGGGGTTCATAATTTCGCAGATCAACACGGCTGGTCAAGAACACCCGGTAGCTATTGAGTCTGGTGCTTTCAACACAGCTCAGCTGAATTATACGGTAGGAGAAAAGGAGTTCCTCGCTGTAGTGGAGGGTTTCAGAAGAAGGAGACACTTATTATTGCAGGTAGAAACCACAGTACTTACCGACCATCTAAACCTTACCTACTGGATGGAACCGAAACAACTCAGTCCTCGGCAAGGTAGGTGGGTAGAGGAGCTAGCTAACTTCAGGTTTAAAATGGTTTATCGACCAGGAACCCAGGCAAGTCTTCCAGATGGATTATCTAGACGGGCGGACTATCATTCCGGGAAAGGAAGTACCATGGTACAAGAGAGCAACCTTATCCAAGGTCTGCCGAAGTTCGACGAAGTTGACGCCACCACGTCGGAGTTGCGTCACCTCCTTCGAGCATTGCAAGGGACAAGGGAGGTAAAGGAAAATGATCTTGTGGACCCTATGGATCTAGTACTTGGAGTTCAGGAGGACGAAGACATAGAAGGGGTCAGAGAAGAATTATTAGGAGTCGTTTGCGCTGAGTGTTCTCATCCTACGTGTAACGATAACGTGCAGGAACCAGGATCAATCACCGAACTACGCCGTAGTTCGCGGTCTCCTCTAATCCTTCGTGGGGGGTGGAACTCAAGAGGTTTCCTCACATTCGATGATCGCATTTATGTGCCGAACTACGCCGATGCTCGGCTGAAGATCATGAAAATGTGACATGACTCGGCCTTAGCTGGTCACCCAGGTTCAGCGAAGACCCTTGAGCTAGTTCTAAGGGACTATGTCTGGATTGGAGTAAGGAAGGATGTTGAGGACTACATCGCTGGATGCGCGGTATGTCAGAGGGCAAAGACTAACAGGCAGAAACCCCATGGAGAGCTTAAACCACTGGAGGTAGCTACGAAACCTTGGTCTAGCATCTCCATGGATTTTATCGAGGAGCTGCCAAATTCCCATGGATATAATTCCATCCTGGTAGTGGTGGGTCGGTTGACCAAATGGGCCATTTTTATCCCGACTACGACGAAGTTAACCGCAGCCGGCCTATCAGAGTTGATATTGGACTATGTGGTGGCCCAGCAAGGGTTGCCAGAGAATATAGTATCGGACAGGGGATCGAAGTTTACCTCCAAGTTCTGGAAGAATTTGACCGATAGTCTCGGAATAAGACTACATCTCTCTACTGCATATCATCCACAGACTGACGGACAGACCGAACGAACCAACCAGTCTTTGGAACTGTATCTTCGAATCTTCACCTCCTATCAGCAGAACGACTGGTCGAAGCTACTCGCTCGAGCTAGCTTTGCTTACAACAACACCCAGCACTCTGCGATAAACAAAACCCCATTATATGCGAACTATGGATATCACCCTCGTTGGGCTGAAGAGATAAAGGCTAGCGAGGTTGAGGTACCCGCTGCTACAGTGGTAGTGAAGGATCTGACCGAAATACATAAAGAGTGTATCGAAGGAATTGAGAAGGCTAATGAGAAGTACGCCGAAGGGTATAATAAGAAGCACCGGACTACGCCGAACTTCGTGGAAGGTGACCTAGTGATGCTGTCATTAGAGAACATTAAGACTAAAAGGCCTATGAAGAAGTTAGACGTTAAGCAAAGTGGACCGTACAAGGTAGTACGGCAGGTGGGGTCTCATGCTTATAAATTGGAATTACCAGGAACGATGGCAGGTATCCATGATGTATTCCATGTCTCCTTGCTCCGTCCATATCACCCTCCAGTATTTCCTGGTCAGCAAGCTGAACCACCTGGCCCGGTAGAGGTGGATAACGTAGGAGAATCATGGGAAGTAAAGGATATTGTGGATTCAAGAGTAAACAAGAGGTCAGGGAAGCTAGAGTATCTAGTGGAATGGTTAGGCTACGAGGGCTCTGATGATTCAGTATCATGGGAACCAGTAGAGAATGTGGACGGAGCTGATGACATATTGGCGAAGTTCCACGAACTTCACCCTGGTAAACCGAAGAAAGGACGAGTGGTGAGATCACGGGCGAGGAAGTAATCCATACAACGGGTACAACATTAGCTAAGTACAACTCACTGCTGCGAACTTCCTCCCTGTTCCCCGTTCCCCGGTGGAGGACCACCTCCAGAACTATTCTCGGTATCCTTCGGTGGTACTACCCGTCGAAGGGCCCGAGTCTCTCTCCATGCCATATTGAAGGCCAGAATGTGGGAGTCGTGGAGAGCAGAGTCACGAGCGATATTCAGACTAGGCAGCTTCCATAACTGCCGAAGAATTCTAAGACAGTCCGGGGGAAGAGCCAGGATATCGAGGAAGGCAGCATCCTGAGAACTGAGTCGAGCCGGATTGGGTGGCCTTAGCCAGTCAAGCGTGGGGGGGAGGAGATACTCGATGGGATTCAGGAGGAAAGGAGAGTCGAAGAGATTGCGGTAGAAGTCGCTCATTTCCGTAATAAGCTCCCGAGAGACTCTAGCTAACTCCGTCCGCGCTAATGGGCCTATATCGGACGAGCTTACCAGAGTTGCCATTGTCCGGGACAGAGTGTTCATACCAGAGACCAGTTTCATGCAATACTCGAGAAGCTTCGCCGTGTCTCGTCGATTGGCGTGCAGCTGTGTGGTCAACCCGATAATGAGAGAACGGAAGGTAGCCAGTTGTTTCTCCTCCTCTGGGATTCGAGGATCGTCGGTGACGTAGGGGTGGTCTAGGGGAATAGGAATTTCCTCTGGTAGCTGAGTACCTTCATTTTCTACCACGGCAGGTTCAAATTGGACAGCCTTCTTCTTCTTGCCTTTCCCTTTTGGAGCCTTCGACGGAGAAGTGTTGGCAGGAGGGGCAGGGGTTGAGAGCCCAGTCGCAGGAGGGACAGATGGTTGACGGCTTCGGGTACCGAGAGCAGGAGGAAGACTAAGAGAAGAGTCCTCTTGTGTTGAGACAGGAGTAGGACGGCTCCTGGTAGGACGAGACGGACCGGCCGAGGGGGTAGCCGGGAGACGAGATGGACCAGCCACAGGAGTAGAGGGCTGGAGAGAGGCGGAAGGAGCACGACGAGGCGCGCGACGAGACGAACCTGCCGAAGGAGTAGCAGGGAGACGAGACGGTCCGGCCACGGGAGAGTTTGGCGGGCGACGGACGGCGGGTGACGGCGAGGTCGGGCCGGGAGAGGAGAAGTTCGCCGAAGGAGGGGGAGAAGGGAATTCCTTGTCCTGGGCCGTGGGGAGACGGTGACGAACGGCGGCAGACGGGGTGAAGGGAGCAGAAGATCTTGGGGGAATGTCCCGAGCGATATTGGGGGGACAGAACGAGCAAGGGCCGGAAGTACAGGAAGCACAACGGGATCCGCGATTATGAGGTTTAACCGGTCGCAGACACGGCCATTTCTTTCTCCCGTATGTGATAATTTCGCGACTATTGATCAGCAGATGTATAAACCTTCGTGGGAATAGACCTACCGACATCTATCGCAAGACTCGTCCGGACTGGCAACCTCCCAACGCTCCCTTTCGTCGACAAACAGCTTCCATAGCCTATCTTGTTCCCGCAACGACACCTTACGAGCACTCCCTGGCTCCTTGGTAGGGGAGGGAGACTTTTCTCCCAGGACAGACGGAGACCGACTACGAGTAACCTCGGTCCGTTTTGCTGACGAAGGGCGAACATTGCCCTGGGCGGAGGACAACCGACGACGTTTCTTGACCTTGACCTCGTCCAGCTTAGCCATGTAGGCTAAGCGCTTCTTCCCATTGGAACTCAATACCCTCACGCGAACCTCGGGGGACCCATCGACTTCACGAACAGCTGTACATGTTAGCACTCACGGACAGGTTATGCAATGGGGAACGTACGACTTAATGCGTTTAACTCGGACAACCAACCATCCCTATCCTCAAACAATTCTTCGTCACCAAGATCAACATCATACGTTTCTTCATCTACATCACCCATTTCTTCATCATCACCACCTGCACCACCCGTTCTCTCATCACCAACAACATCACCCGTCTCTTCGTCACTACTGACGACATCCATCTCCTCGTCGTCATCATCAATTTCCACCACAGTGGCGGACTGACCCGAAGGTTGCGAAGGGCCAACAGGAGCAGGTCTGACCTCCTGCTGGCCAGAAGAGAGAGGGGTCGGCGCAGTAGCGGGGGACACAGGGACAGAGGGAACCGCGGCAGGAGCTCCAGTGACAGGAGCGCCGACAGAGGGCGAACCGTCGGTAATTGCCAGGGCCCCAAAACCCATGGACGACACTTGACGGGGGGTATCCCTCTGCTGAGAGACTGAATTGATCAGCAATACGCTAGCTTATGAGCAGCACAAATGAACTAACGGGTAGCGGCGAAACGATCCATAAAGGCCTGGTAGGCGTCGAGTTGTTGGCGAGTGCTCATATTGTTAAAATATGTCAAATTGAGATGTTTGTTAAGGTAAGGGTGGAGAATCGATATACGATGATAGTACGATTTAGGATTAGTACTGGGGAAGAAGAAGAAGTGGGCCGAAGTACTGGGTATTTAGTATAACTGACACGACTACTCGTCGTCAGGGCGCTGGTAACTTCGCATAACAAGGTGTCTCAGCAACAACAAACACCATGGCGACGATCAAAATTCCCACACTACGTGTCTCACATTCATATAAGTTAGGGATACGCTGACGAACTTCGACGAGGTTTGTTGTACCCCAAATCCTCTGTCTCACTTACAACGTAATTACCACAGGGTAACAACAAACAACCACGGTGAACTTCGACGAAGTTAACTGTCTGATTCACAACGAACCATGGTATCATCTACCAACAACTGATATATGACCAATTGTGTTTCCTACAACCTGCTGAGTGTCTTTTTCTTCAATACATGCATACGAAGCTCACGAGGACGTTCGCGCCTAAGGAGGGGGCGACTGTCACGAACTACGTCGTAACATCCCTGACAACCGCCATCACCGACCCTCCTTTCCTCATCACCGACCTTCCTTTCATCATCACCAACCTCCACTCGAACCACTGAGACGGACTACGGCGAAGTTACGAGAACCAAGAGGGTATTATTTGTCACGACAACCCCGCCTAGCGGAGAACTACGACGAAGTTAGGGGAAGGGAGCCGAGGGGTAGCAGAGCAGGGGAAGTTAGGCGAAGTTAGTCGAAGTGAGTAGAGTAGGATCTCGGGGATATGGCGAGGTACGGCGAGGTTGAACGAAGAGGACTGAGCGTGAGGCAGTGCAGGAGTTGAGGGACGTTCTATGAGAAGTGAGGAGTAGTATAGATAGGTTACAGGTCGCTGAACTTCTTCAGCGATCCTTGATTGTTGTCAGTAGCGAGCGATATATTCAGTAGCTACAACCACCGAGTTAAGGAGAGCTACCACCGAGCAGTTCGACGTACTACGGCGAGGTTAGCCGCAGTTATTCGACGATCACCTTATCACTTACCACTCGACCTATTACTACGGCATAGTTAGCCGTAGTTCCCCTACGAGTACCCTGTCCTAGTGAGACATCGACGCCCCACTACGACGTAGTTAGCCGAGGTTTGTCGACCGTCGGTCAGAAGAGGAGAAGAAACGACGATTGTGACAAAAACCCCTGTCCACGTCATATCACACACCCTTGTTGTCATCTCGACTTGCTCGGATCCTTCGCAAGTCACTTTAGCCGTCCGACCACATCACAAGTTCACGAACAACATACTAACCGTCGTTGTTCAAGCTTACTAAACAGTTGCAGTCCACCTGTCTTTGATCTTTAGAGATCTGTCAAGGACAGGACCGTGACAGAATCAATCAATGGCTTGAGCAATACCTTTGTGTATATGTCAATACGGAACAGGACAATTGGAGTTTGCTTTTCCATTTTGCAGAACTCTGCTACAACACAAACTACCATAGCTCAATCCAGATGTCCCCGCTTTCTGCTTACTCGGGCAGGGAATACCGAACCGACATGATGCAACCCATTTTTGACAATGCCACTGAACTACCGTTTCCACCCGCAATCGCACGTGTTAGTGCTCTAGGAAGATTACAGGAAAGGCCGAAGGAAAAGCTTCAAAAAGCTCAGAAATTGTATAAACATCAGTACGACAAGGGAAGAAGGCTAACCAGTTTCGAAAAGGGGGAAAAGGTTTGGATAGACAGCAGGAATTTCAGAACCTTAAGGCCGATGAAGAAATTGGACCCCAAATACATCGGTCCCTTCAAGATCCTCAAGAAAATCAATGACAATGCTTACAAAGTCAATTCACCCCCACATATGAATGTGAATGGCATCCATTTGGTTTTCAATGTTAAGCTATTATCAAAGGTTCAAGGGGAAGTTCAGAATCCGCAGCCAGCAATGGTTGCATTACGAGAAGAACCGCAAGATTCAGAGAAAGACACTTATGAAATTGATAAGGTCCTTGCGAAAAGGACAATAAGGGTCTCCGGAGAAGGAAAGAAGGAGGTTCAACTGAAAATCAAATGGGTTGGCTACCCAATTGAAGAAGCTACTTGGCAACCCATGGATTGGATTGGTGGTAATCCTAAAGTCAAGGAATGCTTGGAGATCTGCAAAATGCAGAGAGCCGTTGCCAAAAATGTGAACGAGGATTTTGTTCCCATTTTGCCGGCTAAGAGACACAGACAACCGACCGAACGGTCGCGTCTTTCGGAAACCTATCAGGTTCCCGGAAACACCTAGAACCAAGCATACTTTGACAAGACAGAAAAGGAATCACATGTTTCACAAAATCTTTTTAGATACTCTACAAATTTGTTTCCACAATAGAATTCATTATACACACGCCCCACCAATTCAACAGACTATTCGGGGGACTCCCATCGTACTAGCCCGTCGTCATCCGTATGAGGAGAATCCTCACGGGCCTTTCCCTTTCTAGTCTTGGCCTTCTTTGCCCTGGGAGTACATGATGTCCCTGCGGGCAAGGGGGAAACGGTTCTCTTCACGGTGGGTCGAGGAGTGTCACGAGACATACTGACCAGCATATGCACGATATAACTGTGCCCAACGTGACAGTGTTGTTGACCACTGTGACGAAAAGGCCTATTGATTGGCGGTTAACCCTACCGCTGATTGCTGGTTAAATACCCTTCCCCGACTTTCGCTCGACTTGTCACACGCTTTGTGACAAGGAGGTTCAAATTGCCAGGATCCAACAATGATATCCTCGTCTAGATAATATATCAACCACTCTCCGAAAGTATGACCGGGCACTCGTTTATCTTCACCCTGTATTTTTGCACCGTCAACGGTGTATTTCCGTTAGTGGAAAGGACTCCCCGGAAATAGAACAGCCTACTAGTGCGACTTTCTCCACCTCAGCATACGCGACATACACATGTTCAAAATCGCAATTGGGACGGTGATGTTGATGATTGCCTACCTTGGCCAAGCGGGCCAAAGCCAAATCGAGGGGGGGTAAGAGAGAAGAGAACTGTGCCATCGACAGTTTCAATGGGGACCTAGGTCCGACACGGGAATCCACACATAGATTGCAGGTGCCCCTATCGATGAGGCACCAAAAGCAACTTCCTGCTCAGCGACTACCCCTCACCAAAAGAACGTAAGGGGCTTACTGTCCGGCAATCCACACTTTACGAGAACCCGAGAACCTTACAATCGGGACTAGGCAGTGCCAATTGTTCATTTTCAAGGACCACCTACCCTTTTTGTCACGAACTACGTCGCGACACCTCGATTACTCCACCAACAATGACCCTCCTTTGGCCATCAAAACCCCATCACGCCTTAACCTCTTTACTCTACCCTCCTTTGGCCATCAAAACCCCATCACGCCTTAACCTTTTTACTCTACACGTAACTCAGGACTTCTGACACCAAGTACGGCGAAGTTAGACGGAGTTAGGCTAAGTAGGGACAATGGGAGCAGAAGTGCGGCGATGTTAGGCGGAGTTAGTCTAAGTAGGGACAATGGGAGCAGAAGTACGGCGAAGTTAGACGGAGTTAGGCTAAGTAGGGACAATGGGAGCAGAAGTGCGGCGATGTTAGGCGGAGTTAGTCGAAGGAGGAAGAGGATGGCCGAGGGCTCGGGGAAGTTGGACGAAGTGCGTTGAAGTACGTCAAAGCGCGAGAGGGTTGGATGAACGTCTAGGAGGAGTAGATAATATTAGCTGAGAAGATCGCTGAAGTTCTTCAGCGATCCTTGATTGTTGTCAGTAGTGAAAGACAGATAGAGATAGCTATAAATCAAGATACATCGCCATCAGTAGAACAAAACCCTAGTTAGAGTAACTACGCCGAAGTACGCCGTAGTTACACCCCTTTCGACGTCTGCGCCCTCCTGGTTGGGTGAGACATCGACTCAGAGCGTGAAGTTAGCCGAGGTTCGTCGACCGTCGGTCTATTAAGAAATAGTTGTTCGACGGCCGTGACAGTATCAAGGATCGCTCTTACCGACGACCCGTGCGAACCTCGGAGAAGTACGAAGATATTATGGAACCAGAAAGGAGAGTTACGCGAGGCATGAGTAGGGATGGAGACAGGATGGAAGAGAACGAGAGGAGAGCATTGGAGGAGCTTAGCAGAGCAATGGGGCAGGACCTTGGAGTGGAGGATAGTGTGGGGGGATCAATTCAAGGAGATGAGTTCGTTCCACCGGTGCCTTCTAACCCTCCTTCTCCTCCGTCTAATGCTCTCCCACCTGCGGGATCCCCACTTGGATCAGACCAAACCCCACGCCCAAGAGAGAACACTGGAAGTACGGCGAACTTGGGAGAAGAAGGAACACAAGGGGTGGTGTTGGCCTTGATGCAGATGGTGGCGAATATGAACAAAGACATGATGGAGGAGAGAAGGCGTAGGGAGGAATGGGAACAGAGAAGAGAAAGGGATACAGTGGGCGGGATTGCAGAAGGGATATCAGAAGGAGTGAGGTACGCCATGGGACGGCAAACTTCGGCGACCCCAAGCGTAGTGGGCGAACAACGGAAGGGGATAAAGCTACCTAACCCAGACCTCTGGAGAGGAGATCGGAACAAGTTAACCGCCTTTCTGTCTGAGTGCGACGTACATTTCGAATTGAACTCTCATCTTTTCCCCGACGACACTAAGAAAGTCTTTTTCATGATCTCTCATCTACGCGAAACACCTCTTCTGGCAGTGCAGCCCGATCTATCCAAAAGACCTCTTCCTGAGTACCTCACGACACACGATCAGTTCATTAAGTACCTCAAGACTAACTTTGGTGATCCAGACGAAGAAGGAACTGCGGCCCGACAACTTAACGACCTCAAGCAAATCGGGTCTGCTTCGGACTACTTCTCCGCCTTCCAGCGACATGTTGCGATTCTTAAGTGGTCTGATGATGGAAACCTAGTTGACCGAGCCAAGAAAGGACTAAAATCGCACCTTCTAGATGAAATTGCAAGACACGGTAGATCGTTTGGGACTGTGAAAGAGCTATTGGAGTTTGTGATTCCCTTGGACAACCGCCTGTGGAGGAGACAAGTGGAGAAGGAGGCAGAGAGGAAAAGGGAAGGAGGGATAAGGACAACGACAGTGGTGGAAAGTCAGAGGACGGAGAAGAAAGAAGAGAAGAAATGGGAAAAGGGGCAACCTTCGGCGCAGGGTGGTGCCCAGGCGGCTATGATGTCGACGGTGGTAAAGAGTACACCGCCAAACATCGACGAAGTTCGCCGAAGATGGCCTAGGCCGAGCTCCGATCTGAGGGAGACAAGGAGGAAGGAGGGGAAGTGTACCGAGTGTGGTGAAGCAGGACATTGGCTGAAGGAATGCCCTGTGAGGGAGGCTAAGGTTAAGGTTGGACTGTTGCCTCCATGGGGGGGGAAGTTCGGAGAACGTGGTGGAGGATCGGGAGGGAACGCAGTACCTCTCGGACAGAGGAGGAACTTGAATGCGGTTGGAGGAGAAGTAGATTTGGAAGAGGACCAGGGAAAAGAAGAGGACCTGTCGCAGTAGGCGAGGCTCGGCGGGTCCCCCATATTCTCTCGGCCACCATTCCCAAACCCATAAAAGAAACACAGCTGATGGAGCCAGAGGATTGTGAATACAAAAATACACCACTCAGTACCCCTTGTTCATGCAATGTCGATAATCATCTCCTCATCCCTTCCGTTTCCAGAGATCAACCTAAATCGGACATTTTCATTAATGGAATAAAGCTAACTACGCTCTGGGACACTGGAGCTACTTGTTCATATATAAGCCCTAGGGCGGCAGCGAAGATAGGTGTAGAAAAGAGGCGATATCAGGTGAGCGTACCCGTTCACATGTTCGACGGCTCGGTGAGTGTCGCTGGACCCATCACCGAGTTTGTCGAAGTCGGATTTAGTTTGACGAAGGACGCCGAAGTGCGATCTGTTTGTCTCGATGTAACAACGCTCTGCGACGCAGATGTTGTGATAGGGTGGGATTGGATGAGGAAGGAAGGGGTTGTCCTTGATGGAAGAGACAACTCGGTGAAATTTCCCATCCCAACCCCACCAAGTGCGGCGAAGTTAGCGGCCATAGGGCTGCCGACTCCGACGGACGCGATAGACCTCCGCGGCGAAGATGAGCTTGAAGAGCTGAGCCCGGAGGAACAAGACGAGTTGTTCCAGGTAGTTCCTGAACAATACCACCAGTACATTGACGTTTTTAATCCGAAGAAGGGAGGAGAGACCCTTCCCCCTTCAAGGTCCTACGATTTGAAGTTTGAGCTTAAGGAGGGGGCGAACCTTAAGGTCGCCTCCCTCTATGCTCAAGGAGAAGATCAGAGACGCGCGCTGAGAGACATACTAGATCGCGAAATCGCCGCTGGCCGAATTCGGGCAAGTAACTCGCCATACGCCTCACCAATGTTTATGATACCGAAGAAAGCCGAAGGACAATGGCGAATGGTCATCGACTATCGAAAACTGAACGAAGCGACCATACCAGATGCCTACCCTCTCCCTCTAATAGGTCAAATTACTGAGGAACTTGGAAAAGCAAGGTATTTCAGCAAACTAGATCTAATTGGAGCATACCAATTGTTGAGGGTGACAGAGGGACATGAACACCTGACGGCGTTCAGGACACAGTATGGTATGTTTGAATCTCTGGTTGTTCGTGATGGGCTGCGAAACGCCCCCGCGGTCTTCCAACACTTCCTAAATGAGGTGTTTAGAGAGCTACTAGGGAATGGAGTCGTGGTCTACATTGACGATATCCTCATTTATGGGAATACGTTGGAGGAATTACGAGGAACTACGGCGAAGGTCTTTGAGGTACTGCGGAAGGCGAGCTTGTACGTGAAAGCTAGTAAGTGCGAGTTCGAAAGAGATTCGGTGGTGTTTCTGGGTTTCGTGGTATCCTCTAAAGGTGTATCGGTGAACCCAGAATACATTGATGCCATCACTTCCTTCCCACGTCCTAAGAATCTACGAGAGTCAAGGGGATTCATTGGAGTTGTAAGCTACTACAGGCGCTTTGTCCCCAACTTCTCGAAGATTGCTAGACCTATCAATGACTTGACAAGGAAGGAGGTACCATTTGTATGGGGAGTCGAACAGGAGTCAGCCTTCAAAGAGTTGAAGGCTAGGATGTGTACTGCGCCGGTGTTAGCCCATTTTGACCCTACATTGAAGACGATATTACAGACAGATGCGTCGTTCTTCGGCTGGGGGTTCATAATTTCGCAGATCAACACGGCTGGTCAAGAACACCCGGTAGCTATTGAGTCTGGTGCTTTCAACACAGCTCAACTGAATTATACGGTAGGAGAAAAGGAGTTCCTCGCTGTAGTGGAGGGTTTCAGAAGAAGGAGACACTTATTATTGCAGGTAGAAACCACAGTACTTACCGACCATCTAAACCTTACCTACTGGATGGAACCGAAACAACTCAGTCCTCGGCAAGGTAGGTGGGTAGAGGAGCTAGCTAACTTCAGGTTTAAAATGGTTTATCGGCCAGGAACCCAGGCAAGTCTTCCAGATGGATTATCTAGACGGGCGGACTATCATTCCGGGAAAGGAAGTACCATGGTACAAGAGAGCAACCTTATCCAAGGTCTGCCGAAGTTCGACGAAGTTGACGCCACCACGTCGGAGTTGCGTCACCTCCTTCGAGCATTGCAAGGGACAAGGGAGGTAAAGGAAAATGATCTTGTGGACCCTATGGATCTAGTACTTGGAGTTCAGGAGGACGAAGACATAGAAGGGGTCAGAGAAGAATTATTAGGAGTCGTTTGCGCTGAGTGTTCTCATCCTACGTGTAACGATAACGTGCAGGAACCAGGATCAATCACCGAACTACGCCGTAGTTCGCGGTCTCCTCTAATCCTTCGTGGGGGGTGGAACTCAAGAGGTTTCCTCACATTCGACGATCGCATTTATGTGCCGAACTACGCCGATGCTCGGCTGAAGATCATGAAGATGCGACATGACTCAGCCTTGGCCGGTCATCCAGGTTCGGCGAAGACCCTTGAACTAGTCCTGAGGGATTATGTCTGGGTTGGAGTAAGGAAGGATGTCGAAGATTATGTTGCTGGATGCGCGGTATGTCAGAGAGCGAAGACTAACAGGCAGAAACCTCATGGGGAGCTTAAACCACTGGAGGTAGCTACGAAACCTTGGTCTAGCATCTCGATGGATTTTATCGAGGAGCTGCCAAATTCCCATGGATATAATTCCATCCTGGTAGTGGTGGATCGGTTGACCAAATGGGCCATTTTTATCCCGACTACGACGAAGTTAACCGCAGCCGGCCTATCAGAGTTGATATTGGACTATGTGGTGGCCCAGCATGGGTTGCCAGAGAATATAGTATCGGACAGGGGATCGAAGTTTACGTCCAAGTTCTGGAAGAATTTGACCGATAGTCTCGGAATAAGACTACATCTCTCTACTGCATATCATCCACAGACTGACGGACAGACCGAACGAACCAACCAGTCTTTGGAACTGTATCTTCGAATATTCACCTCCTATCAGCAGAACGACTGGTCAAAGCTACTCGCTCGAGCTAGCTTTGCTTACAACAACACCCAGCACTCTGCGATAAACAAAACCCCATTCTATGCGAACTATGGATATCACCCTCGTTGGGCTGAAGAGATAAAGGCTAGCGAGGTCGAAGTGCCCGCTGCTACGGTGGTGGTAAAAGACTTGACTGAAATACACAAAGATTGTATCGAAGGAATTGAGAAAGCTAATGAGAAGTACGCCGAAGGATACAATAGGAAACACCGGACTACGCCGAACTTCGCGGAAGGAGACCTAGTGATGCTGTCGTTAGAGAATATTAAGACGAAGAGACCAATGAAGAAGTTAGATGTTAAGCAAAGTGGGCCGTACAAGGTAGTACGGCAGGTAGGTTCTCATGCTTGTAAATTGGAATTACCAGGAACGATGGCAGGTATCCATGATGTATTCCATGTCTCCTTGCTCCGTCCTTATCACCCTCCAATATTTCCTGGTCAGCAAGCTGAGCCACCTGGGCCAGTAGAAGTAGACAATGTGGGAGAGTCTTGGGAGGTAAAGGATATTGTGGACTCTAGAGTAAATAAGAGGTCAGGAAAGTTAGAGTACTTGGTGGAGTGGTTAGGTTACGAAGGAACAGACGATTCAGTATCATGGGAACCAGTGGAGAACGTCGATGGAGCTGATGACATATTGGCGAAGTTCCACGAACTTCACCCTACTAAGCCGAAGGAAGGGCGACTGCGAAGGGCTAGGAGATAGAACGTACTGCATACAACATAGGATTACAGCTACGTACCGCTCACTTGTCCTTACTCTTACCCTTACCTTTTCCTTTTCCTTTCTCCTTCGATCTACTCGGTCCCGCGGGATTGGTGTGGAGGCTACCGATGACCGAAGGTAGATCGAGAGTCTCAGACGGGAACGCAGTAGAGAGAGAAGCATTCCATGCCCGATTCATAGCCCCAAAGAAGTCACCGAAGTCCTGGACATCTCGAGCAGCTTGCATGTCACAGAGAACGTATGGTCCGTAGACACTCGAAGGGAAGACTGAGGAGGTCGAGAGCAGTCTGGGCGGAAGCTGGGACACGAGAATTACTACGGCGACCTAACCAGTCAAGGGACGGTGGTGGCTCATACGCCATAGGAGTGACTAGGAAGGGGGTGTCGAACAGTCTTCGGCGAACATCGGCTATCTCAGTAAGGCTTCGGCGAGAGACGTCCGCTAACCTTGTCCTTGCTTCGTCGTCCAGAGCCCCAGTGTTGACTACATCTACTAACGCCGCAGTAAGATTGTTTAAAGCGTTAGCTTGACGAGAAGAGAAGTCAAGCAGGAGAGATGTATCATTTCGGGCGGCCTCAAGCTGAGTAGTGAGACCGAGGACGAGAGAACGATAAGTGGCGAATTCCTTTTCGTCCTCAGGAATACGGACGTCCAGGGAGATACGAGGGTGGACGAGGGACAACCGGAGAGCAGAGGGACCAGCACGCTGAGTATCTTCATTTTCCACATCACCATCATTGAAGGCAACCTCCTTCTCTTTAGATTTCCCTTTTGATTTCTTTAAAGAAGACTTCGGTGTCTTCTGGGGAGCAGAGGGAGGGGTGACGGGAGGGGCCGCCGAAGTGGCCGGAGGAACAGAAGGACGCCGACTTCGGGTGCTGTGAGCCGGAGGAGAAGCTACCACTGGAGAGGACGGACGTGGCGCCGAAGGACGAGAGGCCGAAGGACGGGAGGCCGAAGGAGCAGAGGCCGAAGGACGGCGAGAAGACGAAGGAGGAACAGCCGGGAGACGTGATGGGCCGGCCACAGGAGCGAAGGGCGACGGCGACGGAGGCGACGGGCGGAGGTCCGGCGAAGTACGGCGAACCGACCGGAGAGACGAAGGAGGTACCCGCGAACGGGGGACAGACGCTGGAGTCTGAGGAGGGGGGAAGGGCGAAGAGTCGGAGGGACGGGGCGGGATGTCCTGGGCAGAAGAAACGGGACAGAAGGAGCAGGGGCCAGACGTGCATGAAGCACAACGGAGGGCCTTGTTGTGTGGCCTGACTGCCTTGAGGCAGGGCCAGTTTGGACGATTATACGTGATAATCTCACGTCTACTAATTAGCAGGAGTAACTTCGGCGTAGTACGAATAGGTGGACTCACCGGCAACGATCACACGCTTCGTCAACACCAACCGCGATCCAACGACCAGGCTCGGACTTCATCTTCTCCCACAAGTACTCTTCTTCCCGCAGTGATCTCTTCACCCGTTTGGGCGAAGGCTCCCCTCTGGGAGAAGGGGGGGGAGCAGCGACGGGGACGGCGGCAGCAGGACCGGCGGCGGCGGCGGCAGCAGCGGCAGCAGCGGCGATGGCGTTGGGGGGGGGGGAGAACCCCGGAAGAGGAAGAAGAAGAGGAAGAAGAAGAAGAGGAAGAAGAAGAAGAAGAGAGGGAACGGCGTCGTTTCTGGCCCACAATTTGAGCAGGGGGAGGGGCAGGACCGGCTGCGAGTTAGCAATGTCTTGGAGAGCTAAAGAACAGATAAACAAGGCCAAGTTCGGCGAAGGTGTGAGAGGTTGGACGAAGAACTCACGCTCAGGACTATCTACGTTGTTGTCCTCTACACTAACCGCCACCATATCATCATCCGAGTGTTCCTCTAACTCGGTTTCACCCTCCGACACGATTCTATCATCCTCATCACTATAATCACCCCCTTTTCCTTCGAAGTCTGACTGATCGTCCGACTCCGAACCACTGAGCGACTCCTGGTCGGAGGAGGACGGAGACTCACCAGGACGAAAGGCGGGCGTCCTGCGGCGAGGACTGGCGGCAGGAGGGGAAGCAGAGCGAGGACCAGGAGGAGGAGAAGCAGAGGGAGAACCAGCGGGAGGACCGGCGGGAGGAGAAGCGGAGCGAGGAGGCGGGACATCGCCAGACGGCTCCCCCAAAGAGAGGGTGCCGAGGCCGAGGGAGGAGACTTGGCGAGATCTGTCGCCGAAGGAAACTGAACATCAGCCAAGTCCGGCGAAGTAAGGTAAGTGTCGAGGAATAACTCACGAGCAGACGACACCATACCACCAAAGTTCCTCATGGCGGCGAAAGGGTTAGAGGTGGGAGTAGGAGGGGCCATGACGTTAAAAATACTTAAAGAAATAAAAGATGATTCAAGGTAACAAATCTGTTTTCTAGGTAAGAGAGATAGAAAGTTTTGAAAGCAGATGGGAAAAAGAGAGAAGCTCGACGAACTGCTCAGTATTTAGTATAATCAAACCTAAACCCTCGTCGTCAACATGCAGCAAACTTCGCGTTTCATCAACAAAAGGCATCGCAGGGACGATCAAAATTCCCACGCTATAGTGTCTCATCTCAATATAAGCGAGGGTTACTTCGACAAACAACGGTGTTGTTCGGCTGCCATTCAGGAAGCGTGTCTCACCTACAAAAGACACAGGGCTTCTTACGGCAAACCTCGACGAAGTTAGGGGAGTCTCATTGTCGGGTTTTGGAGTGAAAGGAGGCCCAACTACGAAGTGCGGCGCAAAGAGCAGAAGGGTGAAAGATGGTCATGGGGAGGGAGAGAATGGGGGTACTACGCTGCTAAGTTCTCTTGACACGACAGAGGTGTAATCGCTCACGAGGACGTTCGCGGCTAAAGAAGGGGGCGACTGTCACGAACTACGTCGTGACACCTCGATTACTCCACCAACAATGACCCTCCTTTGGCCATCAAAACCCCATCACGCCTTAACCTCTTTACTCTACACGTAACTCAGGACTTCTGACACCAAGTACGGCGAAGTTAGACGGAGTTAGGCTAAGTAGGGACAATGGGAGCAGAAGTACGGCGAAGTTAGACGGAGTTAGGCTAAGTAGGGACAATGGGAGCAGAAGTGCGGCGATGTTAGGCGGAGTTAGTCTAAGTAGGGACAATGGGAGCAGAAGTACGGCGAAGTTAGACGGAGTTAGGCTAAGTAGGGACAATGGGAGCAGAAGTGCGGCGATGTTAGGCGGAGTTAGTCGAAGGAGGAAGAGGATGGCCGAGGGCTCGGGGAAGTTGGACGAAGTGCGTTGAAGTACGTCAAAGCGCGAGAGGGTTGGATGAACGTCTAGGAGGAGTAGATAATATTAGCTGAGAAGATCGCTGAAGTTCTTCAGCGATCCTTGATTGTTGTCAGTAGTGAAAGACAGATAGAGATAGCTATAAATCAAGATACATCGCCATCAGTAGAACAAAACCCTAGTTAGAGTAACTACGCCGAAGTACGCCGTAGTTACACCCCTTTCGACGTCTGCGCCCTCCTGGTTGGGTGAGACATCGACTCAGAGCGTGAAGTTAGCCGAGGTTCGTCGACCGTCGGTCTATTAAGAAATAGTTGTTCGACGGCCGTGACACTTTTGCTCCTTCAGCATCTCCAAACAGTTTGTGCAGGGTATAGCCCAATCTACCGATAACTTCACCTTTTGTTTTCAACAGGTCTATAGTTGGTTTGACCTTTTCCTTGGTTGACGCGGCTTTTGAACCGGACCACGCTTCGAGGTACTTCAGAAACCCCTACCCCCATTTAGCGTTTCGGAAAGGGGATTGAGAAAAAGCTTACCTGGGCGGTTGCACTTTCTGTATTAATTGCAACAATTCCGACATCACGATACGCGTTCTGATGACCCCCTTCTTTAGGAACAATAATCTCCCCGTTCTCAATGTAAGGAGCCCCCACCGAATCCAAAACACCCCTACCCGCGGCTTGGGCCAAGGGAGTACGATATGTGACCTTACCTCCAGAACTTAGACAACCTTCAAGAGGAAGTTGAATAGGCACACCGCCAAACGAGGTCCCGATATCTTTATTCTTTTCACCCTGCGGAGGGCTGCGACCGTGTCTTTACGAGGGAGGAGGAGAGGGATTATCAATCTTGGCACCCCCTGGTCGCAAATCATTTGGCCCAGGAACCTCCCACTGAAAAGGATATCGTCAGCCATGAAATATCGCTTTTAGGAAACTTCTCACAGGAGTATGGGAGGAAATGGGGAACGACGATCATCACTACCGGTGTCAGACATGGTCATTCACTTAAAAAGAGAGTCTAGATGCGGTTTCTCAGCAAAACATTCAAGGATGTTAGCAAAAGAAAGTGATGAGGTGCCAGGAAGAAGAAGAGAAGAGGATACGGGAAAGTGGATCTCAAGATCAGAGACAGAGTGATACTGAATTACACGTCATAATCTAGGGTGTTCTCTCGATCACAATATGCGCCCTCACTACCATCATTACTGTCCTCACTATCATCATTTTCGATAAAGAGTGCCACATGCCACTTTCGATTCAGTAGAATTTTATTTTTCTACAGGACTAGACAACGTCTACCAAAGGGGGAGAGTAATGTCAGGATCACGGGTACCTATAGACGGGTTCCTCAAGAGTTGTATGCAGAAGTCGTGCTCCGTCTACCCGTTCCCGTCTCCGCTTCACTAATCCTGCCACGGCATCCCCCGTTCTCCTGTCCTACCTAATCGCTAGTTCTTTATCATACTATACTTTTCCTTCATCCCCGTGTCCCTCATCTATCTCCGTCTTCCTTCGCTCTTATACCCCATATCGCTTTCCACATTTACTCCATAGCTTTTGGTATCACCCCGCTCCCCTTTTAGTATATAGAAACACCCCTTTTTTGTAGATGTCTTGTTGGATGTATTTTCTCGTCATTTAGCAAATCCTTTGCCACTTGATCTCATTGACTTATAGTCTCTTCGATCCACTACATCACTAGACTATAAACTACATCACTAGGTTTGTTCCCTGCGAGGCCCTATAGCCATAGCTCATAGACACAGACTATTTTCAACATCTGGTCCTGTCACAATTGTCGTTTCTTCTTCTCTACTGACCGACGGTCAACAAACCTCGGCTAACTACGTCGTAGTGGGGCGTTGATGTCTCACTAGGACAGGGTACTTGTTGGGGGATTACGGCTAACTTCGCCGTAGTAATATGTCGAGTGGTAAATGAAAAGGTGATCGTCGATGGACTGCGGCTAACTTCGCCTTAGTACGTCGAACTGCTCGGTGGTAGCTCTCCCTAGCTCGATGGTTGTGGCTACTGGATATATATCTCGCTACTGACAACAATCAAGGATCGCTAAAGTGGTTCAGCGATCTGTAAACTATCTATACTTCTCCTCTCTTCTCATAGAACGTCCCTCAACTCCTGCACAGCCTTGCGCTCAGTCCTCTTCGCTCAACTTCGCCGTAGTTCGCCATATCCCCAATATCCTACTCCGTTCACCTCGACAAACTTCGCCTAACTTCCCCTGCTCTGCTCTCCCTCAGTTCTCCTCCTCTAACTTTGCCGTAGTTCTCCGCTAGTCGGGGTTATCGTGACAAATACCCTCTAGGATCTTGTAACTTTGCCGTAGTCGGTCTCAGTGGTTTGGGTGGTGGTTGGTGATGGTGAAAGGAGGGTTGGAAATGGTGGTTGTCAGGGATGTTACGACGTGGTTCGTGACAGGTCCTGACACATTTCCCACCAATAACCACTGAGCTAGACAATCACAAAATCCTAGAGGAGGATGTTGAGGGTGGTGAAAGGATACTAGAACAATATGTCTGTCAGATTTGGCCATGAATGGTGTGAAAACAGCACCCAATGGTGCTTTTCAATGTTAGCCAATAGGATCGGCGCAGGACGGCCAAACCGTCACTAGGAAAATTACCACTTCCGTCAAATATCTCTTCGTTCAACTTATCCTCTGAACTTTATTTGACTGTCTCTGGTTTGCTGCATGTGAGTGGAATTTGATAAGTACAGAGACATGTAGAATTGATGCATGCTCTTTTTCCTCTGTATTATCATCTGATTGCCAGCAAACACTCAAGGGGTCAAATAAGCAAAGAACTATGCATCCCTGGCCTCTTCCTCCTGCAGAATATCATGCAGTACATCTCTAGTCCCCTAGCTATGCGTTGAGGACTAGGTTTGTGAGATATGTGGTTTGGTCAGGATCAGTTCTTCTGTGGGGCATGGATCTTCCAACAGTCATGCTAACCCTCATGACGCTTCGAAGCGCCATGGCTTCCGTCCGTCACTTAACAGGTATATATCACTGAAACAATAAATGATGAATTCAATCCCAACATAGAAACTTAGGACTGTCAATGTTGAGCGGATCAAATCATGCAGACTCATAGTCATCCATTTATGTGGCCCTTTCCAACCTTTCTGTAATTACCTCTGAGTTTGTTAGTTGTCAAGTACATACATCCTTGACAAACCACTCAGCTCGTCCTTGAAGGCTGAGACTTCCCCACTTTGCTTCAAGGTGAATACTTGATCCAGCCATCACCCCTTATGTCCAATGGAACATAACTACCCCAGTTGAGAGTATTAGGCTCAATCTTTGTATTACTACACTCCTGTTTACTTGTGGGAAGGATCTTGTATGGATCCTTTGCAACAATGGGATCAGTGTCAGGACCAGACGTTGAAAATAGTCTGCGTCTATGAGCTATGGCTATAGGGCCTCACAGGGAACAGACCTAGTGATGTAGTTAATAGTCTAGTGATGTAGTGGATTGAAGAGACTATAAGTCGATGAGATCAAGTGGCAAAAGATTTGCTAAGTGACGAGAAAATACATTCGACAAGACATCTACGAAAAAGGGCTGTTTCTATATACTAAAAAGGGAGCAGAGTGATACCGAACTTTACAGAGTAAAGATGGGAAACTATATGGGGTGATCGACCAAAGGAAGACGGAGATAGATGAGGGACACAGAGATGAAGGAAAAGTATAGCAGGGTGAAAGAATAGCGATCAGGTAGAACAGGAGAACAGAGGATGCCATAGCGGATCAGTGAAGTGGAGACGGGAACGGGTAGGTGGAGTACGACTTCTGCGTACAACTCTTGAGGAACCCGTCTAGGGGTACCCGTGATCCTGACACTAAGAGAACTAAATTGGTGTGGTAGGTTTGACAGACGTTTTATAGTCACAGATATCAATCATGTTTTTTACAAGTTCACACACATCAAACTGAACATGTAGTAGCAGCTTCAATGAGGGTGACAGCTTCTGAAACGTCACCAAGTGCTATGGATCAGAGGTGTTTGATTTGTGGGTTGTAAGAGATATGAATGGAAACGTACTTTGTAGTTGTTAGAGACACGGCCGGAGACGTGCACCTCCGGAGCTGCATGGTTCAAAACCCCCCTCTTGGACCCGGCCAGAGAACCATGCAGCTCCAGAGGGGTCCGGACACAGCCAGAGCATTTTTACTCTTATGATCCCCAAGCTCTCCACATATATAAATCACAGTACAGATATCCTGTGGTACCATCTTCTGGACTCTTGGAGTCATGGTGGTCTGGCCCCACAACCTAAAATCTACAACACTGCAACAATTACCTATGATACATCACCATTGGAATTCCCCCTGGTTCAAGATATTGGCTGACCTTCTTGCCAAATACGGCATGTGATGATAAACAGCACTTTGATGGTTACCTCTTACACTTGTCTTAGTAGAGCATCTGCCCTTTGGAGTTACCAACACTGTCTTGTACGGTGTGAAGGATCTGTTATTGATGTTTCTCTGAATGGGAATGGCTAAAGAGAGTGTTCAGCTCCGGAGTTGTACATCTCTGGCTGGGAACAATCAGGTCCGTGCAGCTCCGGAGATGCACGTCTCCGGCCATGTCCCTAACATAGTAATGTGAAGGTGTGTAGAATGTACAGTACATCCCACCTTATCATGGCTTCTCACGTTTCTAACGATCTGTCACTGATCTCTCACGTTTCAGACCTCTGTTCATTTTCCGCAAACGAACGAGAACGTTTGGGTATCTATAATTGTCTTCATGAATCATCATCTGTTTTGTTTCTGCATACCATTGGTTGTTTCAGCTGTGAGAATTGTAGCTTGATTTGAGAATTTTCATTGATTTTACAAACAGAGCTATTTACGCCTTTAACGCTTGCCCTCAGCAAAGGGTCCAGAGTTGATGAGGAGCAATAGTCATCATATCCGAGGCCTGAGTACACCTCAAATCTGAATCTATTGTCAATAGAAAATGGCAGGCATAGATAACTAACCGGTTCTCAGGCTCACATAAGAGGTAAATATCACTGAAACACGGACTGCAGAATTCAATTCCATGATAGACAATTTTCATGTGGTCCTCTCCAACATTTCCGTTCATTCCCTCTGAGTTTACTTGTTGTCAGGTATATATATGCTTGAGAAACTACTCAGCTCATCCTTGAAGGCTGAGACTTCCCCACTCCGCTCCAGGGGGTATACTTGACCCCGTCATCACCCCTTATGTCCAATGGAACACAAGTACTCCGTTTGATGGTATCAGGATCAACCTTGACACTCCTGTCGTCTCGTTCACTCGTAGGAACTATTTCATATGGATCGCCTGCAACAATGGGATCAGGTGCAGGGATAAGGGATCTGTCAGCCAATGTGGAGTTTATAGGACGTTTCATTGGACGAAAAGCGGATCGTCGAATTGTTCCCCCTGTTGACCAATTGTTATTACCGTTTATCCTCCTACCCGAATCATCCCCTTTCTCGGTAGTCTCTTCTGGATGAGACTTGTTTGAAAGACTGGTAGTAGGGATAGTACTCTGAGCTTGATCTTGGAAGCTGACGTGTGTTTCTTTCCTTACTGATGTGTTTGGCTTGTCACTTGAATCAGTAAGGTGAATAATGTAAATCGTAGGTGAAGTTACATTGATCACTATACTTGAAACCGGAGGTGAATCTCGCGAGTTAGGTGGGACAGGAGTTCCACTCGGGCCGGAACCTTGAGATGTTTGGGGATAAGTCCCTTCATTGGATTTGGGCATAAAATCTTGCTTGATATCCTTGGTCTTCTCTTTTTGAGCTTGGCTCAAGGCGCTGCACCGCGGACAAAACTCACCATTTAGGTAAGTACACATATTGGATGAATTGGGTGGTACGCCATTATAACCTTGAGAAATCCCCGGAATGGGAACTCCAAAAGGAGTAAAAGACGAATAGTGTCCCAAAGACGGGTTCGCGATAGGAAAAGGATAGACAGGAGGTTGAAGGTAAAGAGGATCATACTCATGACTTGTGGTGAAGGGGCTCACATAGTCCAGATTACCTCCATATGTACCAGCTTCAAGCAAATCAAGTTGGTGTAGAAATTCTCCCGTAGAGTTGCCTTGGTTGGAATACCATGTGGGGTAAGAACCCCTTGCTGAGGAAGGTTGATATTGAGGAATCTGAGAACGTCTTTGTGAACGCGTAGAGGGAATATAAGAGAAATCAGTGAATTGGTTCATTATTGTTATGCAAGTGAAGACTTGTTGAGTTGTTGATGATCAAGTTGTGATATCAATGTGAGATCAGATAAAAGTGTATAGTAGAGTACTGTTTGTCTACATGATAGATGTTCTTATATCTTTCAACATGAGCTCCTCATTCTCATCACTCAAACACTCATGTTGGTCATCGCAACCCCTCGGTCTTCTATCCGTGCGTCTTGGATGATAATCTGATATTATTGGCCTCTTTCCCTTCAGTTATGACATGTTTGACATCAGGTGTGGGAAGTTGAGGGAAGGAAATTGAGAAATAAAGACGATGGGAAGTACTCGTTCACACGGATCACGCATCTCACTTACTTTCACAAGGTTCAAACTTGTCCTCTGTCTTCCTATCACATTACAATCACTCATATCTGAGAATGACGTATAGGACACGTAGAAATGGAGATAGAGGAAGGCGCTCGTGTGAATTTAGACAAAAATGAAGTTCTCATACGTGAAACACAATTGTGATTGACATTCTTCACCTATGTATTCCTCATCCCTTTGGGCTGCAAATTCTCATGATTGATACATATATGGAAGGTGTGGCTATTTTGTACATCTCCGACTTCTTCTTCCAGGGGGACAAGCTTCACAAAAGAGCAACAGGTCGTATTGTTGAGTATGTCACATGTACCCTCTCAACTGACCATCTCAGGAGGAGTCACGACTTGTGATTCTACCGCCAGTTTTCCAGCCCTAAAGTTTGACCAATCTCAAACTCCACAGTGACTCCCCCCGGGCGAGCTCAATCTACTTGTACACAAGTAATGGTGATGAACCACCCCCTCATCGCTCACCAGATAGACTGGCGCATGTTTTCAGATCAGCTGGAATGTTGGCCCCTGGTATACATAAGTTTCGCCTCAGAATCATATCACATACTATCTACAAGACTATTTGACATCCATTGTATCTCCAAGCCCCCAAAACACCTTTCGAAGAAAACTATCTCTCTCTCTTATCCTTCTCAATGTACAATACAACCCTACTCGAGTACAGTGTTGAAGTGAGTGTATCACTACACTCATACTCCTGATCGTTTGTTCTCCACACTTGTTGCACTATTCCTACGCTTAACTTTCCAAGACCTCATCCTATCTCTTTCCGCCCCTGCACTCTTAGCTAAACTTGCCAACCTCTCACTCCATGCCACCACCTGATCTCTCAATCTCAACCCTCTCTCATGTTCTTCCAAATACGTCTCATCCGTATTCCCCCAACAACCTTCACATGTTTCTTCATCTACATGTCTCAATCCTTCTATATCCCAAGGAGGTTGCAAAACTATCTCCGTTGATTGATCTTGTTGAGAACTTCCATCACGGTTAATGGCTTTATATCCTGGATGTAAACTACCTTGACGTGTCTTGGTAAGTGCAACAATCTTATCGACCCCTTTGGACAATACTTTCTTGAACTGTGGGTCAAAGATGGAATCATCCATTTTTGCTAAGAAGGATGTTGTAACGTGGTTCAGTGAGCTTGTCAATTCTGTTTCCTCGTTACACCTTACGCATGATGATGGGGAGATGAATCCGGTATATGGGAATGAATGAGAGGTTTCTCCTGTAACACCTGTGAGGGTTGGAAGTTGATCCACAAGATCAGTGAGCTCGAGGGGATCAGCAAGGAAATGGTTAGAGAGGGATGTACATGCTTTGGACAAATCTGCCAGGTCAGATGGTTTTCCGTGCTCCAGGCGTTGGAAATCTCTATAACAGGGCCAGTTTGCGCATTATGAAGACGGAACGAGTACCGTCGTTGGCGTTGGGTGGTGATAACTAGGTGAGAGCATGGAGAGTAGCAGGATACAAAGGGAAAAAGAGAAGACAGAGATGAGAGGAAGAAAGGAGAGGACATGACTCACTAGTGCTCAACCACGCTACCTCTGCCGCACTTGCCTCCACAGCATTCCACAATTTCATCTCATTATCATCAAGACGTGTCTCCATCTCCGTAACATCGTTAAGTTCATCATAGTCATCTCTGGGACCGGACTGAGACGACCACATTGATGTTGAGGTCATTCGACGTGGTACGGAATCATAGCGACTGTTAGAAGTCTGGTTGTGTTGCGACTGGATCCGACTTCCGGTCGATATAGGGGTCATGATGAGTTCACGTCTTTCTATTCTTGACTGCTCCGAACGTCTTGTCCCAGTGCTCCTTGAATGCATGTTGGCTTGATTGGCTCAGGATTATCCGTCTGTCTGTTTGGATCAATGATGATGGAGAGAGAAGATAAGGATTAGAGGGACAGATAATAGAAAAGACAAACTTATGTCATCGAACTTGCAATAGTTGATGGGCACGCAAATGAAAAGCGTGCGTAGTAGAGGGCGAGGTGATGGTCCGTAGCATGCTGGTGAGTATCCTTCTTATCTTTTTGGACATGTGGAGGTCAGAGGATCTGTTGCACGAAGAAGAGATGATGTCACCTAGAAGACCTGATGTGTGCCGATGAACTCGGAAGAAGGCGACATGTTTCGGATGTGTAAGAGTTACATACGCGAGAGGATCAAGGGAAGGTCGTCTTTCATCTGTATTGCCTTCCATGTCTGATGCCTACGAGGAGTATCTGATGAGTCATTTACAAGCACGTCATGCGAACATACCATCATGATGATCCAGTGTATGAAATGCAATCACAAGATGCCTCATATCGCTGCGAGTCATAGTGAACGTTGTATGTGCCATGAGCCACTTGGGGGAATTTCCACTTTGGGCGAAATCAAAGTCAAAAGAGACGCGTCGGTTCATTTCCCGTCACAAACATAGATTTCACTCTTTCTATACTTACTATTCTCACTCACTTTACCTCTTTCTATGATCACATCTTAACCTCTATCACACTTAATATCCGCTTCTAATCCAAACGTTCTTTAATCGTACCTCTTACACGCTCTTTTCAATCCGCCCTCTATCTGCCTCACTTTTCGCGTTTCCGCACCCTACTTCCGACTTTACTTTCCGACTTCTCCTACGTTCCCTTCCGCGGTGAATCAACACTTCTCTTTCCGATCCACCCCACGTCCGCTTTCAGACTCGTCATTCGCACAGCATGATAAGAATCTCTTCCAAGACCGGCGTTCTCTTTCCCATCTTTTCAAAATCATGAGACATAATTACCTTTCTTACCCTTCTTCATCCTCGTCCTTTCATTCAATCGATAACGACATGGCGTCGATATCAACTCGACGTCATTCTGTGGCCAATCATACCGGTTCACCTCTACGATCATTAAAACCATCTAAATCACAATCATTACGACAATTCACAGAACGACACGCTACCGAATTCGCTCATTTACATGAACATGAAGATGAATCTGCAAGAGAGATACGATTAGCCATGGAAGCTGCTTCTTTGGAACATGCTAGGAAAGTTGGTAGAGAGAAACGTAGGAGTATGGCTTCCATGTCGATCTCTTTTTCAAACACAAATGACAACTCCCTCTTGTCCGAAACAGTCTCTTTGGGTCAAGCCGATGGGAAAGAAAATCGACCAGGTTCACCAGATGAACAAGAACGTCAACGTATACTTCGAGCTGCTTGTAAACCACTTGGCTTGGTAGAACGTAGACATTCGAAATCTGCTTCACTCACTTCTATCCCTACACCACTTCCCATGTTCACCACTCCAATCTCCAACGTAATTCCTCGGAAACCTCGACCGATGAGTATTGCCACTCGACCGACTTCCATACGTGTCTCTTTATTCTCCCCACCTACCAATCAACGAGCTGTATCCGATCCACCTCCGATCCGTCAAGCCAACTCTGGTCTGTCGGTCTTAATCGAATGCGCTTCCAACACCTCCCTCTCCTCTTCATGTCGTGGAAGTGTGGAAGATCTAGTGGAAAGTCCTACGGATTATCCGACTCCCGCAGGGACACCAGAAGGCAATCGATCTGAGAACCCTTCGACTTATAGTTGGGCCACCGAATTTTCAGGTGAAACCTCTGATCTTCGTACGACTGCTCAATATATCCGTAAATCCCTTGACCTCCCTCCGGAGCAAGAACCGACTCCTACTAAGATCGAAACGAGAAGGAAACGTATCGTCGCTCTCGCTCATACTGTTCGTCAACTCGAAGGTGTTGGTTCACGTGATGTCGAAGATCCAGAGTTATACGATAAACTCGAGAAAGCATGGAACAATTCTGTTGTGGGAAACACCGATTCTATTTCCATCATCGACTCGACGGGACAGAGTGTAGGTACCAGTGAAGGTGGAATCCCAGAAACACCTTTCACACCTTTTACTCCTCTTCAACAGATCCAGCATAAAAATACCGTTCAACATGCCAGTTGGCTACATGATGCTCCCCCGACATTCGAGATGACTCCTCGGGAAGAAGAAGAAGCAGGAACAGCCTCCATATCCAGTCATCAAAATTCCGACGCTGCATCTCGCGTGACCGGTGCTAGTCGATATTCTTTTGCCAGTACATTACATGATCTCGCTATGGACGGAGGGATTCAATTAGGGAACAGATTGATGACTGAAAAAGCATGGATGAGAATGGACGAAGAAAGTAGACCTTTGGAACAAATCACCCTTCCTTCCGATTCGACCATCGGTGGACCTTACACCCCTCAAACACCTGTATTTCCAGCTGGCATTCGATCTGGAAAGGAACATGAAGTGTATAACCAAGAGATTGAAGTACATGAGGCTTCTGTCGTGACGAGTGGGAAGACTCTTCGAAAAGCCAAAGGGACAGTAGGTCGATCTACACCTGATAGAACGACGGAACAAGTCTCGTCAGGTTGGGGTTTATTCGGTGGTTGGTGGAGATCAGCTCCTAGTAAACTCAAAGATGAAGAGGAAACACAAGAGGGTTTTCACAATGGGGGGGAAGGGATTTTCACCAGGAGATTGGAACCAGCGGCGATAATACAAAACCGCTCCTCCCGGCCGTCATCATCGATACTAGAGTCACCAACTTTGAGTATGGAAGAGAAAAGGGAAGAAGAAGAAATACAAGAAGACGAAGAAGAAGTTTTAACGGAAGAAACGAGACAATCTCTTTCCTTGAACCTTTACAGGAATACTTGGGAAAAGAAACAAATTCAAATGAAGAACGATTTCCCAACTCATCCTCTTCCCATTTCTCCACCTTACACTCCACCTACCAGAGTGACGAGTTCATTAAAGAATCAAAAGAATTTGGAAAAAGAAGAAAAGAAAAATCCAAAAGAATTTCAAAACTTGATCCACTCCCAACAGAACTCGTCAATGAATTTATCGACCACTCTTCTCCCCCAAAACATCGAATTTCGACAATGTCCACCATCTCCGATATCTCTACCATCACCATCAACTCCGAACAATCTTCCCAATCCTACTGTCATGGTGAATCAGGAGAATCAAGAGATTGGAGATTATCAACATCAAGTGGTTCAAGTGGAAATAGTACAAACCAAAGAGGTTTACTCGGATTCATCGGTAATTTACTCTTACCCATACCTATCCCAAATAAAACCACAAGATATTCCACTTCCTCCAAGTCCGATGGAAAAACCGACGGAATTACCTTACATGTCAGAGACATCACATCTTCCAATTCTCACAATGATACCTGCCAGTCCTCCTCAGAATGTGAACAATCGATTACCTTCGAGAATGTCATCCCTACCTTCCATCCCCTTTCCAATACCATTCCAATACTCAGCACCTCCAGCAATCACAATCACCTCGGAGACGACTTCGTTCGGAAACTTGATACGTCCCCTGTCGATAGCTTCCACCTTCACAGAGGAATCAGTGGGAGAGGAAGAGACGGAGGAGTCGATGGAGATGATTATGACTGGTCAGGAAGAAGACAAAGTCATATCGGATCAAAGTATGGAGATGAGTATGATCAATCCCGCCAATCCAATGGATTCAATGGGACCCGTGGGGAAGATGGAGAAGGAGAAAATGAAAGGAATGGACAAGACAAACTCCGCCCGTTGCTCCTCCCTCGCTTGGTCAGATATTCAGCCCTCCAACATCTCCGCCACAATCGTCGGTAAAGTCATGACTAAGACTGGGAAGAAGAAAGGGAAAGGAAAAGGTGAGGTAGTCCGTGCGACTTTGATCTTTCCCGACCCGGCAAGATATTCTTCCTATTCAGCATTAGCGTTGGATTCTCCACCTTTGACTCCTGAGGGGCAGAACGATGAGTCGGAATATGCCGCAGTGGAGACTGAGTCTCCTGAGGGGTCGTTGAGATCAGAGGAAGAGACGCCAGACAGATCACCAAGGTGGGTTCTCCTTCTCTCTCCGGACGAGAAATCAAACGTCCTTTCCTTCCCCCTGTCTCCGCTAGATGGAGACTACTCATATCTACGTCAAACCTTTCCTTATCCCCATTTTTCTGAGCAATGATGAACTCCTACAAGCCATCACTACTATACCTTTGACTTGACATGGAAAATGAATTAAGATGGACTGACCATCAGCCGCGCAAGCAAATTAGAAACCCGCGTTTCTCAACTACCTCCCCAAGATAAATCCCTCCTGACCGTTCCAAAACGTACTAGACCAATGACATCCGCCACATTACTTTCCATCACATCCGATCGATCTCCTTCTCCCTCTCCTCATCTCAACATGTCAGAAACCGAAAAGAAACCCATTTATCCCAAAGTTTTATTCTGGATAGGATTCATAATCCCCTTCGTATGGATCTGGGCGGCGTGGGTTATATATCCTGAAAAAGTTAATGATATCGAAGCTACAGCCAACGGAACAAGAGCAACTATTCATATTGGTGACTCACCCCTAGATGGGAGGATATCAAGAATATCAAAGATTGAACATGGTCTTACGAGAAGGGAAAAATTAATGAGAAGATATAAAGAGAAACAAAAGAGAAGATGGGGTAAATTTTGGCATGAAGATAAATGGGTCAGAAGATCAAGAGTTGCAAGTGTGGTGGGAAGTTTAGGTTGGGTGATTATAGTCGTGGCTGTTTTAGTTTCGATTCGATAACGTCACTTCCACCTCGGTCTCGATCAAAATCCGTCTTCCCCCCCCCCCCCCCCTCCACTTTGGAATGGAACTTGATCTTTTTTTTTTGAATGAGAGGTATTTTGGACAAATTGGGATTTTCATGATAAACCTCAATCCTTTTGTTTTAATTCATCCCGCTGGTCTTTGGATGCTTTGGACGATTCAAGAATAGGTTAATACGTGATCTTGGGTTTGGGTTTGGGTTTGGGTTTGGTTATGAGGAGGAATGATGATTGGAATTTCTCTCGTTTGGATAGGGTTGATTTGAGTTGGGAACGTTGGACATGTTTAGGGAGACGTGTTTGATTGGGATACTGCTTGGACAATACATACCCTACAAAACGAACTTTTACGATTGCTTGTCATGCTTTATTTTTTTCTTTGTGATGCTATTGTAGTAGTCAGTTTACGATGCAACCTCATTTGGTATTAATTAATCCTTATAATGATTCATGTTCAAACTTATCATTAACCTCTCTGATATACCCTTACTTCCGTCATGAACATAGTTCAAGTTTACTCATCATCATCATACTCAACGTTCAAAATGACAAAGACAATAATAATCGAAGATTAATTCTTCTTTTTGGACGATCTCAATCTCTTACGTATTCATGTATGTATATCGGAGAATGCATGTGTTTGTACTACGAGCAGAGCAGAGTACTCTAGAGTACTGTATGTGGGATCTTGAGCACATTTCAATCCTGTCGTTGCCTGCTCTAAGAAGATGTTGAAAGATAAAGTGTGAACAAAAGGATTCATAGGAAAGTGAGGAAATGAGGAAATGAGGAAGTAGAATACATATGAAAGAAATGAAAAAAAAAAATCAAAATCAATAAGGATCAGGTGGAAATAAAACGTTTCTATCCACTTCTTTCGTCCTTACTCCCATTTCTTTAGGTACGGACATACCTAATATTCTCATTTTCCCAATCTCAGAACGTTCTTTTTGGATTTTACGAAGTTCTAATATTTCTTCTCTTGTTAAATCACTTTCTCTAGGACCATATCTTGCCTAATTGCCTATCAACATCTCACATCAACTGATTCGACATGATTGAGAATTGAAGCATAAATCTTTGTTTCTTGTATGTGATATACTTAGTCATCCGATTTACCTTTTTGACATTCGTCTTCTTCCCTTCTTTCCCCTCGATCATCGAACATTCAACATGAGGTTTGATGATATGATATAGTATCGTTTGAAGACGGAACGTAGGGAAAATGTCGCGAACTCACTTTCATCATATTCTCATGTTCTTTCTCATCTTTCATAGGATCATATTTATCCGCTTCTAAAGTTAATGTTTGACCGGATCTGATCAATTTCATTCGGACTTCGTATTCCGTCATGTTGTAATATTTCTCATGAGGTAATGTAGCTGTTTTATTTCAGTGATTCCTCTCTTACTGTCATGTGTTGATTGGTTCCCTTTCTCTTACTGTCATGTGTTGATTGGATCCCGAAGGGAAGGAGGGTGTGACAAGGAGAGAGACAGGGGAGGTGCGAAAAGGCGGGAGACAGGGAGGGAGAAAGCTGGAGACAGGGTGGGTGGGAAGAGGAGGGAGAATGAAGAAGAGAAGACACTGACCAGTATTGTAATCTTCAACAAAAATGGAAAATTCTTTTCTTTGACGATCTTTTGATATCGTCTCAGGATTCAATTGTTTTTCTTCTATCAACCAAACTCGAAATTCTGAATCTTTTTTGTGATGACTGATATTAGCCCCTCGTCTCACAACCCTTTTCGCTCCCCAGGCAACTTTCCTCCCGAACTTTCGTCTGATGACGTTTGGATCCCAGACCAAATTTGCGGGTCACTAGAGCGCCGAGTCGTGCGTGGGATCATCAGGTAGATAATGCACCGTGAGAAATTCAATTTCAAATCCCTCTCAAGTGGATATACATACATTCGTTGATTGTGTATGTCATGGATAAGGATATGGAATGCACTTACTCAGATTCAGAGATTATACCATATTTACCCCAACGTGAAGTCGACGCCGCTGTCTTTTTCTGACGGTCAACCCTTTGGTCTCTTCATTTGTGGTGTACTTCTGGGTATTGAACATCTCTGGACCAGGCCGGTGGTCAAGAGGGAGGGGTGTATTTGACAAAACGAGTCACTCACTTTCTCTTTATTCTTCTCCTTGACTTTATCCTTCCGTCTCTAGATTATCAACACCACTCTCATTTTGTGTGAAGTAATTCAGTCGTTTGAGGAATTTGGGAGATCAAAGCCATGATATTTGTGTTCGACCATTTCTACCGTATACTCCACCTCCCAATCCAGAGATTCGGACATGATTTATTTGAACACAAGCAAAGTTACAAGAAGAGTGATGAAGAAAGAAAGTAAGGAAGCAAGGACGGAAGACTAACTTTATCTTCTTTCTTTCTTTTCCTTCGTTCTTCCCTCTCATCTTCACTTTCACTATGCCATTTCCCCTTACTCTTATCTAGATCTTCACTTCTACGTCTTTCCTTCTTCCTTCTTTTCTTCTCTTGTTCAAATTCACTCTCACTCTCTTCCTTCCTCTTACTTTCCCTCCTCCCTTCCATCTCCTTATAAGTATCTTTATCACCTCTTCGGAGCTCTTTTCCATCCTCTTCTTTGACATGTGGCCGCTTTGCATCTCCCCCTTTATCCCTTAAATGTCTATCTCCATTCCTAGCGCTTTCTATCTCATCATCATACGGTTCTCGACTAACGATTTCTCGTCTTTTCTCATCCCCGTGCAGTCTCCTCTTATCACCATGTTTCTCCTCCTCATCTTTATAACCTCTTTTAGCATGTCTACGTGTCACATTCTCACTTTCATATCGTCTCTTCTCATCCCCAACTCTTTCCTTCTCACCGAACTCAAATTTGTGAGATTGGTGAGATTTGTGAGATGAATCCCCCCCGACAGATCTATCTCCATCTCTCAAACTCGAATATCGACCAGAACCTTCTTCTTCGAACCCATGCCTATTATACGAATTTGTTATGGGTCATGAACATCATCGTCGACGTCAGCGTCAGCGTGAATGAAATCGCATGAGTTGAAGAAAGAAAACTCACCTGGATTTTCCCATGTTGCTCTTACTCACGTTATCTCTCCTGGATTTCCACTCGGAATCAGCTTTTTTGTCCCTGTCATACCCTTCTTCAGATTCGGGACGGGACCTCCAATCCCGATCATCTACCCTTCTCGGCGGTGACGGTCGGGACATGGGGTATTGTATATGTATGATGTCTTTCGGTAAGTTTACCGATTCCCGTGAAGGCCAAGATGAACTTGGTGTTAGGCGTGCCATCATCGCTTGAATGATGTCACGCCTAACACGGGAAAATAAGAACGGCACATATGTTGAGGGTTTGTCACTTGAAAATGTAAACAGAGGACTGGCTTCAACAATCTGACCATAATGGAGATGAGAAAGATTTATGTGACTGTAGCAATATACACAATGCAGATATGTTTAAAAAAGATACACACAGATATAGTAATAGAATGAACACTGACATAATCATGCGCCTAAAAGCTTTCCAATCGATCCCTCCTTCTGATCCATATCTCTCTTCTAGCCAAGCGTTGGCTTTGGTGAAATGTTTACTACCGAAAAATCCCCTCATGGCTGATAACGGACTGGGATGGACGGATTTGAGAATGAGATGTTTGTTCTTTCCATCAGTTACTGTAACTCCTGACATCTTCACGAATATGGCCCATTGTCTCACGAGAGACCTGCAGTACGACGCGAGCGACCAGTGAACGACTGGATCATCGCACGGGTTTCGGATACACAGACAGATAGGTCATGGATAAGGGAGGGGAGACAAATGGGGGCGGAGAGATGTATGAGATAAATAAGAGGAGAGAGAACAGAGGACGGAAAAAACATACTTTATCAACCCCACTACACATCTTTTGAGCATGTGCACCCCAAGCCATAAATACAACTCCGTTCCCTCCTACTCCCTTCCCGAACGCTTTACTCCCTTCTTTCTCGTTAATGTTCAATTTGGATTCCCCCTTCTCCACTCCCGTTGGTCCCTTCTGGTCTGCAACAGCGGAAATGTGATCATGCTCTTCATCACGAGGAACCAATCTTGACGTGACCACTTTCAACACGGCAGCGGTGAAAGTTTCCCATCCGCGATTGGAATGTGAAGCGGCCTTTTCATCAGTTATCAGAACTCTGGTTCTCTAAGACACTGCTCACCTCATGTGCTCGAACAGTCAATGAAGTGTTGAGCAATAACACACCGTGTCTAGCCCATTCGGATAGATCACTGTTCGTCAATCAGAATGACATGTGATGGAAGACTGAAGTCCAGCACTGACCCATGAGGAGGAATCTTGAAACCGTCCACGTCTTCTGACATTTCTTTATATATGTTTCTCAAGGATGGAGGTACTCGAACACCTTTTCGGACTGAGAATGCCAAACCCTGATGTGAACATGGTTTTCATAGGCATAATGTTGACTCACATGAGCTTGATTGTCATCCTGCGTTGTCAGTATGAATAACAAAAGTATATGTGAAGACTCACGTGGTACGGATCCTGACCTGCTTGATCAGCTTCTGCCACGAATACTGTCGCAGAAGCCCATTGGAAGGCCTCTCCGTCTGAATTTTGGACGTGGCTTTGTGTCGTAATGCAAGAGAGCAGCAGAGAGACGAAGGGTAAATGGTTGGAGGGAGAGGGCTAGCGAACTAGGAACTTACCAATGATCACAACCCTCACATCTTTCAACGGACAAAGACGAGACCAGCTATAAATGTCCTGCGCTAACGGTCAACTTAGGACAAGAAGAAAGTAAGAGCGACGGACGTGGCGGAAAAACCTTTTTGGTCTTTTGCTCATTGGTGATGAATTGTTTCAACTAAACTTCAGCTATGTTGAGGTTATCATCAAGTCCTGGTACTTAATCCGCTAGGCGATAGAGATCCAGACACATTCGAGGAGCCCAAGAGACAGATTGTGGGGTCTCATGTATATGTTAGCTCTGTGAGAAAGGCTTCGACTAGTGAGAGGTAAACGAAGGAATCGATCATTGAGGGGTAGACTCACAGTTAGGAAATAAGGCTTGACGAATTCTTCTTGTAAAGCGATCAACCAATCTTCCCCCATGGTATCCAGTTCCAATTCTAACAGTGCGAGTTTGTCTGGGTGAGACTTGAGAGAATCGCGTAGTTCTTCTCTTGATGAAGCTTTCCCCAGCGAGAGAGATTTGACAGGAGATAAATTCTGGAAGATAGGAGCTGATATTGTTAGCTGGATCATGTGACAACACTCATAGTCGATCCTATCCGATGTTGCATCGCTCCATGCGGTTGGGTTAATATTCGCAGGGATATCTCACTCGAGCAGTCCGGCTCATATGAACCGAGGTTGAAAAGCTTATTGGGTAGATGAGGGAATTCATTACTCACCAGTGACCACTTTAGCTTTCTTAGCCTCTCTCTCGCCTTCCGCCAAACCATCCTGAATGGCTTTCAACATGACCTCATTCATATGTCTCTTCCTCCCGCTTGAACTAACAGGACTACTATTCACTTCCTTCCCCGCACCATCCGTGGTTGTCTCGGTCTTACCATCATCAGTTGTAATGGTAGACGTCTGTACCGTTGAAGTGGTGACTTTCTGCTTCCCGTTGATAGGGGATGAAGGTATAGAAGGGCCACCGTTGAGTTTTGGTCTGGCGGGAGAGGAAGAAGCGGGTGAAGAGAGAGGTTTGAAGTAACTAGAGATGGACCTTGATGCTTGAGACATGATTCGGATTTGTCTGTCTAGCATACGCTGAGAGTGAGTGCTCGTATTGTAGGTACTGTACTTGGTGGGTAGATGGACGCGTATGACTTTTTGGGTGGAGGCCGAAGAAGGAACGGAGATTGATTACATGTCCGTCGATGATGACGGAGGAGGCTTGGATCGTGAGCGTAACCCCTTTCCCGTCTTGCTCACTTCTCTACTACATACTATCCTAAATCTATTCCGCTCGTTCAGGTAGTGCGCCGTCACTCACAGCAGTTGCATCTTCGACTCCCTCTTGCTTCATTCCCATAGATTACTCACTCCCCTCTTCCCCTCTGACCCCCTGCTGGGAGACATTCCCCCCATAACCGCCATGCCACTCCCCACTCCAAACGCTCCTACTAGCTTGGAAGACCTCACCAATCTTCTCAAAGATGACAACAAGGTCAAAGTTGCTGGTCCGTTCCTCTCTCCTGCCCTCCACACACCTCTAGCTAATGTCTCAGGAGTGGACGTAGATGGGGTTTTGAGAGGGAAAATCATGTCAAAATCAAAATTCTTATCTGCTGTCAAATCAGAAGGCTTTGGTTTCTGTTCCGTCGTCTTCGGTTGGGATAGTGAGTTCCTCTCCTTCTACATCTTCAATCTAGGTGACCGTAGTTGACGCTCACTGTCAGTCCTCGATACACCTTATCCACGCGAATTACTAGTCGCTAATAGAGCAAACGGTTATCGTGACTTGACAGCCATTATAGATCTCTCTACTTATCGTCGATTGCCATGGGAGAAAAACATTCCTTTCTTCTTATGTTCTTTCATTGATCCTGATTCGGGTAAACCGCTATTTGTGGATCCTAGGAGTGTGTTGAAGAATGTTGTGAAAGAAGGTGAAGATTTAGGATATACATGTATGGCAGGCGCGGAATTTGAGGTGACTACCACATCTTCTCCATTCGACTAAAACATCGTATATGTGGGTCAAAAAAGTTCGTTGACAAGAGTAGTACTTCCAATTTGCTGAGACACCACAAAGTTTGGAAGAGAAGAAATATACCAATCTCACTCCTCTCACACCTGGCAGTGGGTGTTCTTCGCCTTCACACCGTTTCCAGCTGATTTTAGTGCATGGTTATAGTCTCCTACGACCGACTAGAAATCTAGAATACTTTCATGACCTTTACGATGTCGCTGAAAAATTTGGTATAGAAGTAGAAGGCCATCGTGAGTACCTCAATACTCTCAATGGAATCTTTGATTTTCTGCAATGTTATTCTCTTGGAGATGATGGTTCTCTTGGCTGACATTACAGACACCGAAACAGGCCCAGGAGTTTACGAAACCGCCCTTGCGTATACTGAGGCCGGTCGGATGGCAGATAACGCCTGTTTGTTCAAACTTATGGCTAAGAGCGTCGGCATGAAATATGGCATCATGCCTTCTTTCATGGCTAAACCATGGGGTGATGTGAGTGTCAATATATTCGAAACCGGAAAATGACTGATATAAGCTACCTGGTTGCTCAGGGTGCGTCATAATCTCCTCCATCCCCTACCTGTCAGCGTACCGCTCGTAGCAGGCCAATTGTCATACCTGTCGCTGTCGCTTTTAGGCGACATGGATTAAGCCTGGGTCGGTGTACTGACGCTCAGACATATACACGTCTCACTTCGAGATGATACTGGTCGCAATGTGTTCTCAGTGAGCGAAGAGGAGTACAAAGCGGGAGGCAGAAAAGATGCCATGTTTAAAGACACTCGCCTTCTGTCTCAAGAAGGGGAGTGGTTTTTAGCTGGTTTGCTAGCCGGTCTTGCGGATGGTGAGCATTTCGCATACTTAGTCTGCTCCATTGTGGGTCGCAGCTTCTAAAGCGGGTTCATAGTGTTCAAAGAATGACAAAGCGTACCCATGCGAAATTAGGCGGGAGAAGAGTCAAGCAATAAAAGAAACATTTCTGACTGACCCACAGTCATCCCCCTATTATGTCCGACGATAAACTCTTACAAACGTTTGCTGGGTGGAGAGGTAAGCTCACTGCTGGCAAAGGACCGAGCTGACTAGTCAGGCTATGTGGGCTCCGGACACTGCTTCGTACGGATACGAATCTCGTGCAGCGTCGATCCGATTGATTGGACCACCTGGGAACTCTAGCTCCGCTACGAGATTTGAAGTTCGTGTGCCCGGAGCGGATGTGAGATGCCTTGCTTCCTCTTCAGATTCCATGTCCTTCACATTCTTGACCGGGCAACTCTGAGATTGATCCCTTCATGTATGGGATGACTGTCCTCCGAGGCGATCTACCATCCTCGATCTCTGAAAGCATGCTCAAGTCAATGATCGACATACTGTATGTGGTAGATATCATAGACAACAAGCTGAATACCAGATGAACCCTTACTTCGCTCTCTCGGCAATCTTCGCCCTTGGTCTTCGGGGTATACGCAAGCGTCTTCCTTTACCATATGGTCCTATCGGCTCGCCAGGGGTGACAAGAGATACATTGGTCAAACTTCCTAGTTCCCTCGAAAGCGCTACTCAGGCTTTTAAAGCTGAAAGTAGTGTGGCGAGGGAGATCTTAGGAGATGAGTTTGTGGATCATTTTGCGGGAACGAGGGAACATGAAGTGGAAGTTTATAGGAGGGCGGTGACTACGTGGGAGGGTGAGTCAGATGTCTTTCTTTTCTCTCCGATTGTACCCCAGACCCTCGGGAAAGAAGGGGCCTCATCGCGAAGAGTGATCCATGAAGTGGGTTACAGCATGAGCGAGTCGATGGACTATGGGCGGCGGCGAAGGATTGATCGAATGTCGAAGGGTGACCGTGCTGATAGACAGTGGAACGGTATTTGGAGCTGGTTTGAGATTGAGTCCTACATCAACGTATATATCACGTCCGAGGACTGACAAAGCATTGACATTGTCTTTTCGTCAAGTGCATAAAATGACTGACGCTCAATCTAATCCTGCAGAGTAAAAGTGAGAGAACTGACCAGTGATCTATGACTTGATTTGGCCCTCGCTCATCTGATCTTGACTCAAATACGTTACTCGCTCGCGACCGATAGTAAAACAAGAATAACATAATCGAATACTTTCATTCCATCCTATTCGACTTTTCTATCTCGCTGATCTCTAAGATACCTGTACTGGCTGGTTTACGAAGATTACATCTCTTGAATTCTTCATTTCACCTCCACGACCAATTTCTTTGCACTAATCTCTTTCCTCCAAATCCTATTCAAACCGTCTTGTATCCCACTCAATCCTCCAGGAATAACCTCGACATCGGGTTTAACCTTGAACTGTCCTATCTCCAAAGCTTTAGGTAAAAAATCCCAAAAGATCTTTTTACTCGTTTCCGTTTCCACACATAAATCTCCCATAAACTTGTCCCCATCCTCTTTCGAAGGCATTTCTTTGATTTGGAAATTGCCCATAGCGACAAATTTCTTACCTATACAATCGGATTTCTTGAATACTTTCACACAGATTTCAGCACCACCTTCACCTAAAGTCAAAGCTCCAACAACTTGTTTACCATTCAACAACTCCACTAATTTTTCTTCGATAAGAGGATCATTATAATCCAAAACTTGTTTCGCTCCTAATTCTTTACAATAATCAAAGTTTTTAGGAGAACAAGTTGTTATTATGGTATAACCTGATGATCTAGCAAGTTGAATAGCACAAGAACCTACGCTCGTACTACCACCCCAAATGATTAGATATTTATTGTTTTCGGGTAATGGTGGAATTGTCGGATAATCAAGATGAAGAAGATGAGGTTCGAATAAACCTGTACTTGCTGTTGCTAGATTTAATGGTAAAGAACAACCTTGAATATAAGGGATTGAAGGTGGTAATGGAGATGTTACTTGAACTAAAAGTCGAGTATAACGTTGGAAAGAAGCTTCGGTGTTGGATAAACGTTTGGGCATTATACCTCCTGGTCCACCGATGACTCGATCACCAATTTTGAATGGACTGTAAAAGTTAGTTGATTTGTTCACTTTATCATTCCTAACATCATTCGCTCAATCCATCAAGAATTAACATTCTTAATATTGAACATGTTGATCAAGTCGTTTGATTAAACACGGATAAGTACCCACTCTAACATCCAATTTTAACGACTTATTCTCCATTACCCGAGTAGGGTCGAAATAAGAAATTCGAGACAGGAAGGGAGATATGACGGATGTGAAAGGGAGGAAATTGAGATACATTCAAGACTGATAAACCGGGACGTAACATTATTACACCGACCAGAAGAGGGAAAGAAAGTCAAAGAAGAAGCAGAAGGAAAAGAAGGAAACTTGACTCACCAACCCCATTCTCCTTCAGGTCCAACTTGAACAACTTCACCAGCAGCATCACATCCTAAAATTCTAGGATATTTCAACCAAGGGAATAAATCTAATTTTTGTATTCCGGAATCTACTGGCGCTAATGCTGTAGCATGAACACGTATGACTATCTCTCCTTTATTCGCTTTTGGCATTTCGGTAGGTCCTATGATGAGAGATTCGGATTTAGGTTCGGTTAGAAAAGCTGCGATGTTGGGTTCGGACATTTCTAAACATTAGTTTAGAGATATATACTATCATCCAGTATTGAAGTTGTCAGAACAGTTTATTGATACTCTGTACTGATGTGGAGAGTATTCTGACGGGTGTGGGTCAAGTAGGAGGAGTTTATCTTCCAAATGTGGGTTCTGTGACAGGAACTTGTCTTGTGTGAGACTGTCAGGTGAATAGGTGAGATGGTTGACATGAGGAAGGATATTGGCGAGGGAGGGAAGGGAAGGATGGAATGTGATGAGGGTTTGTTAGATATCGTAAAGTAGGAGACAGGGGATCGAAAGGGGACATGATGAGACCGAAAGGGTACATCATCCAAAGTGAAGGAGACGATGATTCGTGTATGTGTATGACACAGTATCCGAGAGAGATGGAGTATGTGATAAAAAGGAGAGAAACGGACAAAAACGAGTAAAACCAGGACATAAACTCACCTTTTGTTTGTTTTCTTATGATCTATTGACTAGTAGTCACTTCCTTCGGTGTAATTCGATTCATCCCAACTTTCCACCCCCGTTCACATCATATATATATCCACAGTCAGACAATAAGTATGACCGAGGCGGACCCGACCTCCGTTTGACCTCGGTGTGAAAAGTGCCACAATGCCACAAACACTTTTCGTACCCCGCCCTAAACTCAGTTGTCAGGTTCACTAACCCCACACCGGTTAATTAGTTTAACCGTCGGTACCCTCGCAACCAACTCAACCCTTAACCAATGTACAGTATCCCTCTTTCTTGCCTATTTTTCTCTTCTCAGAGTGTTGGTTCAGACACGGAAGAAGTATAGATATAGATAAGTTATAGATCAGAATCTTGATCAAAAAGATCGCCAAAAGTGGAGAAATCACAAAGGAAGCTTCACCAAGCCGGGACCCCGGGAGGATTTACACCGACCAACCCAACTTGCATCTTTTGACATTCCTGTACATCCATACCTTCTATCTCTTGTTCAGTCAAACGGGAAGGTCGAACAGAAACTTCGACTTTGATAGTGTGAGGAATATAGTACTATACAAGATATTACAATCAACGATTTAGTCTGTAAAAAGGTCCAAAAGGAAAACAAAACAAAACACAAAACACACAATGTCAGGTTTACTCAACGCTTATTCGAGTTTACTTAGGAGAAGACCTTTGATGGGTAATATACTTACTTCCGCTGTGAGTTCTACACGTTTTATATGAGAAAGACTGATGAAAAAGGCTTTGTTCGCTACTGGGGATGGTGAGTTGATCTCTCTCACTTCGTTCATCACTCGTGGGGAGTAAAAGGACGTTTGAATCATGAAGGTGCCAGGAGTGAAGAGTGGTGAAAGTCGCTTCATGGAGGAGCTTAAGGGTAAAGTGTGAGATAGGAAGGGATGTGGGCATGGAATGAAGGAGAGAAGATTGACATCTTCGAGGACACGGGAAGAAATAAGAGCTGATCAAAAGTTATCGCTCAGCAAATTATCGAGAAGAAAGGTGATAAACATGATTTCGCTCGAACTGGGTGAGTTTTCGTCTTTTCTTCATCACCTCTCATCTCTTCTCATCTGCCCCTCTCTCGTGTCGCCACAATTTTTGAAGAGTTACCTCACCGATGTTATGAGAGTCGGAGTGAAGGGTATAGAGCGGTTTCAGTCGATATGACGAGGTGTTCGCAGGATATTCGTCAAATGACCACACTCAAATTATTGCCAGATTCGTTAGAGTCGACATCTAAGGATGTTGATTCTTCCAAAGTTCGTCTGAATGGAATTATGTTCAAATGATAACTCCAAACCCTAAGAATGGCAATAAAGGGAACGATACTTACCACCCAGACGGATCGTCATTTGGGGAGGAGCATTCTTCGCTCCTGCCGTAACCATCTGGTTTCGGGTTTTAGAAAAAGTTCCTATAAAATCAAAATTACCTGCAGCTATGACAAAAGCATGCTTGGATCAATTTATAGCAGCTCCGACGGTTTTGTCCAGTGAGTAGATTTCTCATGGATCTTGCGTATCTCTTGTCCTTTGACGTTCACCATCACGTGTACCCTTCTCCTTGACTTCTCCCTCCTCTTTAAAAACACACATATCTTTAGTCCATCCCATCATCTCCAAGACCCTTCATCCCTCTCAATCCTACTTTGATTTCAACATGGATGACCTGGGTAGTCTGTCCCAACTCACCACCGCTCCACATCTCAATTGCACCCCTCCAGCGAATAGTTCACTCATGTTCCCAATGCTTTTCCAATCAAGTGTAAACGTGCTAGAACGAGGAGAAGTATCGAGTTTAGACTAATTCGTAGCGTTCTTCTGCGTCATGACACTCATGGAGGGTAAAAGCCTTGACGACGCAAAGAAGAAATGGCAAGATGTGAGTTGTTTTTGTTGTTGTTTACTTTCCATCCCTACCTACAACCCCATTCGCATGTCCCAGTGATCGATCCATGACCTTGACCGTTGTTACTGGTGTAGACATGTTGCGACACACAACTGATATCCAGTCTTTCGTACCTACTCTCAAAACCAATTGGATGGTCTGGATACCTGTTCAATTCACCAACATGGTATGTTATCTTCTTACCTACTCAGCTTCACTCGCTAATACTTCTTCCATCCATCTGAACTGAACAGCTTGTAAGTCATGTCTTTTCAGCTCCACAGCCACTCCTTCTACACCTCATTCTCATTTGTCTAACACCCCTGTCTTAACTTCCTTCTTCGACCAGACTTCCTAGATGGCATCTCTCGTTTTCTGGTGGAGATTCCCTCCCACAACACCTCTCATTCTCTACTCTTAATGATAATAAATCCCCATGTCGACTTTTATCCTACGATGAAAAAGAGAAACCAGCCTCTTCTTTCATCATCCACCGCGAACTCTTACCCAACCTTACACACCCCCACCCCATAATTCGCATCAGCTAACCATAAGCTCGTCCCACCCCCACTTAGACTCCTCTTCGTAAATTGCGTCAACGTACCATGGAACACTTTCCTCTCTTTACAAGCATCGAAAGGTCAACCGGTTTTGAAAGAAAAAGGACATGTTTCCGAAATATCTTTTGGTAGTTGAAAACAGGTTGTCAAATTTGAGAACTTGGAACAAAAAATTGAAATGGTTTGGTTCATGCTTGTTTGGTATCTAAAAACACAGAAAGAACATAGGAAAGTGGATGTAAAACTTTGTCCATTCCTAGTTTTTCAAAGAAAGTGAAATTTCTGATGTAATTGATATACTTTACTTATCAAATCTTCTGATTGTTAGTACTGTTTTCTTACATCCTTTTATATACCTATAGGTACCTTGCACTTAAGATAAGGACTGGAACGACGCAGGACCAATTTTGCTGGGAAAGCGCTCCGGTTTTTTCTGAGTAGTTCGGTAGAACATTGTATTTTCCCAATGTCAGTGTCAGTGGAAGCGGGGAGATTCCGAGTTGAAACCAAATTCATTAGTGCTCGTACTTTTCTATTCGTTACTCAACGTAGACGATACAGAAAGAAGACAGCTAATACCTTGTGACTCTCGAATAAGTTCTTTGAAAGGAGATAGTAGAGTGATTTTTTGTTTGGGAAACATCTTGCAAAGAGTCATGAGGATGATACATGTATAATACATTTTCAATGCTTTTGCAAAACGTGCCAAAACATGTAACTACCTTCTTCTTCCCTCCTTACCTCCCACCCCCGAGGCATGCCCTAAGTCAATCACCCCCTTGTATACCTTACATGGAATCTTTCATTCACTTTCCTTTCCCAAAGTCGACTGTACTTGAAAGTGTTCATTCTATTCTCAACATGGACCGCACCGATGAATTTCCTGAGCCTTTTCCTGTATGCATCATCACTTCTTGCTTCCCCGCTCCCCTCCACTCTCCCCTCTTCCTCATCTCGGATGGATAGAATCTCATCGAATAATTACAGGCGCCCTACGACATTCACCCAAGTTATAATGGAAAACAAGGTGGGAACAAGCCAATACATCATTATTCCTCCTCTTTCCCAGACCCCATTTCTTCATCGAAAATCGGTGCGAAACTTGATCTTCCTTCCATCCCACCAGCAACTGAAGTACTAGCATGGTTCGAAGGTCCCGCATGATTAGATGGTCCAGCATGATTCGATGGTCCAGCGTTATTAAGAGGTGGTAACGAACCTGGTAAACCGGGCATGTAAGGTTCGAAATTCAAGTTTCCAGGTATAGGACCTCCGAATCCCATTGTCCAATCTGTACTTCCATGTCCTAACCTAGCACTTCTTCTAACGGCTGATCTGATGATTTTACCTCTTGGTCTTGAATCATCTGATTGTTCGGTAGCGCTCGAATGATCAAATACAGGTTGAGGATGTTGTGTCATGTTGGAAGGTGAATGAGGATATTGTCCATGTCCATTTCCATTTCCTTCATTTGTGATTATATTCGAATTTGAAAAAGGTGAATTCAAATGATGTGGGGTCGAAATTGGGTTCAAATGTTGAGAACTGGAAGGAATAATCTTTGAGGCTTCTTTATCAATTTCCATATCGTCACCTTGATAAGTATGCGGTTCTCTTGGGTTATCTCTTTCCCAAGGTGGTCTTTTCAAAGTATCTAATGAATCATCATCAACACCTGAAGGATCGGAAGGTGCACCGAAATCGAAAACGTCGAAAACTGTCGATCCACCTCTGTTCGATGCTGCAACCAATAAAGAACCGTTGAAAGCTACTTGCCAAACGGATGAAATCCCAATGACTAGATCACGAACGTAATGACCTGATTGAATGTCCCATAATTTGAGGGTACCATCGGATCCGGAAACTACTTTCGTTTCGTCATGTTGAAAACAAGTGATGGCTCCTCCGTGGGAAGCGAGGACGTGTTTGAGTTCATGAGTGTTGGCATCCCATATACGGAGAGAAGCATCGGCTGCTGCTGATACTAGGAAATTGGGTGAAGCACCTAAAAGACCGACTAAGGAAGTGTGACCGGTGAGAGTGTGGAGACATTCGCCGGTGAGGACATCCCATACTTTGACGGTGTTGTCCATGGAACCTGAAGCACATCGGTTACGGTGACGGTCGTAGACGATGGAGTAGACTGGGGGTTAGTATTTGCAGAGATGGCACCAGTAATTGTAGGAGGTATGAGCAATCAAGTGGTAGGACATGGTCGGAGAACACAGATCAACGGGTGTACTCATGACCGCATGATGAGAACACAACATAGAGCCAGGCCAGAAGGGAAGATAGAGAGTGGTAGGGGGAGAGGGACGATGAGGAGCACGAATACCGGACGGACTGTTGCAGAGAAGAACGAGAGATGTAATGGCAAGCAGGAGGGGAGGAAGGGGAAAGGCCCAGGGGATGATCAAAAGACAAACTCACCTTTCTGTTCATGTCCCTTCAAAACATGTATACAAGTCCCTTTTACTATATCCCACACTCTGACATCTTTATCATAAGACCCCGAAACGCAGATCCTACCATGAGCAGCCAAAGCTCTAACGGCAGAAGTATGTCCGTCGAGACAATGAAGATGAAAAGGGTTTTCTTCAGGTGGTATGGAACTTGGATCGGCAGTATCGTTTTCTGCGGATACCTGATGATGAGTCTCTGAAACCCCCCATTTTGTCTTGACTCTCCCTCCAAGAAAAGCAGAAGAGGCTTTTTGGACCGAATGCAAATCTGAGCGCAAAGTATCATCAAGAGATATTTGGGATAACACGTGTTGATGAAAGAAAGGAAGATTGATTTGGACAGATTGTGTGGGATATTTCTCGTTTATGTAGACTGGGATAATGTCATAGACAATAAGAAATTCAGTATTGACAGGAGATTCTTCCAACATGGAGGTGATAAAGAAAGAGTCAAGGATTGAGATATCATAGTATACAGAAAAGGAAAAGAAGGAAAGGTAGAGATGGGAAAGAGTTATACGAAGATTTCACTCACCGGTCTAACATAAGAAGGTTCACCTTTTTTAGGTAATTTCCAAACTCTCAAAGTAGAATCCCTCGAACCAGTGACGATCATAGGATAAGGTGGTTGATATTCTCCAGAAGTAGGTTCAAAAACAGGTTCAACGATTTGTAAACATCTCACTGTACTTGTATGACCATGAAAAACATGAGACTCTTGTAAAGATTCTAAATCCCAAACCCTGACCGTTCTATCCGTACTACCACTTACCAAAGTATCATTTTTATATTCTAATGCCCAAACACCACCTTCATGTCCATCTAAACGTTTTCTTAATTGTCCAGTTGAAGTATCATAAATATTTATCGAATGATCATCTGAAGCACTGACAATTTTATCTCTATCAAATTGTAAACAAGTTACAACGTTCGTACCGTGACCAGCAAAAGAACTATGTTCAGGTCTTGCGGTCAACCAATTTTTATGACTTGTATATCTTCTTCTATAAACATGTTTTAAAGGAACTGAACGTTGAGGTTGTTGATGATTTATCGGTAAAGATATTTCATCTTCACTTGGAGTACCAGCTTTACCATTTCTTGATAATTCGATTTTATAATCTAATGCTTCATATCGACGTTGAACAGAAGCTTCATCTTCTTCTTCCACTCCTAGACCATACCAAAGACCATCATCTATAAGTCTTTGACGCCAAACTATACGTTCTGTGTCGATCATTTGTTGCCAACTTTTACTGACTCTGACGGCTGAAGCGAGAGAACGAGTGTCTACTTTTTTCAGAATTTGCACGGCTACTTCATGAGGTAAATGTGTTATGAAGTCTCTTTTGAGAGCGACGGAAGCGAATGCTGAAAGACGTTGAATGGTAGGCATACGAGAACGTCGGAAAAGATGCATGAGAACGTGTTGTTGAAGTTTATCAGGAAGAGAATCGAAATGCGCAATGACGGCAGGGAGAGAAAACAGAGCTGACATTTCTAGACCTGTTCCGATGGTGGGAGTCATACCACTAGGACTGTGATTCGAAGCTGATGGACCTGTTTCATGATCTGGAGAAGGAAGTGGGGATAATAAAGCATTGTCTCGGTTTTTAGGAATGGAAAGATCTTCTAATCCTCGGATTTTCTTTCGAGGGGGACTGTGTCGTTGACGAGAACTGGTTTCTGTGGTGACAGGTGTAGGAACGGACATGGATATCTCAGTGACACTATTCCGACTACCAGGTCGACTTTCGTGTGGTCGTTTACGTTCTTTCCCTTTCGCACGAGCTAAAGCTTGAGTGAGGTTTACACGTTCCGCTTGATCAGTCGAGGCACCCACAGCTCTCACCCATCCCGGACCTTGACCACCTCCTATGTGGGTGGAAGAGGGAGGAAGGCCTTCTTCAGAAAGTACGACACGTTTGCCACCGAGATTGAGAGCGAAATATCTCAGATCGTCCGGAGTGGGTTCTTCAGCCAGAGGATACATTTCTTTGTCGAGTCGACTAGGAAGGCCAATTTTCTCTGGAGAGGGAATATGTGGGAGAGGTATTGGAGCATAAGTGGTGGTGGTTCGACTGACATGGGTGACTCTGATCATATCAGCTAGACTCGATGGAGACTGGAGTGACAAAACGATGACTTACACTGTTTCGACAATACCATTTTCCATCTGTAACACCGGTCCACTAGGAGTCCACATCATTCCTGATCCAGTGGAAATACCAGAGTTAAGGGGCATGGCCATTCCACCGCCTTTGGTAGGAGTGTCGGGAAAGTCGTATGATTCGCGTTGGGCGGACATTATGGAAGTAGAGATTGGTTTGATACTAGAGTAGACGATATGATGGGTTATCAGTGATGTGATGTGATGTGTTGTGAAGCGATAGGATGACTTGGTCGTTGGATGTGAGGATGATCAAAGTCGCAGCTGTACGACAGGCGGAATAATAAAAGTACGAGGTGTAGGTCTTGTATGCCTTATGATCTGGAAACCACCCCGACTTGGGAATGTGATTAATGTGAAAAGCAAAGAGTGAAATAAAATATCGTGGTGGTTAATATGTACCGTTTTGGATTTCGTAAATCGTTCGATCGTTCTAATAGAGAGAGACGAACAAATCTTCCGTCCCGTATATCACGAAATGGAAGTTGTTGGATAAGTCGGATATCCTTTCCAAACCAATTCAGAGGTCGGACCGTACACGTCGCGTGGATTTATGAGACGAATCTGAAAATTTGACGCAAAGACGGTATGTTGAAACCTTTGATTGCTGTTGATGATGTTTGAACCACCCAAAGTCAAATTCCACAATGTCAATAGTAAAGTGAAAAGAAAGAAGAGACTAATATCAGCGCTTGATCATCTTATAATCCCTCGGCCAGGAAACGACAAAGGATCTTTTTCGGGCGGTGGATGTGGCAAGGAATGTCCAATGGAATGAACGAGAGAAGGATACCGTTGGGATGTTGAGGTATATCTTCGAAGGGGAAAGATACTAAAGATGTAGCCACAAGCCGAAGTGGTTTTCAGAAGGGGGGGGGGAGAGAAGTACAAAGTAAGATCCGTCCGTCCACTTATGTGTAATGAACAAAGAAATCAAGAAAGGGATCGTTGACTTTTGCCTTTGACTTTGAGGGTGGGAGGGGAAGCATGGGTGAGTAAAGGAAAGGTGAGAAAGGGAGAGAGAGGGATGGATGGGAAGGGGGGAAAGGTAGTCATGCGGTGTCTCCGGGGTAGGGAGTGTATAATGTGATATGAGAAGGAGGGAGCATATGGTGAGTTTTTTTTTTTCGCCATAGGGAAGGATGAAGAGGATCAAGTGTGGATCAAGGTATCATGCGATCTCCACAATTTCACAAGGGAAGGAAAGGTATCTTGAATGTATCTAAATACCAAAAACCAAAAGATTCAAATGTCCTCAAGGAAGGGTGAAGTGCGGTTCGACAGCTCAGTCGTCTCAAGGAGTGATGACTGAAAGAGAGTATGATGAGATGATTTTTGAATTCCTCTGTATAGATAGGTCCGATAGGAAAGTGAAGGACCCATTGACCATTGGCCTTTAAGGAGACGCGTGATGGGTGAGATGAGTTTATAAAATAGAGCTCTGACTCACATGGTATTTATGAACCTTTCACTCAATTTGAGAGTTATCCACACGAGTCCACGATAACAAATAAAGAGACGAAAACCGAAAACGTGTCGCGTCACTTCTTCCCTGTACCCTGTGACGTGGGTCTTATGGGGTGAGAAGGTGGAGCAGTGGGATCACTTAATGAGAGTGACGTGGATAAAAGGTATAGAGATGGAGTGAATGATGTAGTGTTCAGAAGGAAGATGTGGAGGTTGACTCGTATCAGAGTAGAGTAGACTGAGTAGTAGTTGTGGTTCAAGTGGTTGCGATGTATGGTGCGAAAGATGTTAAAAAGACACGAGGATCCGAGGACATTCGTTCTTTCCTCTTTTACTTCCACTTGCCACGTGGATCCATACATCTGGTCATACTCCATCTCTAGGTCCTATAGGCCTAACTTATACCTAACTCGACTCATTTGATTTGATACTTTTCTCTAGGTCTATGTGTTTATGACTATCGCTGTGTTTGAGACTACCTGGAAAGATCTGGAAACAAGCTGAATTACCGAGGAGCGTGAGGGGCAGGAGAGCAGGAGAGCAGGAGGATAGGCAGGTGATGCCGTGGTGGAACTTCCGATCCGGCCACCATAACCCAGCACCCCCGATCCATCAGAACATTCATCATCTATCAAAATCATAACATGGACTGAGAAGGAGAAAAAAAACTACAAGATCCCAAGACTAGAGATATTTTCCCCCGGAAGAACGATACCCATCTACAGCTTTTCTCATTTGTTCCAATGTCAGGAAGATTAAGATCGTCCTACCATCAGCAAATCCTCAACCACGAACCGACATTACTTTACATCGTCGCTGCATTCTGCGTCTCTGGGAATATATGTGTAGAGATGACTAGGAAAGAGATATACGACAAACTCACGTGGGTTGTAATCTCGTCCACGCTGGTACCCAACCTTTGAACACAAACATCGGACCTTCCTTGGCCAACCTGTCTTCAGTCGGTTTCAAAGGTTACGAAGCGACGTTGATCATCTCAAACCACTACTCGTATCATACCAAATTCGATCATCAAGACTCGCCAATCGCCCACGAGATGACCGATCACATCGACATCTTCCACGGCCACCGACTCACGTCAGATTTGCAACTCATCGAACGGTGATCAGACACGATTTCATTGGGGATCACATGGTAAGGAGAAGGGAGGATATGACTGAGAGAGAAAAGTATGTGAGAAGGAAAAGAAAGCAGGACACGACTAGGGCACGTGAGGAAAGTCGAAGAACAACCCACGAAGTTCTGATTACCTCCATCATACTCGTTGTCCCAGCTCCATGAGCATTCATGATCCTCGACTTTAGTACGTCCACCGGTGAACATACCGCTTTACGTCAACGACTGAACTGAAGATCGATAACATTGACTCACTGGTCGCTACCGTGCCAGCTCCCAGGGAAGCGAAGAAATGCAAGAATGGTCCTTCAGGAAGAATCCCTCGATGAGACAGTTCACGTTTGAAGTAGTCGTATCTGTCATCAGCCCTGTAATCTTGTGGATCATAATAAAGAGGAACCGATAGATCAATGCAACGAGAACTGGGCGGATGCGCCGAGGAAAAACCGACATTCCACATACTGACAACCTCACACGGGGTTACACAAGGGGGATCATGATGGGAGTATAATGTGTGATGGGTGACAAGACGGCATCTCATCGGTGGATCGATCACGAGGGAAGATAGGAATATCATGAGAAAGTGATGTACATGGAAAAGGAGGACATACGAAGCCAACTGAGACATATTTGTGAAGATCGATCGATATACATTCGGTACCATCCCTCTGGTCCAGGAAACCAACCCTTCATCTCGCGTCATCCGATAAATGCCTTGGATTGAGTTCCGATAATTGTATCGGTCTGATCGTCACCATCACCCCCACTTCCACTTGAAACACGTCTCAAAAACCATGCTTCATGGCTAGAATTCTCAAGGATCAACTCACCAGAGACGGGCTTCGCTTTGTCCGCTTGCATACGAACCATTATCAATTCTGCGGGATTACCCACGATCCCAGCGAGGGTACCAGCTATACAGCCCGCCAAGGCCATTTTGTATCCTGGTGGAGGACCGGGTCCTAGGATTAGCGCCCAGCTTGTTAAATCACTAGACATATTGAGGTCTTTGAGAGATCCAACCATCTAGGCCTAAGGGTTGACGACTTCTTCGAGATCTACTGATGGCTACCTTGAGGGCGCAATGTTAAGCAGTGGTCGCGAAAGGGTGTCGATCAGGTTCAAGGTCTGGGTGCTTCTGGTTTTCTTACTTGAAGACCAGAGATGGAAAGGAGAATAAAATGGTAAGTGAAGCTCGAACTCACCCTTGTGAACTACCCCCTTGGCCCAATCATAAGCAGCAAATCTTGTCATACTATATGTCATCTGACGTAGCAGGGTCCCAGTGAGACCATCGTATAATCCTCGTATGCCTGTGTGTAAGCGAAGAAGACGTAGTTTACGATAGCGGTTGACAACTGAATGTGCTCTACTACCATCAAGCTGACACCCTACCGTCACACAACAAGACCCAGGACGAGGTCCAAGGAGAAGAATAGCAGAATAGCGAGATCTATACTTCGTAAAACGCGCATGGTACGAGAAATAGAAAGGGTGAGATCAAGGTGAGTGGAATTAAGCGTATGATCCTCGTTTTATCACTCACCAGCAGTCGAAATGGTCTTCCTCATGGAACTGATCATCCCTTTATCACCAGCAGCTTGTAATCGAACTTTTGTGAGATCAAGCGGATGTGTACAAGAAGCGGCGAAAGAAGCCGCTACACCTATTTGTGAGTGATTTCTATTCCTTGTGTTCCATACTCGCCCGTCTCCCTTCACACCTATACACTCATCCCCGAGCTGATCTACTCCTATATCTGTCCTCAACAGTCATTAGTCGTCTCCAAGTTTAACAAATGTATCATCGTTCTCCTTCGTTTCTTACTTTGACGTACCACTCGGTCCGAGATGCGGAAGGATGTGGCTAGAAGAAAGTCATAATCAAGCTCACCTCCCAGCCAAAATGGATACCCCTTCTTTCCTTCTTTGACCTTGACAACCTCCACGACCTCCGAAACCACTCCAACTTGAGCCATAGTCGTTCACCCTTCAACAATCACTCTTTCTCGTCTCACCGTCCCTCAAACCCTTGACCCCTGGAGCGGAACTTTGATGCGGGGTCTTTTAGGGCGGCCGCTCAGTCAGAGATGATCTGTCCGGTGGAGGTGGATAAAGGAGGAGTGGAGATCGTCACTTGCCAATCCAGGTGTTTGGTCGAAGTATAATAAAGGAGTTACTATGGACGATACTTTCCCTGTCCAAGGGGTATGTGAAGTCAAGGAGAAGATCAACGAAACATGTATGGAATTTGATAATTACTATATGTGGTCAGTAATTGTGCTTGCAGGGAATGTTTCTTTGTTTAGCTACCCGCTTGATGATCCTATTAGCTCTTGGGAATAAGTAAGTGGAATGATGACGTTTCTTGTCCGTTCATGTATGATGGATGATGGATGATGGACGAAGTGATAAAGCCGGAATGAAGCGTGGGTGGAAGTCGACGGCTTTGTTCGGCTTTATTCTTCCGTCGCACATGTCACGCTCTGAAAAATTGCTCTGATTCAGGATTTGGTAGCAAGGTGGGAGAGGACGTGGTGATTGACTCACTGTGAGTGTTTGGTTGAGAGTAAAGTGTCAGTAGTGAGAGGTAAGAAGTGAATGCTAGACTAGGGTGAGTTGTAGAGGAGGTTAGTAACCATAGTCGATGGGTGAGGTCTGTGCGCCAGACGTTTCCCCATCCCCAACGGTTTGACAATGTCTATGTATCTTCCACCCCCACAAGTCTGACTTTTTCTCAGACGCTTACCATATCACCATCTGGATTGGGTAGTCCTATCGAATCTCATACCTCGTCCCTATGTACCCTGGGGACCTGGGAACAATCCAAAACTCCAAAAGCCATTTCTCATGTCCTACCTAGCAAACGGAAAGGAATACCTACCGAACTCCCTGGGACATGTACAGATCCCTTCCCTCCCCCTTGACCATACCATACCCCGGGAAAAGGTGAGAATCCCCCTCGTTCTACCCTTACAAGGTGTAGATAGACAATGGTCAGTATAAGTTTTGACTAGTGAGATCGTGAGATCGTGAGATCGTGCGATCCTGCGACCTGGGTTTACGGCCTCCTGATGTTCCACGTTGCTCCCCTGATTCGTCTCAAGGGAGAATCTGATGTTCGGATCGACCGGTATAAACAAGCCCATTGAAGATCATTCCTTATGTCTTATGTCTTTCTTTCCTACGATGGTTAGGATATTACGATGGACAGCTATAAAAGTATGACCGATGACAAACCCAAATAATCGTTCCTGATCGAGACGAAATTCCATCCTCCCTCGCTCGAATAGCATACTTACAAGTGGTACGATCCATATTTCTTACTCTTTTGACTCTAGTGTTGATACTACTTTTTCTTGAGCTGGACAATGACCATGGAGGAAATAGGTGAAGGAGAAGGTAACCACGGAATGAGTGTTAAGGGAAATACGATGAAAGTTGCCGTCATAGGTTCCGGTCTTGCCGGATTGACCACAGCTTATTTATTACGACAGGAGGGTTATAGGGTTTATTTAATTGAAAAAGTGGGTTTTCTCCTTCACAATCCTCCATACATGGTCGTGGCTTATGATTAGTCTAACAGATTAGGCTTTCATTCGTCATCGGTTAACATTCCCTTCAACAACTGCCGATTTACCTCTGGGCCAAATACCAAGGACGAGACAATTAGGGCTGAGGTAGGAGAAGAGTACCAGAATGACAATAAAGTGCAGGTTGAAGAGAATGACGAGGAAAGGGAAAGTGAGAAATGGATAGTAGACGTTCCTATGAGAAGTTTTCAAGGTGGTGAGTTGGTGACTACCCCTTCCTTTGATGATGGAAAGGAACCCTTTGATCGTTAACACATGTCATCCTTTCCCGGTCCCTGACAAACTTTCCTTCCGAGACCTTCACTAGTCACCGTTTCCTTCGCCTCGTCATCCATGTACAAGCGTGTACTACTCCATCCTCTCATTTATGTCAATTATAAGAAGTGATAGTCAACTTATACATCTTCACCCGTATCTTCCTCCGAGGCAATAAAACGACAAGATGTTCATTCATAAGGGTTCATGGAATTCAGAAGAGAGACAAAAGCTGATACTGTATCTTACCAGGCTACTATCCCCACCTACTAGCTCTTTATCGTCATTTAAACTTACCTCTGATCCCTATAGATTACACCTTCTCATTCTCTCATTTCTTCCCTTCCTCCTCTGTCCCAATTAGAGATACCGAGAAATCGTACGACCCGCAAAACCCTTCTTCCACTCGTCTAAACGACCCAGACTACACCCAAGAAACCCACTTTATACATTCTGGTAATTCCGGAATCTCTCTTCCATCTCTTCCATCGAACTCATATTCCTCCCTATCCTCTTTCTTCCAAAACATCACAAGATGGTTCAAGAACGCAATGTGTTTCATTATCCTTCTTTTCCTTTCTACTCTTTCGGCAAATCATTTTCTTCCCACAACACTTCGAAAGACAACATTACGACAATTCACATTGATAATCTCGAATTATCTGTCAAATCCATTCTTGTTGATCCTTCCACTTCTTACGACTTTCGTATCATGGTTCTTTATTCCTCTACGTTTTTTATCTCCCCGTATCGATCCAATCGTTGAATATCTCAATGATTTATCAGCTCTTCGCGAGTCTCTTGAAATACAATCATCTTGTCCAACTCTCTCCTCGACTCGTTGGATGATTATACCACTTGGGAAATGGTGGGAAACTTTCGTCGACGAATTACTAGCTCCCATGTATTCAGCAGTTGGAACCATGTCCATTCAAGACGTCTACGAAACTCCAGTAGAGTACATATTAGATTATGTATACGCGGGAATAGGTACTTAACATTATACACTTGGATCATGTTCCTCTGCTGATGTAGCGGAGAGATTGGTGAGATGTGTGGAAGAACAGGGAATGGGACATGTTTTGTTAAGTCGGGAAGTTGGAGTGTTTGAGGTTGTGGATGGAAAGATTAGGGTGGGATTAAATTGGTGTAATCGTTCTCTCACCTCAGTTTCATCCGAAGTTGAACACAATGGTCGGGTATCGGGGGAAAGTGTACAATATGATACGGAAAATAAGAAGTTGGAACACTCAGTCAAAGAAGCAAATGGGTCACATCCTATGGACGATCAGACTGGAAGGGGTAAACCGGACGAACAACAACAACATTCATCGGAATGTGATAAGGATGATATCTTCAAAACGTTCTCTGAGAATGGATTGAAGGAAAAACGAAACAAAGCAGGGTTCATAGATGTTGATAAAGTCATCATCGCCACTCAAGCCAGTGCGGCGGGTATCTTATTGGATATGCTTAAGAAAGCTCTAGGAAAGGCTAGGGATAAAGAAGAGTTGAAAAGGGTGAAGGTGATGAAAGAAGGAGTTGAGGAAGTTGAATATAGGGTGAGTTGAGCTTTCACACACCTCCCAATTCCATTATCACTCTGTCCACTTCTCCTACCAGATCCAGTAAACCGTAAATCGCCCCTGTACTGAGGATGTTGAAATTCTTTGTGATCCCAGGATAATAATTCATTGAATTACATAAATCTCGAAGAAAAACTAATTCCAGACCACAATCGTTATAACACATACAGACCACTCCATATTACCTTCTCCGGGAAATAGAAGGGATCTTAATTTTTCCACACCTTTTCCTGTCTCCTCCGTTGATCACCTACATTCCCTTGACTCCATCTCCTCCATCTCGAGAAAACCTACTTTTTCATCATTAGATTCTTCAAATACGACTTCACTTTGTTCTACTCTATCACCTAATGAACAAGTGCAGTCTTCTACCTCTCAACTCACCTCACCAACATCAAGGGGAAATAATACCACTCCTTATTTCACAACGGAAGAAGGGGCTTTGTATACAAGGACAACACATATCATTCGACCACCTTCTCACATTGTTCCTCTTCCGCTTAACCCCTCATCGAACGGGTACCCGACATTCTTGAGAAATATACACTCGTTGTTTTCCATCATCCTCAACACAGGTAAAAGATCCATCTATTCTCCTTTCGCTCGTTGGCGGTCGAGGACGTCTGAAGATGGTAATAAACTCATAATCGACCACTCCATACTTGCTGGACTTGATAACGTACGAACTCCACATGAAATGGTGTCGAGGGAATTGGAGGTGTACCAAACTACCAACCCTATCATCTCCATACTACCCAGTGCGGTATTAGGTGTAGCGAAGTTAGAAAGAGCATTACCAATACGACGAAAAGAAACATTTCAGAAATTCCGTCCTTCTCCTTCTTCTCTTCCTTCTCCTTCTCCCTTTCATCCTTTTACTCTTCCTTCTCCTTCTACTTCTCCCTGTTTCGCTCCACCTCTTTCCTCATGTGACGTAAATGAGTCATATGAACAAAAACCAACATTCACATCCCTAACCAACCCCCACTTCAACTCAACTATAAATATTGATCCATCATTCTCCGACTTTACTTCGAATGACTCGACCGAATTATCCAAACAATCAAATTCGACACCTAAAATCTATTTAGCTGGATCTTACACTTATCCCGGTATACCATTATTAGAAGGATGTGTAGCTAGTGCTAGGTTGGTTTTGGAAGATCTTACTGGTTCAACTGGTTCAGCTGGGGTCAGGGGAGGAGTGAAATGGGGAGTTGTGTTGAAGTCTTGAACAAACTGTACAGGTACTCTACTCGTAACGTTGCGATACGTATCATTTTCAAGTTGATTTATTGCGATGGTAGGGAATAGAAATAAGATGCATATATATACCTTCTTCAACTACTATAATAGAAAAAGATAAAATTCATATGATTGCGAGTATCATCTGGTGACTAACTGTTATACTCAATTTGAAACTTTACTCTCACTCGTTCCATCTAAAAGATGATATGAGGATTTGAAATTTTGAGATTTTGAGAATTTGAGGAATTGTATTGATCTACGGCTTCTACGAAACGATTTCCCAACTTAATTGTTTCCCAGCCCAAAAAGGGATCACCTCAACATTCTCCCCTCTGATCATACTGGGTACTTTAAATTCACTTCTTTTCAATTTCACCTCATTGTGATTCCCATTTAAACTTTTTTCTTCGTTAATAGGAACCTCATAAAACTTCCTTCCGTTCAAACTTACGAATTTTTCCAATTGATCCAAAGCTCCGAAACTTTCTAAAAGTGTAGCTACGACAGGTATGAGATATTTACTTGTGTAAACTCCCGCTGCGCATGATGGATGTTCCCTTCTTTCTTCTTCTTCTTCTTCTTTAAACCCATCATGCTCCCCATGTCCTTGATGATTCTCTTCACGTACAACTCGGATATCTTTCTTCTCGATATTTTTTTCATTCCGAACAGATTTGTGACGCGATGAAGTAGTAGGAATAATCGATGAAACTTCCATATTCGATGAAACATCTAGTGTGGTGTTCAATCGAGAAGCGAAAGCCAAAGCGGGTATTTTAGCTAATAAAGGATGTGGAGCAGAATCACTTCCTAAGAAAAATTTCTCATTTCCACTTTTAACAACATCCCTCAAAGCTTTTCTATCCACAGGTTCTTTTGCTATAGGTTTACAAAAATGGAATGGTTGAGGTGCTACATCATCTATCGTTAAAAATAAATGATGTGCTGTTATACTACATCCGATCGTTGAAGGAAGTGATAAAACTGTAGAAACAGCTTCGGATGTTGTGGCGTGTTCTAAGACTATACGAAGGGAAGGGAAATCTTGAGAAAGTTTGATTAGGTGAGAAAGGAAATGTTTTTCAGAATTGAGCGTTGAGATGTTCTATAGGTTAGGTTATGTACATAGACATTATATTGTTAGAATGATTGAAAGGTGAAAGGCGCTTGTGACGCAAAGGGGAGTTGTGGGTAGAGTGTTAAATTGTGGGTAGAGTGTTGAATTGTGGGTAGAGTGGTAAGTCGTGGGTAGAGTGTTCTAAGGTGGGAGAAATTGTCAGTTGGATATGTCGGGGAGGAAGATCGAGGGTAACAGTTGAGATAGGAATTTATAAAAGTGATATGAGGGAGGTTCGTTCAATTCAAATCGTTAGAAATTTGAAAAAGATCCTCGAGATGATAGGTCTGAAATTTTCCATATTGTTTACGTTGGATAGGAAAGAATCAAGTCTTAGATGAAGCGGTAGGAGGGACAGAGGACAAGGTATGAAGAATGTGAGAGAAGAAAAAGAGGTAGTATGATAAATGGTGGATAGATAGACAGACGGATAAACTGAGCAGAAAACAAAACAACAACTCACCTTTTCAGGATCACTAGGTACTTCTCCATGTAAATTCAAAACCATATTCTCTTCTTCCATGACTTTGAAAACAGGATAATAAACGTCATAACTTTCAATACCAGAACCGGAATTTGTGGTCACTCCTTTAGGGTAAGATTTTACGCCTGAAATATCAACGACATTCCATCCCAATCTCTCTGTCATAGTCATGAAACAAGATCATGTCAATTGGACAGAAGATGAACGGTAGTACAATATCAAAAGATATTTCATTCAATCCAGTCGGATTCAAATACGAGGATCTGGGATGTTCATAGGATTATGAAAGCAGAGTGGGGAGAAGTCGTTTCAAGCGAGATCTTTTGAACTCACCTTTTATACCAGCTTTAGAAGCTTTTCTTATCTCTTCAGGTGTGACATCAGGATGTAAATAAAGGGTCATGAGCCATTCCACCTCTGGTGCTAATTTCTCAAGTTGTTCTCGGTAGTTTAAAGCGGCTTGAGTTGTAGTTATGGGTGGTATGGTGTTTGGCTTATATCAGCCTCGTTTTCTTTTTCTCTTTCCATAGTCTTCATCGCTTCGGCCTCAATGATCTCTCCAAACTCTTACACGCATAAAGACGTACTGTGTGAGCAAAAAAAAGAGACACGATATTTTTGCGGTTGATGCATGAAATGTAGGTACAGTACGGACAAAGACTGAACTGACCATGACATAGGCCGTACGTATACCACCGGCATAGACGTGAGGAACTACCAATTCCATCATTTCACCTTGACGGACGTGGACGTGGAAGCTGAGTTTTTCAGCAGTGCTCTAATTACTAGGTGTGGAAGGCTCACTCTGCCGGCGCTTGGATATATATCTCATCTTGGACCATTTCGCTTGTCTCACTATCAACAAGGAAGTGATTTAGTGGCTTGAGTGACTATCAAGATAAACCCCCCTGCTCCAGCAAAAGTTGGAATATCGGCGATCGCCGCTCAGCTGTCGAAACTGTTCGTCTTTCCTGTTTTCAACCACTTCACCCATCATCCACCCACCTACCCACCCAAACCATGTTCTACACCCACTTACGTCCCTCCCTCTCCCTCCCAGGTCCATCTGACCTGACCCGTCATGTGGTAAAAACAATCAGTACCACTCCTATCCTCTACGCATCCCGAGAACGACGTCTTTTAGCAAAGAGGAAAAAACAGAAAAACCTTTCTCTTCGCGCATCTTCGGTGGAGAAAACAACCATAAACCCTGTTCTAGGTCTTGTTATACCTACTGATCAATCCGGTTCTCCTCTTCCTAGACCTGATCCTTTTCCGAATTCTCGTTTGGGTAAACTTTTGTTATCGCCTGAACAAGTATGGAACTCACCTTCTATCCCTCTTCCTTTTGCGACTTCGTCTGATTTGTCTGATCCCTCTATCACTTCCACGCCTTCTACTTCATCCATCGTTCCCACCTCTCCTGAGGCTACGGAAGACGAGACTACAACGACGACGCAAACCACAACAACTCCAGCGCAATCAACGACCACTACGATACATGATCAACGACCCAATCTCGTCTTACCTGGCATCGGAAAAGAAGATCTCGACATATTATTCGGTGCTTTACCACGAGTCACAGCCGAGCTACTAGCTAGGAAAGGGGATGAAGACCCCGAAGAAATCGTAAGAAATCAAGAGATGAACGTCGGGATGATCAGTAGAGTATTAGATCTGAGAAATGCGAGTAAGAGAGGGATCGAAGTTGTTAATAGACAAAGGATAGTGGATGATTTTGGGAAAGATGGTGGATGTGGGGGGTCAAGAGTTCAAGGTGAGTTTTCTTTTCTTGTTTTCAACTTAAACCAATGATCTTCTCCTATGCCTGGAAAACTTTGTCGTGACATCCATATTTATCTTGACACATCGCTTGATGACTGAACCACCCCTGGAGAAATATTCCCATCTCCCTGTATCCATTTCGTGATCCTCAATATCCTACAAAGTGATATCCTTATGAACCGATATCTATCCCCTTTTCAGTATGGATGAGTAGAAAAGAAAGTAACCGTGTCCTAACCTTCAGCCGCTCTGTTGACCCATCAAATCAGAGTTTTATCAAATCATCTATCCACAAACCCAAGGGATAAAAGTAATCGTCGTTCATTAAGATCTTTAGTACATAAACGTCAACAAGTGTTGAAATATTTCAAACGTCGGGATCCTGATGAATATCCTTTGTTGTTGAATGATTTAGGTTTAGAAGAGAAAGCTGTTGAAGGGGAATTGATCGTGAGGTGAGAAAGTGAAACTTGGTCAGTTCTCTTATCCTTCTCCGACCTTTTTTCTATCCATTGCCCAGGATTTCCAGTCCGTAACCTTTTCGATCACATTCCTGCGTATCGCAGAAACACCCGTGTCTCGGAACGAGTAATCGGACGATTAGATGGGTGACCAATCTCATCGTTCCAATACTTGTTTTGGTGATTATACTCTCGCCGATATGCTCATCAATTCGATCCCTACCCCCTTAAATGATGTTTTAAACAATGATTTAATGAGCCTGATCTTCATCGAAGAACAGATGTCAAATTTATATAAACCTGATTCATCCCGAACCCATTTCATACCCGTGATTCTTGTTCACAGACAGTAGAATCCCGAGTGAACGCAGCAAACTATGATGTACAAATACATTATTTGTCATGAATGAGCTAATCGACAGTAAACGAATCTTATCAATTCTTTTCCTTCTTCGACCGTTTCCCCTTTATCTACCATTACTTTCACCACCCCATTTCTACCTACTCGAATAGAAATCATTTTCGTCCTTTTGCAAACGACTGCAACTTCTCTTTCTTCGACTTTGAGCTCCTCTTTTCACCCTAACATCGATGTCGGTAGAAGGCATGGGAGATTTCCAACAAGTCTTTAGTCTGCTCAATCATGGTTTCTCTCAAATTTGGAAGGTGAAGGATGTAGTGTTTTCTCAACTGGTAAAGTATGCATCTTATCATCAAGTGTGAATGATAGTAGATTGAATGGCTTCAAATGAGAAACGAGTGATCATCTCGGTCGAAAAGAAGAAAGTGGGTGTCAAAATATTTTCTTTTCGTTCAGATTGGACGTGGTATCCTATGTTCGGGGTTGAACTCAATAACGAGGATGTATCCGAATATGACAAAGGATTTGAAGTGATGGATGAACTAGAAGAGGAGGATGAATGAGTGATGGTGATGGTGATGATTATAGAATCACGACCATTGACGTTGAGTTTGAGATAATATGTTCTCAAAACGGAAATATCAAATCTTCCATGTAATGTAATCTCCACCAGGTACTCGGTTTGATATGGTCATCTGACAAAGGCGGACAGATGGGGATATGTGGAAGAGAGGAAAAAAGATATAAATCAAGTATAACAACAACTTTGATCTCCGGTAATACATCTTGCGAAAATAAATCGGTTGAATATTACATTTTCTGAAAATAAATGGGTCGAATAAATTTGTATGTAAAAAGCAAAAAGTTTCCACGGCTCCATTCTGAAAATACCGAAAACGACTCTAATGTATATAAAGAATTCGATAATTGATTGGTTAAAGGACCAATAATTTGGGTTTTGTTCTAAAGTTCTTTTGAAAGAGTGAAAGAGTGAAGGAGTGTAAGAGTGTAAGAGTGAAGGAGTGAAAGAGTGAAAGAGTTGAAAAAAGAGTCAAGGAGAACGGAAGAAAGTGGAAAGGGGAATATTCTCGTGATAAGTTCATACGAAATCACACACACCAGTTTCAAAAGTAAAGCAAATAATCTCCACCACAATCTCATCATCTTGGTCGTCGAAGTATACGTACCCCAGGTCTTCCAACGTAACTGTACCCGCTCCATATAGTCGTCCCAGCTACTGTCCATCTGTTTAACGTCAGAATGATCCCAAGGGTAGGTAGAAAATACTTGCTGGAGGATCATGAGGGGTGTTTCAATCTCCATTGGCAGTAGAGGAGCAAGTACGGTCAAACCCATTAGAATCAATTGTAATGCCGTGTTCACCTGGAAAAAATGTCAGTTTTCAGCAGAACGTGAATCTCACTCACTTTACTTATCTGAGTGGGTTTGACTTCGGCCGAGGGTATTGAAGGATCGAAATATCTTTGTAAAGTCCTCTGTGGGTGAGTTCCAGTTAATGATAATAAAGTCAGCTTTATAGTATTGTTATGACTCACGGGTTTAGGAAGAGATATAAAACGAAAGTAAAATGCTGAGATAGAAAGTGAAAGATCACGTCCAAAAATCAACAAAGCTAGAGGTACTTTGTTGAATCAGCATCTATTTTGAAATCACACTGACAGACTTACGAGGTAAACGTCCTGCCCAAGCTAAAGTACCCACCAGTGTCGTCATCAGAGCTTTGTCTGCAGCGGGGTCAAGGATAGATCCAAGGACTGATTTTGAGTTATAATGCCGGGCTATCCAACCATCGAGCTATACTGTCAATCCGAGTGACTTGGCGGAGAAGGGGACGACATACCCAATCAGACAGCCCGCTGACCACAAGGATCCCAAGGGACCATATGTGTTCTTGATGAATGATAGCATAACCTAGAAAAGGACATGCTGCTATTCTTGCCAGGGTAAGAGCGTTTGGAATGGTGTATGGAGATTCTCGTAACTCAGGAGGTTCTTCTTTGGCATTTGTAATGGTCTGAAGGTCAGGATCCTTACATGGCGGGAGAAAGTAGATTGAAAAATGGTCGAGAAAGATGGCGATATGGATTTCAGATAGCTTAGAAGGAACAGACTCTTGGGACGTTCTGTCCCTGGCTTTCTGGTGGATGACGAGCTCGCCCGAGTTGATAGGTACAAGAGGAGGATGAAAATAACGTTCCGATGTTTCAGAAATGAGGACAAGTTGACATCAGGACTGACCGTAGGATCATAATCAGAGAAACCCTCATCACCTTCCATAGACCCAGTCTTCAATCGATGGGGAGTGTGTGTTGGCGGAGAAATATGTGCCAACTTCCTTGCATCAGGTAAAAAGTCTCTATATCTCATCACTTATCATCCTTTCATATCGATGACGATAAAACTCACGATTCAGCTGTCTCAGCATTGATACGTGCTTCGGGAACGTGTCCTATATAAGGGATTTGATCTCGTTTCAATGGAAGAGGGTTTCCAGCGGCTATCTGATCTTAAGTATCTTCAACATACATCCTTCATGCTTCCGTCAGATCGATAATTGGGTTACAATTGACAGACATTGCTCAGTGTGGGAGTGTTGGTTGAGAAAGGTCGGAGTGGGAGTGTTTTTTTTTCGGACGGATGAAGATAAGGAAACGAAGAGACGCACGGATAATTGCCATTGTACTAGATCTATCCCAGTCGTCATCTCCGTCACTGGATGTCTAACGTCAATCCTTGTTCCACATCTGTGAAGAGAGCTTACTCCGCTGGAAGACGAGTGTTCCTATATACCATCAACATGTAATGAGGGACAAGAAGGAAAACTCACATTTTCATAAAGAAATATTCACCCGTAGGAGCATCCATGATGAATTCTACTGTACCTGCTCCAACACTATTGTCAGTTCTGACCTTCGACATGCTGAACCAGAACGAGTACGGGAATTAATGGGGAAAGAGGAACAAACTAATTGATAGCCTTGGCAGCTGCTACCGACTTCGCTGCTAGATCGCGTTTCAGTTCTGTACTAAGTCCTTGAGCAGGAGCTTCTTCTATGATTTCTATCCCGTCAACTTTGACAAAACTGAGAAATTTCACAAGCGTGCAATAAGGACAGCATTATGTGTTCGAGGAAAGGAAAAGATTAAAAAGAGGTGATGGTGAGCAAATATATTAGTGAGATGAAAAGAGTCAGTGGAAACATGACCCACTTTGATGATATCTTTGAACTGTACAATCTCTTTCCCATAAACTAACATAATCACCAAATTCATCTCCAAACACTTGAACCTCCACATGTCTCGGTTTTTCAAACCAACGTTCTAATAAAACCTCATCATTCCCAAAACTCTTGATCGCTTCACGTTTCACACTTCGCACTTGATCCTCGAACGCGTCGAGGGAACGCACAATACGCATGCCGTTTCCTCCGCATCCATGAGTGGGTTTTATGACTAGAGGGAAACCGATTTTTTCTGCTGCTAGTTTGAGTGTGGGCAGATCTTGGGCTGCATCATGGTAACCTCTGATGAATGAGCTTTAACGTTGCCTCCGACGCCTTTCCAGGCGCTGTGTTTAGACTAGCGATCGTTCTCCTTTCTGGTGGGACCTCTTCAAACTCCACAAGGGGCATTCGATTCCGTTTTCCGACTGAGTGAACATGTAGAGAAAGTGACTTGACTTGTGGTGCACGATCGAACAACATAAGGGGCGGGGTGGGGGGGTAGGGATGGGGTTGGGCGGTTGATGAGACAGGGAAATTGAGCGGAGGAATTAAATGGATAGATGAAAGACCGAAATACTCACGGAACGCAAGGTACCCCAGCAGCCAACATGATCTCTTTAATTTCCCTCTTACTTCCCATAGACCGAATGACCTCAGGAGGTGGTCCAATATATACCAAACCCGCTTCTCTGACTTTCTCCGCGAAGACCGAAGATCCGGATAAGAATCCGTAGCCTGGATGAATGGCTTGTGCTCCTGTGTCATGTGCTATCTGAATGATTCTGTCAATGCAGAGCTGTATGTTAGCGAGTACTAACTTTATAGTAATTTTTATCCCATAACTATACGTGTCCGTCCTCACTTATTTTCATTAATCAATAATAGAGGTACCTCTTTCGAGATGTCTCTTGAGAGTTTATCATTGCGCAAAGGTACTTGCATTATCGTCTAGAAGTAGGATCATAAGTTGAAGAGTAGAAGTATAACTCACATGACTTTCTGCAGAAGGAGCATGTCCAATGCAATATCCCTCATCTGCCAATTTAACATGTAAACGTTCATTGTCGATTTCGGTATATACAGCGACAGTTTTGATTCCCATTTTCCGACAAGTTCGTATGATCCGACAAGCTATTTCTCCTCTGCTTATCAGTCACATTCAAAGACAAAAGTCCATTCCATAATACAGATATTACTCCTTCGAAAGTTATCATGATTACTCTAGGTCATTATATTACTGAGTCTGATGAATCATGGATATGGAAGTGTGAGCTAGAAATTTGAGAGATGAAACAAAAATTCAATAGGGAAGAATACGATTTAAGAAAGAGGTTGGATAAAGTCATTGGTTATGAAAGTCAGAAAGTAGTAGTAAGTACTGACCGATTCGCGATTAAAATCTTATCAAAACGTTTTTGCTCCTTTTCCTTACCTACTATAGCTTTACTGACAAGATCAACATTCTGGGTCAAACTTGTCAGATGTCGTTGTTCCCATACCGTCCCCCTCATATAGTCCCGAGTTGTTGAATATCCCCTTAAACAAGTCCGGATCTCTAAGAATGATCTTACAGTGGTGGAATATCGATGTTTTGGGGAAAGTATAGCACGTCGGATGCTGGTTGTGGGATAGATGTCGGGATATAGAGGAGGATGGAGTAAACGAGGGAAGGATCTGGTTTGAGTTTTAGATATAGCTCTCATGTTTGTTCATCTAGATATGATGACTGGTTATAAGAGAAGGTTTCGAAGTAGTTCTAAGGGTGATGTACTCAACTGAGAGAGTGTCAGCGAGATGAGTGTAATAGCAGTAGAGTACTCTGTAGAGGTTATGTATGGTAGAGTACTTAGTGGTGGTTGTGGGATGTTGGTGGTGGCGGTGGTTGCGGGCGAGGGAGGTCCCGGTCATCATCTTACCCGACACCTTCCCTCTCCCTTCCATCGCTAACTACTCTATGACTGGAGGGCTATGACCACTCATGTTATATAGTACCATAACGAGTGTACATAGCTGTAGACAGTGACTTCAGTGATAAGTATATACTCTGCTGACTCCAAGCAATGCAGATGCATCAAACAATATGTCATATGCACAGAATCTCAACTTGCTCCATCTCTATCCTTCCCTCTTCATGCCATACTCACCCCCTTAGCTCCAGCGTTATCCTCATCCCTTAGCCCCCAACTCATATCCACTAGCCCGTCTTCCCTCTTATTCGGATCCCTCCCATCTACCGCCATCTCCCGATTCATTCCAAATAAGTCTCTCCTCCGATAATTCCAACTCCAGGAGAGAGTGGATGGGAAAAAGATAGATAATACGTGGAGGCAGGAAAATAAAGTATGGAAGACCAGATATCACCACTCGTTTCCAACTCTCACCAAACTAACCATTCCCCATACATGTTCGGTCTTTCACCTCTCACAAAACCCTCAAAAGTCCTTTTCAATACCGTACTCCAACTCAAATCCACTTCATCATCCATATCTTCCCTCTTACTAACTCCCCCAACACCTCCTTGTTCTTCCCCTTCAAAACTCACCTTCTCCCCCATACCTTCACGTATGCTATTCTCCCCTTCTGAGAACCGCGGTCCTAAATCGGGCCAATTTCGTGAAGGGTCGAATGGTAACCACCAGAAATTATGGAAATGGTAAGAGAATGCGCCACGGAAGAAACCGTCGAATCCGAGTGGTTGAGGACCTGCCGTATCGAATTTATCGTTTGAAAAGAAGAATGAGAATCTGATCATGAGCATGCGTCCTAGACTGTTGTCCGTCTGTCTGGATGGACGAAATGTCTCAAATCACACTGAAGAATCTAAGAAAGAACAAAGTTGAAAAAAGGAAAATGAAATAAATGAAAGCGAAACTCACTCTGGGAAATAAGGAAAAGGTGGTCTATCTCTTTGATACCTTTCCATGTTTAACCAAGCAGGATCAAACAAAGCATCCGGTATTCTGAATAATAACCTTTCCAAACCTGCATCTTTCAAATATCTCGAAACCGTCATTGGATGAAAATCCAATCCATTTTCCAAAGCAGTTTTGAACAAGAAAGAAGCCAAAGCACTTCCTTTATGTAATTTCAAAACCGCGGTATTATACTTTTGATGCCAAGACCAACGATATGCGAATTGACCTCTGTAATTCCATAATTCTTCCCAATCTCTCAAGAATATCGTATCCGCATCTAAATAAATACCACCGAATCGATGTGTGAGTACGAATCTAGCCATATCGGATAAAATGACGGATAATCGGTCATAATCACTCTCCGAAGCAGAACCAACTTTTTCAAATATATCTTTCTTCTTTTTTGGTTGGAAAGCTTCTGTAGATACTTCAGATTCTAATTCCGATTCTGCTTCTTCTTCTAATACTTCTCGGATATTTGGTTGGTCTTGAGGAATAGGAGTTTGTTGAGGTTGAGGTTGACGATATGTATTTCCTCCAGAATTGAAAATTGGCATGTCACGCCAATAATTTTTCAACTCTGGTATTCCATCTAATTGTTCTGTCGTATTCCACATTTTGAACTTGACCACGTCTCTGAATCTATCATGGAGGAACGGGGCCGACCATGGATTGGTGTTCAATTGCTCCAGCATTTCTCTTCTTGCTGATGGATTGGGAACGGCGGCTGCTGGACCAGGGTTGATCCATACCCAAAATTGCGGTCGGCAGGTATCACGAATGATGGTCGATTGTTCAGACAGAGGTCTGTCTAGACCGAGATTTTGGGTAAAGAGGAAGGACATGACTGCCATATAGGGTTTGTCGGTGAATGGTCCTGCCCAAAACATGTGGAATATTCTAGGGTGAAGGGGGTCACATGGGTCATCCGAAGAGAAGGTCGGTGATACGGGGAAGGGAGGTGGGAGGGAGAGGGGCTCGCGGGAGGATCTGGGTGAGTGGATGGATGGTGGTCGAGGGGAGAGAGTGAATTGTTTGGAAGGGGTGGATGATTCGGAATAGAGATGTTTGTACATGCCCAAATAGTTGCCACGTCGGACCCGTCGACCGTTGTCAAGACCAGCACCGATTCGAAGATATTCGAGGCAGTCTCGAACATACTTGTACGTCAGAGCTGTTATCCGATGACCAAGAGAGTGAATAGCGGCAGATGAGGCTGAGGAAGGAGTAAGACAAGCGGCATGGAGATAGAGAGAGCGGGAAATAGGGAAAAGGGCAAGAGGAGAAGCCCAAAGGGGTTGAGAAGAGGCCAAAGGGACGGGCGGAGGGGAGAAGACTCACTTTGTTAGTACCAAAATCACATTTCTCTACGACGAGATCCAGATCGATGATCGTTCCCGGAGTTGGCCGATATGGGAAACCAGGATTAGTGTTGATAAATTCCTGAACAGGAATGTAATGTCGATCTGGTCCTCTTCCAATGATCTGAGTACGTGGGTTCGTAGCGCCCCGTTGATGGTAAGCTACGAGAGGACTGGGGGAAGATAATGAAGGTAAGAGAGATTCTGGTACTACCGGATTATGTATAGTAGGTACCAGAGGGATATTATCTGGTGCTATATTTATCAGTCCAAAAGTCCTCTCCTTACCATATGACAGGCAAGGGAGTGTTGTGATGATAAACCGGAGCAAAACACAAAAGATGAAAGAAAGAAAGAAAGAAACAACTCACCTAATTGAGTACTTGGATGATGACCACTTAAGACTTCCCATTCCCAAATCATAGCAATTTCTTCTGGTGATAAAACCGAAGTATTCGGATCAACAAAAGGAGGTGACCATGTGTTTCTCCCATGACCTCTTTTTCTAAATCCTAATAAGAATATACCGAATAATAGACAGACGAATAAGATGAAAACTGTTCGCAGAGGATTCGAACGTGATAATCGTGATAATATTCGAGGAGGTATAGGAAGACATATACGAACATAACGTCTAGGTCGATGTGAGTTGGAATGATAAGGTTTGGAAGATAATCCATTTCCATTTAACAGAATTTCAGATGAAGAACTCCTGAGGAATGGAAGTCGAGGCATTGGGAGATAGAACACTGAGAAGAAATTTGATGATGTTGAAGAAGGGGAAGTTAAAGAATGACCGTATTTCTTTTCTGGGTCGGTAGTGAATATTGGAAGAGGTGAACGTCTACCTAATTTGGTGATGCCGTGTCTTTTGGTTTGACCGAAAAGTGACATGACGGATTTGAGTATGTCACCAGTGCTGAAGATTACTCCTGTGGGTATTCTACGATGAATTTAAGGGTTTGTGAACGCTAGAGGGTATACGGTTCAAGAAAGGTTACTGAATGATGGAATGCGATGGTGGAAGGGAGGTAGAAGGAATGACGCCGTGTGGTGCGATCGACTTGAATCGGACCGGTGCGTAGACCATCAACATACAGTCTCTTTAGGTAACGGGTGAATCCCGAGCAGTGAGAAGGTACCCCTTGGCCCTTGGGTAGTCACGAGTGTGAGTGTGATGTGTATGTGGTATATAGCAAAGATTTGGGTTGGAAAAAGCTGCCAAGATGGAAAGAGCAAACGCTGCGGAGGACACGGACGGACGAATACCACGTGTCTGTTACTTAATCTCATTAGTATACTTTTACTAATCCAAATACTAATCTCAAAGCTAATCCCAAAGCATGCCCACTTGCCCACTTGACCGGTTCAACACTTTCCTTTTAGCTGTGCTGTTCCCATAAACGTTCTCGTCTAATCCATTATTTACCCTCACTCCTTCCTCTTGCTTGTCTGCTCAGTTGTAATCTTCACTAGTCATGTCATATAGCTAACATAATCTCTATCCGTCTTCACTTCCTCCCTTCTTCTCTTCTTGCCCCGATCGTCAGCCATCAAGAGAGACAAGATGAACCGTCTTCCCGAACGCGTTCAGATACCTTCTTGGACATCTAGGTTCAGGACGTTATGTTATAACTCTTTAAACTTCTATCGGGTCCATCTGTTAGCATTCACCATTGTACGTTTCCCTTCTTTCTCCTCTTCAACTTTTTCTCTCCTTCCTTGTTTATCAGCACAAGGACTTGAGTCCCCTGTCTATTGGAATGGTCGAGGATGATACACGAATGCTAACGTATAAGATACCTTTGTTCTTCTCTGGTATAATGTACGGTATCAACACTGAATATCATATCGCCTATATCGATTGTTTATTCTGTTGCATGTCAGCAATGACAGTGACAGGATTAGCAACTATCGATCTTAGTACGTTGAGTGCGATGCAACAAGTGATATTATTCTGGCAGATGATCATCGGTAGTCTGGTGAGTATTCTCAGGTACCTTTGGATGGCTTGGGTTTCGAACTGATCATCAGACTTTTGTATCGATCATCATGATTTCCGTCAGACAGTGAGTTTTCCTTGACGACGGATATCGATAAGAAAATATGATTCATGTTATTTTAGACATTTCTTTCGAGCTAAATTTCGACATGTGATACAAGAAAGACAAGGCAGGATGTTCACATTACCTCAAACTTTTTCTTTCATGACTACTGGTCCTAGGAATATAAAACATAAATTGAGCACGGTACTTCGATCCAGTAACGATCAAGTGAGTTTCCTTCCTTCGCCTACTTTCTTCTCAATCCCTCGTTCCACGCTCTATCTCCCCCCAAGGACCTCGACCTCTTTCTTTCCCTTCTCCTTTTCCTGATCATATCTCCTCTGACTGAGCTGTTCAATTCTGATTGAATCGTAGATAGGATGGAGATTGATTCCTCACGTCAGAATCGTAATAAGCTGACATGTATAGCCAACCAGCAATGGACATGCAGGTGGAAAACACGATTCTTTACATTCATTCACGGAAATGGACACTGTTGAACCTTCTCAAAGAAAACCAAATCAAAAGGGAAAACAAAAAGGTTTCAAGAAAGATATCCGTAAAGAAATGATCAAACGAGTGGAAGGTGGAGGAGTTGGGTTGATCAATCCAATGGGATGGTATGATGCTACTGGAGGGGAGAAACCTGTGGATCGACGATTGAACGAACTGCAACTATCAAGAGGTGATACACCGAGTGGAAGTGGACGTAATTCCCCCAGTATTTTAGACTTGCCTCAAGGTGATATAGCTTTTGCGGAGATGGGTGGACATAGGTCTACGACTTTTGCAGAGAGTCCAGCGGAGATAGATCCTAATGAACCTAACGAGTGGGTCTTCTCTTATAATGTCCCCCCGCCCCTCCCTTCTGTCGATAGCCATATCATTCATGAAACCCGATACTATATCACACTAGAGCTGCGTCTCAGTGATTCAACCTACGTGACAGAATGTGGGAGTGTTGTATGAATGAGACGCTTATCAGCAGTACAACCCACTCAAAAACACCTTATGCTGGGAAAGTCCTCTCCGACGATGCTTTCCCCCGATCCAGAACAATAGCCTTTGACCAGGGTGCCGAAGGACATGATTTTGAAGATCACGATGCCGCCCTTACCACCGCTCGAGAAGCTTCTTATTTCCCTAGAACAATCACAAATCGTAGTGGTGACGGTCAATTTCCAAGAACAACAACCAGCTCTCACTTTCCCCGCACATATAGTATTCGTCCGACGTCAAGTAGAAGGGCAGAAACTAGGTTGAGAGGTTTTGGAGGGTTTCCAACTCCTTTTCAATTACTGAGGGATGGGTTCAGAAAGGCGTTCCCCGATACTTCTAGGACATTGACGAAATCTGTAAGTATGCCAAGGGTGAACACGTTGGCAGGGAGGGGAAGTGTTTATGGAGATGGAGGAGCAAAGGAAGTACCGTATATCTCTTTCTCGGCTACAGTAGGAAGAAACAGTCATTTTACCGGTTTGACACAGGAACAATTGGATGAATTAGGGGGTGTGGAATACAGAGCTTTGAGAGTTTTATTTTGGATCGTGGTTTCGGTATGTTCAAGATACCCATCTCTTTTTCCTACCCCCTTCAACGCTTATTCACTGTTACTCCTCTTTGAACTCTCGACACTCCGTTTGAAGATCCAGGTCACACCGTTCTTGCAGATCTTTGGAGCTGAGAGCCGGGAACAAGCTCACGAACAGTATTTCGTCTTTGTACAACTTGCAGCATTCGTCATCATCACCCCGTACATGTCAGCAGGTGGGAGATACGACGCCGACTTTCGAAATCAGCCTCGAGCAGTCAGTATTCCTTGGTGGGCTTTGTTTCAATCAGTATCGGCGTTTTCCAATACGGGTATGAGTTTGGTGGATCTTAGTTTGATACCATTCCAAAGAGCGTATCTGATGATATTTGGTGAGCGCTTCTTCTCCCCTGCATCCCTGCCTTTGTGTTTCCCTCCTCTGTCACTCGTGGTCGTGCTTGATCTTTCTATCAGTATTTTTCTTCGTCCGATCCATCACCGTTTGGCCGTTTGGCCGTTTGGCCGTTGAACCGTTTGTTTTCTGCCACCAGTCACTGATAATGTCAATCTTTCTCCAGTTAGACTTGGTTTAATAACTTACCGCTGACTCTCAGTCCTGATCATCCTCATCTTAGCTGGTAACACGGCCTTCGTGAGTCTTCCTCGCTACATCGTCCCTTTGCTTACACCCAGCCTTGTTTCCTCCGATTGACAGTGTAAGTATAAGTTGCACGTCATTAGCCGCGTCGGACCTACTGACATCATAGTTGGGCAGTGTACAAGCTTGTCCCTGTCGATTCGCGCATCAGAGAATCACTCAAATTCTTGTTGGACCATCCTAGACGATGTTTTGTCTATCTCTTTCCTTCCACGCAAACGTGGGTATTGGCGATTGTTATGCTTGTTCTCACGTCAGTTCACGTTTCGTCCCTTCCCTCCTTACCTGTCCAAATTCATCGGCGAGAGACATTTTTACATCGGTACAACAGGTAATCCCGTCTCTCGCCTCACCTCAGGTACTGAGGCAGGCTGCACTGTTCGTATAGTCACCATAGACCGCAATCCGACAATTTGCTGATCTTCAGTCTCATCGATTGGGTCAGTTTTCTAGTTCTAGACCTTGGGACCCCCACCATCGCCTCTATCCCAGTTGGCACCCGAGTCGTCGCCGGTCTCATTCAATCTGCCGCTGTCCGAGCAGCAGGATTCGGTATCGTATCTCTCTCACTTTTAGCACCAGCTGTCAAGTGAGTCGTTCTTTGCGGGTGTGGCAATAGCTGACGATCAGAGTATTATATGTCATCATGATGGTGAGTCGCGAAATGAGGCAGCGTCGGTAAAGGGAGGTGAATAGATATTGATGTTCAGTACGTATCGGTTTATCCTATTGCTCTTTCCGTTAGGGCTACCAACGTGTATGAAGAACAATCTCTGGGTCTTTTCAAGGATGAAGAGGGAGAGGATCTGGAGATGAAAGAAGAGGGAGCTCAAGCTGTCGCGAAATACGTTGGATGGCAGTAAGTTCCTCTCCTCCCGATTCCCCTCCTCCCCTCCTCCCCTCCTCCCCTCCTGATATGTGTCGGTACCACCCCCGGCTATTTCACCTTCCGGTGCGTCAAATCGGGTCATAACGAAGATGATTTGACTGTCAAGTTGGCAGAGATCGCTCATGATAACAAGCTACTCCAGTTGACTATTGCAGAGTGGGAGAGGTATGGAACAGATAATGGGTCAGTCGTTGTCATTTGCTGATCCGTCCAGACTGACGAAGTAAAGCTAACTGGGAAAAATCTC